CGAGTAGAAATAATTTCCTTTGCTCCACACTAGTATAAAAGAATTACATTTGATATTTTGAACTTTTTACTTTTTACTAATCTATGAAGTTAGTGCGAGAGACGTCAGAATAACTAACCGATATAAAACATCATTTTCCCCACTTTTTGGCATCCTCATCGACGATCCTAAGAATGTATATTAAAGATAGCTCAATGGTTAGTTGATTATATTGTATAAATAGTTGCGCTGTTATGCATAGTTGTGCCGTTATACGTTTGTTTTCTTTTCTTTCCTTTACAAACTTAGCCTATATATGTTAAGTTCCTATTCATTGTAAAGTCAAGTTGATTAATAATAAAGAGATGCATTATGTTCTCAGAAACTCTAATATGGTATCAGATTACTAAAACCCCTCTTCTCTTCCGCACATCTCTTTTTCTTCATTGATCAATCATGGCTAATCTCAGCCAAAACAACCAACACCGGATCACCTCATTAATCCGACCAATCCTCTATATCTTCATCCTGGTAAGAATCTGACGCTCGTTCTTGTCTCTCCTCTGTTGACTGAAAATAAATTTCATCAATGACAACGAGAGATAATGGTTGTCCTAGAAACCAAAAATAAAAAGCAGTTCATCACCGACAATCTTCCATGTCCACCAATCACGGACCCCCCTTCACGACACCTAGCACAAATGCAATCGCATGGTGATGGCTTGGTTGACGCGTTCCATGAGCACCTCCATCAAGCAATCTGTGATGTGGATGGACAACACATATGGAAAGATTTAAAAGAAAGATTCTCACATCCCGACAAATTTCGTATTGTCGATCTTCAAGATCAAATCAAGAATTGCAAACAAGGTGATTCATCCATTTCTGATTATTACATAAGATTAACAATTTTGTGGAAAGAAATTGAACTTTATCGGTGTGTTCTTCTTTGTAAATGTCCTATATCTTGTTCTTGTGGTCTTCTTGCAAATCTCCAAAAAGAAAGGGAGGATGATTGTGTCATTCAGTTTCTTCATAGTTTAAATGATGACTACTCTCAAGTACAATCCCAGATAATGATCACAGATCTCATGTCTTCGATTTTTAGGATTTTTTCTATGATTTTACAACATGAAAGAGAATTTTTTAGTACTGTCTCCAATCTTCCCCCTCAAGACTCAGTTGCCTTCTCTGCGCAATCAGATGATTCTTTCAAAAATCCCAATTTCAAGAATTCAACTGAAGCCACCAAGAACACCAATCCAGGAAAAGCTACCAATCGAAATACGAAATATTGTGAGAATTGCAAGAAAAAAAACCACACAATTGAAACCTGTTTCTGGAAAATTGGTTTCCCTGCTGGGTATAGAAAATCTAGTCATGCCTCTTTCTTTGCTCCCAAATCCTCTACAAGTTTGGCTGAAGTAGACTCTACCACACCCTCACAGCAATCTTCAATGGTTGACGGTTCTCCATGTGACCAATTCAACTTCTTAAAAGAACAATATCAGACTATGTTAGCTCTTCTTCAACAATCTAAGCTTGGGGCATCTTCTGTCAACCACACTTATAGTTCCTCTATTAATACTGCAAGTGATATTTTTTCATTTTCCTCCTAGATTCTGGATAGTGGTGCGACATATCACATTTGTCCATCACAATCTTGTTTTTCTTTCTTAAAATCCATATCACCTGTTCAGATAAAATTGCCCAATAATACCACTGTGATTGCAAATTTTTTTAGCAACCCTTGGAAAATTAACTATTGTTGATGCCTTATATGTACCAGATTTTGTTACTAACTTTATATCCATTCCCAAATTAGTTTTTACAATTGATTGCATGGTTATCTTTTATGTTAAAACCTGTTTCATTGTACATAAATCAATACATCAGATGATTGGTATAGGTAAGAAATTGAATGACCACTTTTTTCTTCAAGATTCCAGTGACTCAAATTCATGTGGATCACACTTTCTCAATGCCACTAACAAACAACATTATGTCACAGACAAGATGTCTCTGTTATGACACATTAGATTATGACATACTTCAAATAAAGTGTTGCAATTTTTAGCTTCTAAATACACTAACATTGTCGTTGATTGTTTAACTCCTTGTGATATATATCATTTTGCAAAGCAAAAATGTTTGTCATTTCCTAACAGTAATAATAGAAGCACTACATTATTTGATCTTATTAATGTAGATACTTGGGGTCCCATTGCCTCTTTCTCAATTGATAATTTCAACTATTTTCTAACTGTGATAGATGATTTCTCTCGATTCACTTAGGTTCATCTTTTAAAAACTAAATCTGATGTCAAAATCGTTCTTCCTTCTTTCATTCAACTTATTGAAAATCAATTTGATTAAAAACTTAAAAGGCTTCAGTCAGACAATGGAAAATAATTTATTTTACATGATTTTTTCTCAACTAAAGGCATTTTACATGAAACATCTTGTGTTAAGACTCCTCAACAAAATAGCATAGTTGAGAGAAAATATCAACATTTATTAAATGTGAGCCGAGTCTTACTCTTTCAAGCTAATTTACCAATTTGTTTTTGGTCTTTTGCTGTGAAACATGCCACACACATCATAAACAGGTTACCCACACCTCTTTTAAATCTCAAATCCCATTATGAACTTGTGCATGGTCATGTTCCAGATTTACAAACATTAGAGTTTTTGGTTCCCTCGCCTTTGCTTCTACTATTACTGTTTGAAAGAGAAAATTTTGATAAATGTGCCTCTGACAGCACCTACACCACTTTTTTTTATGGCCTCATCCCATTACATCATTCCACAATGCATTCTTCTCGTGACAATAACATACACAATCATGATACATCTTTACCTAACATTGAATCTCTTCCCCATGAATCCCCACATAAGGATTAACACTACTATCAACCAAAAACCTTAAGGCATTAGGTTATGAGTCTTTCGTCCTTATATGTTGCTCAACATTCTCATTCTTACCCAATGTGAGACTTTGAATCACACTTGTATTTTCTAACATTAGACTGCTGGCGAAAAGCTATAATGACTGAACTTCAAGCTCTAGAGAGAAACAACACATGGTCACTGGTTAAGCTTCCTCCAGGCAAGAAAGTTGTAGGTTGTAAATGGGTTTACTGAACCAAATTTTAAAGCGGATGGTTCCATTGAAAGATACAAGGTCGGATTGGTTGCTAAGGGTTTCACACAAACAGAGTGGGTAAATTTTTTTGAAACATTTTCTCCCGTAGTTAAGATTGCTACTATTCGGTTTCTGCTTTCCCTTGCTATTTCCTCTGGCTGGTTTCTTTATCAACTAGATGTTGACAATGCCTTCTTACATGGTGATCTTGTTGAAGAAGTCTACATGAAACCCCCACAAGGACTACCTCTTATTTTTCCTAAACTCATGTACAAACTCCATAAATCACTATAAGCAAGTAGGCAATGGAATGTTAAACTCACATATGCTATACTAAACTTTGGTTTTGTTCAGAGTACAACTGATTACACTTTATTTGTCAAGCACACAACTAGTTCTTTCACAACCTTCCTAGTCTATGTTGATGACATAGTTATTACTGGGAATCATCTTGACATGATCACTGACATCAAAACATATCTTCACACGCAATTCCATATTAAGGATATTGGTGATTTGAAGTATTTTTTGGGCTTTCAAGTGGCCCAATCCAAACGTGGCTTAATCCTTAATCAACGCAAATATTGTCTAGATATTCTTTCAGAATTTTTCATCCCTGATCTCACTAATTTTAGAAGACTCATTGGCAAGCTGATGTACTTGGCACACATCCGTCCAGACATCAACTTTATTGTCCAACAAATAAGTCAGTTTATGACTCAACCCAGAACCCCTGACAGCTTTTCGAATCCTTAGATACTTAAAAAATGCTCCTGGACAAGACATTTTCTATCCTGTTCAGAACCCACACAGATTACAAACCTACTCTGATTCTGATTGGACTACGCGTCACACTACTCGAAGGTCCATAACCGGTTATTGCATCTTTTATGGCAATTCCCTCATTTCTTGGAAGTAAAAAAAACAGAACATTGTGTCTCGCAGTTCAACAGAAGCAAAATATCGGGAATTAGCCACTGTGACTTGTGAATTACAATGGCTGAAGTATGTTGTTGATGATCTTCGGCTCACCATTCCTCTCTATCTGCACCTTATGTGATCATCAATCTGTCATCCAACTTGCCAAAAATCTTTTCTTTCATGAAAGAACCAAACATATAGAAGTGGATTATCACGTCATACGTAGCAAAATTCTCGATGGGCTGATTCTTTTATCTCATATTCCCTCTCAACACCAACTTGTCGATATGTTCATCCACTACAAAAAAAAAAGGTATTATCTACAAAATATTACCTACGGATAAAAATCCGTAGGTAAAATATATATTACATACAGATATTATCTATGGAATTCTATCCGTATGTAAATTATCCATTACCTACGAAATTACTGTCCATAGGTAATGTCATCCGTGGGTAATTATTTATTACCTACAGAATTACTGTCTATAGGTAATATCATTCGTAAATATTATTTATTACTTACAGAATTACTATCTGTAGGTAATGTCGTCCTCCATTATCTACGAAATTACTATCTATAGGTAATACCATCCGTGGGTAATTATCGATTATCTACGAATTATCGTTCATAGATAAATTACATACGGATTACAATTCGTAGGTAAATTATATCAAATAGATAAATATATAAATATGTAAATATGTAAATATATAAATATGTAAATATATAAATATGTAAATATATAAATATGTAAATATGTAAATATATAAATATATCAAAATATAAATATATTTGTATTTATATATTTTATATTTATATATTTACAATGAATATAAATATAATTTATTTATAAGTTATTATCATAATATCTTAATAGCTTAGTGGTCATCGTTGCACCGTTATGCGTTTGTTTTCTTTTCTTTACAAACTTAGCCTATATATGCTAAGTTCCTATTCAAGTGGTATTTCTGGGGCGCCCACTTTCAGGAGTTGATTAAGCTCATATTTTGCCTCTTGTTTTAGTTTTAGACGTTTCAAAGGAAGGGACATGTTTGGTCCTAGAGAAGGATGTGATCAAGAAGAAAAGAAAGTACGGAGAGGAAGGAATGAAAAGAAGAAATATAGGGATGTAAATGTGTTAATACTCTAAAATTCTCTATTGATTCAAAGTACTATCTTGTGAGTTATCTATAACCTTAATATTTCTTTATAGGCCTCCATTTGTGATCCTCTACGTTTGGTTATAATTCAAACTTCTACAAAATGTAATAAATAATAAAAATATAATATAAAGGGGAGGGAGACTCTAGGTAATAAAAAGTAAATAGGGATTGTAGTAAATAAAAATATTTTGTTCAAGCGAGTGCATTGTCTATAGCTCAATGGTTATTTGATTATGTTGTATAAACAGTTGCGTTGTTATGCACAATTGTGCCGTTATGCGTTTGTTTTCTTTTCTTTTCTTTACAAACTTAGCCTATATATGCTAAGTTCCTATTCATTGTAAAGTCAAGTTGATCAATAATAAATAGATGCATTTTGTTCTCAGAAACTCTAATAATCTATACAAAAGAAACAAAAAAAATCTCATTGAGGGAGTCCCCAACAAACTAATGTTTTTTTTTCCTCGTCTGACTCAAAAACCAAAATGAATAAATCCAATTCAAGTGGTATTTCTGGGGCGCCCACTTGTAGGAGTTGATCAAGCTCATATTTTGCCTCTTGTTTTAGTTTTAGACGTTTCAAAGGAAGGGACATGTTTGGTCCTAGAGAAGGATGTGATTAAGAAGAAAAGAAAGTATGGAGAGGAAGAATGAAAAGAAGAAATATAGGGATATAAATGTGTTAATGCTCTAAAATTCTCTATTGATTCAAAGTACTATCTTGTGAGTTATCTACAACCTTTTGTGAAGAAGAGATATGAAAACAACTTTAAAGATGTCAAACACACTACCCATTTACTAAGAAAATGGGTTGTTGTTAGTCTTCTCCCACATAGAAAAAAAAAATGGTAGGCGAAGCCCAAGGGCTATTATCCTAATAGCCTAGTAAGCAGAACCAAAAGAGATCATGTTAATCAATACACTTGTGGTAAAAAAGCGTGTTCTTTTCATATAACATATAGCATATGCCCCCTCAGTCATTCACATAGTTGACCGAGTATCAACCCTAACTCTCTTTCAAATCCTCGTTTTTATGGGTCAAATCACTCTCCTCACAAAAACTAACTTTACGACTATATTGATACTAAGTGGTATCACGAAAAAATTGGGTAGGAGAAGTCGACTCGTCATAATTAAGATAGTTCATAAATTTTAGTATGTCTTATTAAAGGACGTGCTTACACGTAAATAGGTCAATTTGTTAATAATTTTTTTTATTATATTTTTTAAACATTATATCTTTAATAATATGAATATTTTTTTAATTTTTTATTTATTAATTAATATTTTTATTATATAAATTAAAAAATATTATATTTATGTATCAAAATAACTAATTATAATCACTAATTTAAATTTAATTAATTATTTTTTATAATTTAAATTGTAATATTTTAATATATTTATATATTTTAATAATATGACATAAAAATATATAATAATTTTAATTATAATTATTTTTATTTTAATTTATAAATATTTTTTTTAAGCGAGTCAACCCGATCAAATTGATAGGCTAAACAAAACAAATCAAAACGGAATGACTGACTAAAACTACTAACTTATCTCATCATTTTTAAGACAAACTGATGGATCAATCAATATATTAGATCTAGCCCATTTTATCATCTACTTCTAAGGTGATAGTCTCTAAAAATTTTAATATTATTAATTATTATTAATATGATTTTATTTTATTAATTAAAAACTAAATATATAATGAAAAATAGATAAATTATCGCCTTAATTTGAATTCTGCCTCTGCGTGCTTGGATTTAAAGAAATATGAAAAAGAAAGTGAGAAAACTAGAAAAAAAAATTAGAAAAAGTTATAGAATGATATTAATTTTATAAAAATAAAATTTTAATGATTTTTTTATTATTTTTAAGTTATCTCACTAAAATATTTCTATTTTTTAATTTACTTAAATTTGGTCTTTCACATACTTTAGTTATAATTCTTTTTTTAAATTTTAATGATTTTGTCACTTTTTTAAAAGAATTATTTCAAATTGATATTTTTAAACTTAAAATTAATATAAAAAATAATTATATATTATTTTTTCATGTTTCTACTCTTATTAAAAATAAAAATAAAATTTTATAAATGATAAATAAATAAATATATAAAAAATAACTCTTAGAAAAAAATAGGGTACAAATTTGCACTTGATATTAAATATATATATATATATATATATATATATATATATATATATATATATAATAAAGAAAAATATGTAAATATTGGTTGATATGTGAGTGTAATCGTGTACTCATTGAAATTCTTTTACTTATAAATTCTTTTTAGACTTAACTCATATTTATAATGAATTTAATTAAACTAAGTTTGAGTGGTTGAGAAAATAGTGTGTATTAAACTTAAATTTAATTTATTTAACTTATTTATAATTCTTTTTTTATGAAAAAATATATTTTTCAACTTAAATTATTTAAAAAAATTAATGCTAATATAATAAGAAAATATCATAATTTTTGTTTCTTTCCCTATTATTATTTTATAATGTATTTTCAATTGAATAATTTATATGCATGTTTTTATCTTATTTTATTTATGAATTAAATATTATTTAATGACTTTAATCTTTTATATATATGGTTATTTTGGCTTTTGCGTGAAGTCTGTGTAGTGTTCATGTGTTACTCAGGTCATTAATATGCATTTGTCATTGGAATGGAGAAGATAACATCAATATTTACTGCTTTCTGATAATTAATTTGAGTCCCCAATGAACAAAATAAATGACATGAAGGACTTTTTTTTTTTTCATCATTAATGATTTTCACATTCATATTCATTTTCATTCCCACTTTTTACAAAGTTTTCCTACCAACCACACCACACCCTCCTAACTTCTTAAATCCCTTATTTTACTTCATTTTTTAATTACCACTTTTATTTAAACATTTTTTTTACTTGTATACACATTATAAAAAGTTATTATATAATTATCACATTTTCTATTTTTATTTTATAGTGATTAATACTCTGAAGTGGTAGTGTAGCTGCAATTTTTTGGAGCCGTGGTTGGTGGCTGAATATATGTGAGATTTTGTGGACCCGCAAGATCCTACAATCATAACATACTATCAATAAAACAAAATCTCCCAATAAAAATCAAATTTATCCTCTAAATTCTTTATTCTTACACAAATATAATCATTGCACGGTCTATTGAATTCATAGTTTCTTAAAACTAAATTCAATAATATTCAAAATTTATCGTATAATTATAAATAGATCATTTTTTTCTCTAAAAATTAAATATACTTATCACACAAGTTTTTTGAAAATTCAAAAGAAACAATTAAACCTGACTGTTAATTTATTGTTGGATAATTTATTTTGTTCTCTTATCTCTAAGGTAAATAAAAACAAATTATCACTATTTTTAAAAATTATATCGAACTAACTAATGCAATGCAATTAGTATAATAAAAAATTAGTTTAAAAATTAATTTGTCATCTTTAAATAATTAAATTATAATAAAATTAAAAGAATCAGATAACTGAATTTTTAGTTAGACCAATTTTAATAAAAAAATTAAAATTTTTTTAATATAATTTTTGTATAAAAGATAATATATATATATATATATATATATTCATTAATAAATTTAATTTTAAAAAATACAAACAAAACAGTAATAAATAATTGTATTTCAATATAATCAAATTTTTAATAATTAAAACTAACAAAAATTGTGTACTTAATAATCATTCCTCATTTAATAAATTGAGTTTCCATATTTTTCTATCACAATTAAATTTACCTAGTCCACCAATTTTTATTTTTATTTTAAATATATCATTAGCTTGGTATCATCTGTTTCGTGGAGATTTATAATACATTTTATTATATTTCTTTGAAACTTTTATACTTAAAACAAAAAAGAAATTATTAATCATAATTTTTTTATGTTAAAATTTACTTTCATTTAAATTTAAATTATTCGCACTGTCGAAAGATTTTCTAAACTGATTTTTCTTTAAATATGATATGCTTATATTTTTAATCATTTGTATTTTTCTTAAATATTCTTAGTCTACATTTTAAAACATACTTAAATTAAAAAGTACCCACAATGTATAAAATGGCCACTAATGGTAGTTTGAAGGTGATATTAAAAGTTATTTTTTATCTGGTTGGAATCATTTTAAAGTTACGTATGACGTAAAACTAGGATTACATATTTTTTCAATTTCATCCTAGATTTTGATGAAGTGAGTCACATTCTCCATAAATAAATCATATGCAATAGCAGAATACTCTTTATTTGCTGGATACTAAATAGACTGAAGTGGGTAAAATGAACTGATTTTAGTCCAAACAGGAAATATTTAAGAAGTGCTTTTTCTTCTGATGAACCGCGGTTTAAGTTAGGGTATGTATTCTTCAATTATTTATTTATTTATACGTTTGGCGTTTTTACCTTGTCGTTTGTTAATTTTTAAGGTTCTATTTAGTCTTAAGTTCCTCTCAAGGAGTGTTAGCATTAGAACATGTTTGGTCTTACATAGCAAACGTGTATTTTTAAGTTCACATTAAGAAAAAAATAGCTATAACTTTTACATTTTGTAGCACCATAGAGGTTATTGATTTCCGGTTTCCAAACACGAATCTAGTGGTCAAACTGAATCTGTGAAAGCCCAGAAATTTTGTTTCTATGCGTTTGTACATGGTAGGAACTTTTTCGTGGTTCCTCAAGGTAAATTGGGGAAAACCTGGCTAAGAGCCTCCACCTATAACACGTACAACAAGACCATAAATTTTAAACCTAAGAACCAAATTACTAGTACCCATGGTAAATATATGACATGTGTCTCCATGAATTTAAACAAAACCGCATTAAATAATAGTAGCAAGAGGAATAATTATTCGCGTCTTGTAAACCTTGCACAAGAAACAAAAGGTTAGTACATGTACAAAGGGACAAGAAATTGGGACAGGAAATAGAGCGAAATACACGATAAAATTATGAAAGGCTTGTTTTTTAAGCAGTGAAAAGAAATTAGAAATAGAGTGTTAATTTGATTGGTTAGATAAAAATAAAATAAAAATGTGAGAAATGAGAGTGTGTGTAGAAGAGAATGATGTGTGAGGGGAAAAGAAAAGAAAGCAGAAGCAGGAAGTGTGTTCTTCATGTGTCGTTGTCACATTATACTTTGCTAGCCATTCTGGCCTGCTTCCTTTGCTCCCCAAGGGAGAGTACACAACTCTGGTACACTATTGCCATTTTCTCTACCCTTTTTTCATTTTCTTTCTTTTTTTGATTTCATTTTATTTCAATTTTTAACTTCCACTTTCATTTTCCCATCTTTTCCTATTCCTTCACTTCACCACACTCTCACTCACACACACACACACACACACACACACAGAGTTTCTCTAATGGCTGCAAAGTCTCCTGAAGCTGTTGTTCCCTCAGAACCATTGAAGTATCAGGTTCGTCTCTCTGTACAAAAAAAAAAAGGAAAAAAGATGCTTTTTGCTTGCTTTCTCCCTTGAAAATCTTCCACTAAAGATGGTTTCTTCTCTGTTTCTTAGACATGGTTCTTGAAAGTTTCCATCCACTGTGAAGGTTGCAGGAGGAAAGTCAAAAAGGTTTTACAGAGCATTGATGGTAACACAAAAACTATGTCTACGTACCCTGTTATTCTACCGGCTTTCCTTGTTTTTTAAGTAAATTTTCCTCATGCATGGATAGATTCCAAATCTCAAATTTCACTGTGCTAACAAAAAATGTCATTTTCCCTAAGCTTGAACTGGGCCTTTTATTATTTATTAACGTATTTTCACTGTGCACTATTTTTGGGTGGTTATGGTGACGGGATTTTCAATTTCGTGTTATTTCGCAGGTGTTTTTACCACAACGGTTGACCCGCAGCAGCAGAAAGTTACGGTCACCGGAAGCGTCGGCGTTGAGACACTGATAAGGAAACTAGTGAAAGCGGGAAAACACGCCGAAATTTGGCCTGAGAATCTCGCCGTCGGGAAGGGAAAGAACTCCGGCAAAGACAAGCAGCAGTATCAGGAGAAGAAGAAGAAGAAAAAAAACGAACAAGAAGAAGAATCCGAAAGCTCGAAAAACCACTCAAGTACGACAAATGCAGAACCTAACAGTACGACGACCAACTCTAGCAAAAAAAAGGTAAACCAAAAAAGTGCTGAGAAACGCAACGCCGAAAGCAAGAGCACTGGCGGCGGAGAAAATGAGTCAGCGGAAGCGGAGAAGAAGGGTGTTCAAAGTGAAGGAGGTGGGAAGAAAAAGAAAAAGAAAGAGAAGGAGAGAGGTGAGAGTGATGATGGTGTTGGGAGTTCAGCATGTAACGGTGGAGGTGCGCATAGTGGATCCCCTGGACAGGTGAATCTGAGCCCTACACGTCAGCAACCATACCTGTATCCAGAAACTTACTGTTATCCACCACTTGTGTATCTGGCAACGCACAACAACAGGTTCTGTCCCATGGGAACAATGGGTGGTCCTTCTTACTATGTTTCACCATTGCCTTACATCTCTGCAGGCATCGACCACCACCACCCCTATCGCCTTCAATCCACGCCCTTCCTTCCCTTCGAGATCTTCAGCGATGAGAATGCCAATGGCTGTTCCGTCATGTGAGAACAAGATAGTGCCTTTTGTCTCTTTCATGGTCCCATCCCAGGTACTTGTTTTGGTATGCTATGTGCTGCTAGTTTTGTATTTTTTGATGGAAAATCGATGGAGCTTATGGTATAATACTTACTACTACGCTGTGTTGTCCTTGGATTTTCTAGGGGCTCATTTTGCATTCACCGTATATATACCTTGTTCCCAACTTTATCTTATTTTCGTTTTGTTGGACCAATCTGTAAATAATGTTCTGAGATGGACCCTTTTGATATTCATGTGTTACTATTATGCAATTTTCTAAGAGAGGGGTGGTAGGATTAGATGGCAAGCATGTCAATGTCACGTCCAAAGGGCATTTCATCAAGACTGGACTGTGGCTGTTCAGGCAAAGTAGAGGCAAAGGCAATGGAATGAAGCTACATAAATAATTGTGTGCTTGCTTAGAGATGTTGACATTCTATTATTCTTGATGATTTTAGGACTAGTATATTTTGCATCTAAAAGCTTGAATAAGTTGAGTTTGAAAATGATCTGCCAATGGGATAACTTACACTACCTGAAACTGTAGTTATTAATTTTCTTTTCAAGTTAGGGCTTCATCATAATTTTCAACGCATTTGCTCCAACAACGAGGACACTTGAAAAGTCCATTGACCTAGCCGTGATTAGTGCCGCGTTTGATTGCAGTTTTCTGGGACATAGCAAAAATAAAATAATAACACTATCAACATAATAAAATATATAGTTTTTTGGTATATGAATTTTTCTCTTTTTCTGGTTAATCTTGGGCACACAGTGTATAAATTATGAATTGTTATAACTTAAAAGTTGTGTAGAAAAATAGTACTCATTCATCGTTGAACTGCATAACCTGAAAAACAGGTAGACACTGAGTTGAATCAATGTTTGAAATAGCAAGATAACCGTATTGAAGTAGTGATTATAATGTTGGTAGTATGAAGATAATTTTTGTTAAGGAAATCTCATTTTGGCTAAGCATATAGTAAATGCAAGAGTACGTTGGTAATGCCAGAAAAGTGTGCAAGTGCTTAAGATATGGAGTGTACAAAAAAGTTGGTGATAGTATTTTGTGGAAATTAATATACTAGAAATTGATGGTTCCGTGATGAGATGTGTGAGGGAACAATTAATGTTGCCTGCATTTTGCATGTTAAGATGTTAAGCGAGGCCATGTGAGGGAATCAGATTGTGGACCAAAAGCATTGTGAAGATGAATGATAAAGTGAGGAAAAAGTAAATAAAGGAAGAGACATGGGTGAAGAGTAGTTAAAAAAAGCAGTCGTGCATTGAAGTGAAATAAAATACACTGCACGATAAGACAGTACCGTTCAAAATTAATTAATCTGTTTTTAATTCTATCTTTACTTAAATCTCATTTTTCTCACCCCATTGGGAGGGAGTAAAAATTATAATTGATTTAAATCAATTTGGGTGCTAGCAGAACAGCCGATATGAATCTTATTAATGAGATCTTCAATCACAATATTACTCATTGGAAATATCATCTACTCTTAGTTATTTATTTTGTTTATCGTTTATGAATAAGCATATTTAAAGAAATCAAACAAGTTATTAACCTATTTTGATACTCATTGGAATAGCAGCTCGATCATAAGAGGCCTCCTGAGATCAACATTGTTTAATCCTGAGTGCTCATAACAATCGTTCATACTGTTAACAATGTTTACAAATGATAGGACCTAATGCCCTTGTGGTTCTTGTAAAATGCCATATATACACTTTAAATACCACAACTTTAACCTAAGAAATACTACTTCAACTAGAACATTCAGTGAAAAGCTACATAAGTACACAGTTTTGTTGTTTTTTCTTCTTGGTAAGTCTCAAATGCAAGTTGATGCCTTTGAAGTCCGTTGATTCATCCCAAGCATGATCACAATTACAGTCACATCGTCATGGTACTTCCTTCTCCTCCCAGCTGGAATATTCATCAACTCTTCAGTGCTTAAACCTGAATGAGCATTATTTACTTAGTTATCCCAATAATCATATAGTAAAACAAGCAACATGTGCATTGATGAAATAAAATTCAATTTAGCATAAGATATGGAAAAATGACCGGCAGAAACAGATGCTCTAGCCACAAGCTGCTCTATAAGAAACTTTGCTGGATCACCAAAAGGTGTGCTCAAGATATACGACTGTACAAGCTTTACTGCCTCATCATTGCTGAAGAAGTCAAATAAACCATCACTCCCTACTATAACAAATTGATCGGAATTTGAGATTCTATGGACATTCAGTGATGGTTGAGTGGATATGTATGGTGGGCTTTTAAGATCACGAACACGAAGGATTCCCATCAAAGCATCATTCAGATTTTTCTGCCCCAGAATAAAATAAGAAAATCAAATCTCTTTGGTACTTGGTAGGACAAAGATATATTCTATACCATCCACTAACAAATACAGCATGTAGCTTGAATTTAAAGGTTTATAAATATCACCTTTATTTGCTAAAACATCAGTAGCAAAACTATTTGGTGATAAGAGAGAATACCAACCTTTTTCAAGTAGCCAACTCCAAAAGCGCGAGTAACCTTGAGTTTCCCTTTCACTTTTCCTGCTATAACTATCCTGGGATCATCGGGATGATCGGCCAGAAGTCTAGCTCTTTCAACTTCATTATCAACAGTGTGATTATCTGTAAGCTGTATAGCCTTGAGTCTCTCGCTCTTATCCATTCGGTAACCTGTACTGCAAGTCGCCAACACTGCTCTGCTGTCACCTAGATTAAGCGTATACAAATCATTACCATGAAGAAGCACTAGTAAAACACAAGATCCAATAGAAACTAAATCAGGACGTTCCTCCATTTCTTGCTCAACCATGTAAAGGAAATCATTCTCAGCCTGACTAATAGCTAGTTCAAGGATATCAAGTACCCCTTGTGAAAATGGATCACGTGATACTTCTGACTTAGCAGATAAACAACTCTTTGCATAACACCCATGATTAGTATCATTTATTCCTTTACATCTTGCCATAGATTGATCCTCGTGATACATAAGTCTGTCATTCGACTTATATTGCAGGGATTCACCCAACCCCCCATCATTATAAGCTCCGATGGAACCTGGTTCCAATTCCTCGATTAACTTATTAAAGTATGATATGATGGTGTCATACAGGGTACCAGCCAGAAAGTCGGCTGCATCTCTTCCATTAAAGCCATCATAAATTGCACAGAAGAGCCACCCATTTTCTTCAGAACAAACTGCTTGAACTCTATCTTCACCAGCAGCTCCCCCTGCTACTTGAATTTCCTTAACATTAATAAAACCTTCAGTTCTGGAAGGATCGCTCATGGATTTTAATGTGCAAGGGTCATATTCAAGGATGTCACTTGTAGTAGAAGGACTGCAGCTAAGGTAAGACAAACTACTCGGGAGGGAAGATGATAGTATGTCCAACTTTGAAAGACTTGGCGAAGAGGTTACCTTACGAAATGAATTAGGAGAGTCCCAACTTGGAAGGATTTCTTCACCTATTTTACCATTGCAGATGTTTGTATTGGCTAATGTAGCATTCGCACTTAAGGCTGCACCCGACAAGCAAGAGAAACTACTTGTTCTGCGTACTCCAGGAAGGATTTTGCAGCCATTGGCAACTTCACAAGGAATACCTCTATCACTGTTGCATTTATAGCCAAAACTTATTTTAAGTTCGCCTTCAGGACTAAGCATTTTATCCTGCACTAAAAAATCCATTCTCAATAGTATCAAATGAAACTGAAATTAATATTTAAAACCAAAATCTAAGATTATGGTGTATCAGATAATTTGTTGTCTAAACAATCATAACTAGCAATGGCAACATATAAAGTAATTGAACCACAGCAAAACAATTTATACGCAGAATAACATTCGCAAACAGCAAGTGTCATTAAAAATGAAATTTTTAAGCCAACAATCATCAGCTCAACAAATAAAAAGATGGCAATTATTATAAAAAGAAATAGATAGCCAGCATCATGTTGGACCAGTTTTCCAGTTAACAAATATGATAATATATAATCAAATATGCACATCGAAAAGTTCGTATGTATTTCTGAGACGGTAAGACAACTGAAAGATATAAACAGGAAACGGAAGGACCAAGGTTTGTGTGAGGGGCAAGGAGTATCAAACAAATGGAGTAAGCAATTCCCTCCCCTTGCTCACTCACTCAACTTTTCAAAGAAACACAAAATTACTACCATAACAATTTGAAATGAGATCACAAGCACAATAATATATGGCATGAATTAAACATGAGGACATAAAATTTGTAGAACTTTTACTTGAAGCTTTTCAGTATCAGCATTGGGTTCCACGTATGGATAGTTTTATTTATTTTAAGATTTTGATGAATCTCATGGACTCTATGGGGGAATTGTTAATATTGCAGAAATGATTACATAAGGTCCGATACAGAGATTTCAATGAAAAGATTTGATCTTATTCTTTGTCCTGGGTCTAGAATGTTAGATCTTCTATCATGGTGCTCATTATCCGTGCAGAAAGGTCCATATGAAGACAACGAAAATAATGAAAGTCCAAACCATAGTGATTACCCAAATGATTCATAATACTTAAGAAAAAGAAGCATAATTGAAACCGAATCTGCAAAGTAAAATATTAGCTTCAACCCCAAAATTGCAGGATAGCTGGCTTTATCTAGAGTGTATAACGTTATTGTATAATTCTTTTGTTTGTAAACCTAGATTAGTTTAACCAATCTACACATCAAACAGCTTAACAACAAAGACCCTCCATCACCACTCCCTTAAAAAACAGTCTACTCCCATGCTCTTGTTATCGGCACCCAATGCAAGTAAAAGTCCAAAAACCAAAACTTGAGGCGAAATAGAATGAAACCGTAGTCAATGCAAATAATCACACACACCCCTAATAAGAACAACAATCCAAATCGATTCTGTTCAAGAGGACAGTACGCAAGCAAGGCAAGGCAACCCATCCAAAAGTCATAACAGAGAAAGAAAAACGGAAAAGATGAAATATATAATAAAAGGAACTCACCGGTGAGCAACCAAAAGATGGATGGGGTGGTGAAGAGTGAAGGCAAAGAGAGAGGGGAATTCTGAGAATGCGGGTGTGATAGAAATTAGAATAGAGGTAGAGAGAAAGGAGTGAGTGAGAGTGTGAGTATATATACAAGAGAGTGTGTGACTTAGCAAATCCCGAAAGGGCAGAGAAAGAAAATATATTGGTTGCGTTTTGTGTCGTGTGCGTGTGTGTGTGCAGCAACAAGTGGAGAATCCGTATCGCAATGAAATTGCATATGGAATTGGATGGTATATATTAGCCATTGCCAACCCAATACAACACAACACAATGCCCAAATCAACTCTCTTTCACTCTTCTTTGTCCTCTTCGCTCTTTCGGATTTACCGCTATTCTTCACCAACCCTTCATTCTTTTCTCACTCTTTTTTCACCCACGTTTCAATTGTCAACCTCACCCCGTTGACTTTTTTCTTCACATTTTTTTACTCTTTCTATTTCTCTTCCGTCTTTATCATTATTAATATGCAGTTTTAGATTTTTCATGGTTTTCTTATTTAATGTTCTTTTATTTTGTTCCGTGTTAAAGTTTCAATCTTGTTTTGTCAATAGTCGAGAATTTTAGAGGAATTTCAAAAAAGATATAATTTGAAAGTTTGAAAAAAAAATTGATGATGTTGAGAATTTTATAAGATAAATATAATTTTTTGTAGTTTTAGATGAAATGTGATAATTTAATTGGTAGATTTTGAAAGAGAAAAAGGGAAAAATAAGTTAATTAGTTCAATTCATAGGTATTTTAAGAAAAATAATTATTTATAAATTTTATTCGAAGAAACTACTAAACATACATAGTCATAGTTGAAAATTCAAAGAGAGGAAAATAAATTCAGAAAATTTGAGAATGAACTGAATCAAGAAGCAATTTTTTTATTAGGTTGAATTTTAGCTTTGATTTTAAAAACTTCCCCAGATCAAACTAAATTATATATACACATATATAGTTTTCTTAATGATTTTACGATACCATTTATAATTATACATTTTTTTATATAATTATAGAACTTAGATATTTTTATTAAATTTTAAATTCGATAATTTTTCTCTTTAAAACTTATCCAATCCAATCTGCAAAAACAGTTGTGATAATTACAAATTTAGAGAAATAATTTTAAATAACAATATTAAAGAATCAAAATCAGTTATTATTTATAATATTCAAATTATAAGTAAAATTACATCTTTATTTTGAAGAGTGATATATTTTCCAAAAATATAACTTTTTATTTTTAACGATTTATAAATAAAAGTATCTAAAAAAAACTACTTTCTCACATTATCTTAAAATAAAAACAATATAAAAAAAATACAATAACATCTTTATAACGTGTTTGGATGCATGTCCACCAAAGACAGAAGTGCATCAAATTGACGTAAGCATACCAAGTTTTTGCATCTCCGGTTTGATGTAGATGAGAAAAATATCATATGTTTTTTAATCAGATCCAAACACATATACTTACAAATAAGAATATATAATACCACTTAGAATACTGTTGTAGTAGGTGAATGGCAAATTGGTTCCAGAAGTAGCGTAATGATGTTGAAGTGAAATTGTTTATTTACTGTGTTGGAAGAAAGAGTTGGATGAGTAGTGATGTTACTTTATGGTATGGAATAGGATGCTCATTACGATGTATTACTGCCAAAGAAATGCAAAGATGCTGCCAGTGAGCTGAACGATGGGTTCCCGTTGTGTTGTTGCTCATACTTTTGTACTCACTAATAAAATTCACCAACCAAATAGGAAATTGAAGTAATAACAATAGTCTTAGCAGTGCATTTGAAGATTGGTTCATTCCCATCACACTTTTGACCGAGTAATGCTGGTTATAATGTTACGGCTTGTTTATGGACCATAGATATTCACGAAGGATGCTGCCACTTTAAACAAAGGGTGTGGCGGCTGACAGCAAAAGAAAGTAGCTTCGCATTATACCCTTCCATGCAGATTTACATGGACCATGTTCTTGCACCCGTATTTTTGGTAGGCCAAATAAAGAAAAAGTGTTTGGACTTTTGACAAGGTGCCAAACTCGTCACTACCACCCATTTATTTTGAAATTTCAGACAATTCAACTTTCTCATTAGCATGACAACAGCTGGGACAGAGAAAGATCAAGATCATTATTATGATCGTGACGTGCATCAACTCTTTAGAGAGGAGGCCACGAAACCAAAAACCTAACTGCATTTGAAAGATATTGTCTGGTAGTCAACAGATCAATACGCGCGAGTTTGAAGAGACTATGGCATGCAGAAGCGGATAAAGGTGTCATGTGGCAAACTAAGATGCTCAGTGAGACAAGATTTCTCTTAAGTTATATAACAACATTTCTACAAAACTGAAATACGTAAGATGATTTTAACTTGTAGAAAAACCTTAATTTATTTTAAAATCTTGTTTTCATTTGTAAATGTTTACAAAAACGTTTATCTAAATGAGGACCTAGATCCAAAATACAAATTCAGCTAGTTTTCTGCAAAGCTTATCTAAGACAAGTGTGGAGCTAAAATAGCTGTTTCATGGCAGCAGACGCAGCCGCATATTACTAGGATTCTACTTTATAAGAAACTTTTGTCAACCCCTTCTTCGAGCGAATTTGAGAAACCTGATAAAAAATACACAGATTACACAAGCATATAACACAAATTGTTACCAAGCAACCAAATATAACAGAATAAAAACTCTATCTTTTTATAAATCAAATAATAAGTCTTTGAACAACAAAGTTTTCATTAATTCAACAGTTTCAATGAAAGAACTTCATTGGTGCTACTTACAAAGAGCAAAGTCTGCTAATTACAAAGAGTAAACTTACACAAAAATATCAAATCAAATCTATCTAGCAGACACAGACTAGTTTAGATAATGGATTTTATACCTTAATTTGTATGATGTCCGAAATGTCAGCAACATGAGTACCACCACAGGGGCAGCCAGGATTATCTCCTATCCTCACAATGCGAGGTGTGCTTTCCTGTGAGAGTTGATGCATCAATAGTGAAACATACTGTGGCGCAGAAAATTAAGAAATAAAACCAGATTGATGCTAGGGATGAAATTAATATAGTTTTGTATACTTTAATTTAAGTATAAGCGTGTGATGAACATAAATGTTAGACAGTGAATGCTATCCGTCAGCTAATTTCAATGAATTGCTCCAGTTCCATCATAAGAAAGTACCACTACAAGCAAGGACCCAGTAGCTCGGGTGTTGAAGATATCTGACATTATTATAAAATTGATTACCAGTTACAATCACCAGTTCCATACTTGATAAAAATAATGAAGCTGTGTGAATATACTTTGATTGAGATATCACCAAGAAAAAGGAAAACATACAAAACAGTTACTTTAAAAAACCGTTTTCATAGACTAAAACAATTCCACACCACTCATAAATCAATTTCTCATCTAAAATCTGTGAAGTTACAAATGTTTCAAAACAATACAAATAAAAATAGTTGGAAAAATGTTTTCTCATTCTCTTTTTCTGTTTTCTTCATGTACTCCAAAGACAATGTTTCAGAGAAAAAAAATGTGGTTAATAGACAAACACTTAAAAATATCCTCAGGTGACACAAATTTTAGAAATCATAAACAGTTTTTCAAAACAGTAAACTGACATGGTCAAAGTCTAATATATGACACTCTCAAGGTTGGCTCTAGTACACACCAGCAAAGTGTAATACGTGCATATAGGGCAGGCAGGCAGACATACTAACTGACATGAACACACAGATGCAACAAAACAGCGAAAGGAAAACAGCTGTATTCCTTTCACTGATACTGATATTAAGGCTTGAGAGGATTTTGTCACATTCACAATGGCTGGAATGAGAGTTTCTTCCATTTTTCATCAAAACAATTTCATAGTTACGACTTATGAATCTTCTGTCCCACAGAATTTCAGCATCAGAGACCATCGGAATAAACTGTATAGTCTGGAATGAGAGTTTCTTCAATTTTCATGAGAACAATTTCATAGTTCCGACTTATGAATCTTCTGTCACACACAGAATTTCAGCATCAGAGACCAACGGAATAAACTGTATAAGCTGGAATATTCCTGATGCTAAGGAATGCTAAAATATAGTATTATAATGCTGCCAGTGGACCTTTGATCTAACAGAAATTACTGTTTTATCCAAAAAACAAAAATGTTTTGCCCTTTGTTTTTGCCCACACTGGAAGGCACCTTGTAAGATAACAATGTCACGGGAAGGGAAAGGCACTATGGTTATTGATTTATGGAAAAGCTAACAACTATCTCAGTACAAAGAACACAGGAAATTATTTGCAGTAATCTTTTAAAGACTGACCTTAGGAACATAATCAGGAAGACTCCCTCCGCAAATCTTAGCAGCTTCATCGTATGGTAATATATCAACAGAAATCTATATGGCAAGGTGAAGATTTTCAGAACGTGATGTCACATGTAAAAAGCAATTTATTAAGATAACAACTTACTTTTTCTCCCATGGAAATTAATGCATTGGCCTCCAGCTCTAAATCCTTTTGCTTACTCTGCATTTCATTTTGTGGAATTGTACCTTTATATTCAACCCAAGGCCTGGAAAAGATGCATTAGCGAGAACAGAGCAAACTCTGTGACTTAGGAACACATTTAAACTGAAATACTCATGGGAGTACAACAGCAGGAGTTTAGCCAAGGTCTTCCACGTGTAATTTTGTTATTTTTCACCATAAAAGTCCCTTAAAGATCTAAACATCAATAAATTCCATATTATATGGGACTAGTTAAAAAATCAGTACAAGACTAAGGTGGCATCAAGCTAATCTTTGTATGACCAATTTAAGGGTTTATTGTAGTTTTAGACTTCTAATCATTAGAATTAAATCTACTCTAACAGAGAAAGGAAACAAGTGATGAATGAAGAAAGTTATTCTCATCTTTCTTTTCTACTTGATTGATTAGAATGTTCTCTTTATATAGAGAGAACCTAGAAGAGAAAAGGATTACAGTTCCTAGGGCTGAGTTGTCAGAGTGGTTACAACCGTATAACAAAATAAAGGATATAAAGGCAAAACAGAATCTGAGTCAAAACAGAATTGTAAAATATAAATCTATATACACTAACATTCCCCCTCAAACACAAGGTTATTGAAAAGAATCAATAACATTGAGTTTGTGACGTAAGATATTAAACCGAGCTTGAGAGAGGGATTTGGTGAGGATGTCAACAACTTGATCACTGGCTGGAATATGAAAGACAATTAAAGATCGATCCAAAACCTTTTCTCGAACAAAAAATATGTCTAATTCCATGTGCTTTGTGCGGGAGTGTAAAACTGGATTATGACTCAAAGCAACTGTACTTTGATTATCACAATAGATGACCGATGTGTCACAAGAAATTCTTAACTCTTTAAGAAGAGATTGTAACCATAAGATCTCAGAAGCAGTGATAGCAAGACTGCGATATTCGGCCTTTGCACTTGACTGAGCAAACAATGTTTGTTTTTTAGACCACCAAGAAACCAGATTTTTACCAAAATATATGCAAGCCCCTCAAGTGGATCTTAGATCATCAATATTTGAGGCCCAGTCAATATCACAAAAAGCAGTGAGAGTATACTTGGTAGGACTACGAGAAGGCTGAAGATGTAATCCATAAGAAAGAGTACCCTTGAGATAGGGTAAGATGCGCTTGACAGCTTTCCAATGATCAGATAACGGTTGAGACATGAATTGACAAACTTTATTGACACTGAAACCAATCTCAGGCCTGGTTACAGTGATATATTGCATGGCACCCACAATGGACCGGTAAAGAGCAGGATTATCTATATAGTCAGAGCCGTATTTGGATAGTTTGAGTCCACCTTGAAGAGGAGTGGAAATGTCTTTAGCTTCTGTCATGTCATTCTTTTCAAGAATATCACGAATATATTTTGTTTGACAAAGGAGAGGAGATCCATCAGGAAGACATTTTACCTCAATACCCAAAAAGTACTCAAGATCACCAAGTTGTTTAAGAGCAAAGACAGCGTGCAATTTTGAAATGAGAGATTGCAGCAGCAAAGAAGAAGACCCAGTGAAAATTATGTCGTCAACATAGATGAGCATATAAACACAGTCAGAAGCAGTAGTGAGAATTAGCAGAGAGGGATCACACTTGCTTTGAACAAATCCAAAACTAACAAGGGTAGAAGTAAGTCTGTCATACCAAGGTGTGGGGCTTGTTTTAAGCCATAGATAGAATGATGAAGCTTGCAAACTAGTGAGGAGTCAGGAGACTCAAAACCAGGAGGTTGTGTCATATAAACATCTTCATGCAGAATGCCATTTAGAAAGACATTATTTACATCAATTTGTTGCAGTGGCCAGCTATTTGTGAGAGCAAGAGTAAGAACCAACCGAACAATAACAAGCTTAACAACTAGAGAAAAGGTCTCAGAATAGTCACACCCCAACCTTTGATGAAACCCTTTGGCAACGAGACGGGCTTTATACTTTTGAATAGAACCATCTGGGTTTTCTTTAATGCGGAAGATCCATTTACAACCAATTGCAGTACGTCCAGAAGGAAGAACAGTGAGAGTCCAGGTTTGATTTGCCATCAACGCATCATATTCACACTGCATAGCCTGGCACCAAGGAGGAGAAGACAAGGCTTGTTTAACAGTAGAAGGTTTTGCAACAGTGAGAAGTAAGGTGGGAAAGCGACAGGGTTTAACCATCCCAGATTTGGAGTGGGTTTGCATAGGATGAGTTGGTTGGGATGGTAAAGGCAAAATAGGAGGCAATGATTGAGGTGTAGGAGACACGTGAAAAGGAGGAACAACAGGCTGGTCTAAAGAATGGTCATGAGAGAAAGAAGACACAGTAGGAGACGAAACATGAGATGTTTCGGGAGTAGCATGCTGAGTGGGAGAGTTAGTCACAGAAGGAATGATGCCCAGAGGAAGAACCCTAGAGGATGAAGGTGTTAACAAAGGAGACTAAACAGGAGTGGCAAAGGGAAAATGATGTTCATTAAAAACAACATACTTAGAGACAAAGATTTTGCCATTAGTATCAAGACACTTGTATCCTTTGTGACAAGGGGAATATCCTAAGAAGGTACAAGCAGTGGACTGAAACTGCAATTTATTGGTATTGTAAGGACGTGTGTGAGGAAAACAGGCACAAGCAAAGGTTTTGAAGAAGTTGTAGTTGATGTCTTTTCGAAAAAGAGTGGAATAGGGAATACGATGAGGTGTAGCAGATGAGGGAAGGCAATTAATGATGTAAATGACAATGTGGAAAGCATGGTCCCAAAAGGACATGGGAAGAGAGGCTTGGGAGAGAAGGGTAAGACCCATTTCAACAATGTGACGGTGTTTGCACTCTACTACACCATTTTGATGGTGATTATGAGAGCATATAAGACGATGATGAATACCAAGAGAAGTGAGAAAATGAGTGAAAGGTCTGAATTCACCATCCCAATCTGTTTGAATTTCTTTTATTTTGGAATTCAATTGATGTTCAGCAGAGACTTTAAACGGTTTGAAAACATGGATGGTTTCAAATTTTTGCTTTAGAAAATAGATCCAAGTGTATCGGCTGTATGCATCAACAAAGGAAACATAATAGGTATATTCCATGGAAGACTTAATGTGCAAAGGGCCCCATAAATCGCAATAAGCAAGTTGTAACGGTTAAGTATAAGAAGTTAAAGAGGATTGTGAAGGAAGTTGGTGAGACTTTCCCATACAGCATGCTACACAGAAATCAGAAGTTGTTTTATTTAATGGAGGAAGATTACAACATTCAAGAACATTTTGTAAAACTGAAACAGAAGGATGGCCTAGCCTATTATGCCAAAGGGAAAACATAGTGAACTTGTGTGTGGATATAGTGGAAACAGAGGGTGATTTGTGAACAACAGAAACAGATGGAGCATGAAGAGGAGGCGTGAGCGAAGAACGCAGCGGAGGCAGAGGAAACTGATACAGACCATCACGACCAAGGTAGTCACGAAGCAAGATAGAGTGATCAACCTAAGACTTGGCAAAACAAACAGAAAAATGAAATTCGAAATACACATTGTTATCTTTGGAAAACCGACTAACACTGACAAGGTTTTTTATTAAGGGCAAGCACATGTAACATATTTTTAAGTTGTAAAGAAATGTGTGGATTGTGAGAAGAAGAAAAAATTGCAGAACCAAAAAGATGTATGGGCAAACCTTGTCCATTACCAAGGAAGACATGGTCATCCCTGGAAGAGGGCATAGGGTCAATGATATTGGTGGCATCAGGGGTTATATGATGCGAAGCTCCAGAATCAACAAACCAGTTTTGAGACTGCTGTGCAGGAACTGGGACAGGTGTGACATGAGTAACATATGCATGTGGTTAAGACGGTGGAACAGATGGCATAGGATGTGGTTGATGAGGACGTGGCGAGAAAGAAGACCCAGTACCCTGATTTCCATGAAACTGAGGTGGATAGGAGGAATAAAATTGTTGAGGCAGCGCAGAGGGAAAAGTATTTGACTGAGCCACATAGTTGGGGTCAAAGCGAAAATAACAAATCGAAGCAATATGACCATACTTGCTACAAACTTGGCATTGAACTGTCACAACCAGAGTGTCCACCCCTGCGACCCCAATTGGATCTGCCACGCTGATAATAACCACCCCTTATAGAGGAATGATGGGAAAAATGTGGATTAGACTGCGAGCTCATCTGAGTGACTTGAACAGTTGGGGTTGAAGCTGTTTGTGAATTTTCGTGAGTGAGATTGAGAGAGACACTGTCATTATCATGTTTGAATCTTTCCAAGCGTGCTTCTTGAGCAACAAGTAGGGACTCTATTTCAAAGAATGAGAAGAGTTCAAGTTTGCTATGCATGAGAGAAAGAAAGGCTTCATACTCAACGGGAAGGCCTTCAAGGAGAACTTCATATTGTTCATGCTCAAAAACAGGATCACCAATTGAATTAAGAGAATGAACGAGAGCCTTGATACGCATAAGAAATTCATTGATAGAGCTATCACCTTTCTTGATGGTGCGAAGCTCAGTACGCAGCTGACGAGCCCTAGCCTTTGTGTTGAGAGTTGAAGTGGATATGAATTTTATCCCAAACTTGAAACGCATGGTTACAATCAAGGATACGCGCTAAGAATGGGGCAGATAAGGAGGACTGCAACCATGAAAGTAATAGTTGATCTTGGGTCTCCCAAGTGGTGTATTCTGGATTTTCAATCCCTAAATCACGATCAAAGAGAGATAAAAATTGGGAGGGGAAGGAAGGATTGACGAGATATCGATGAAGACGATGTGCTTTGATCACAGGTTCAACTTGCTGCTTCCAGAGTAAAAAATTAGTATCCGATAATTTTTTGGATATAGCATAAGAGAAGATGACTAGAGTCGAAGAAGCCATTGGAGAAGGAGTCGTGAGCTCAGGACCAGTGCCCATAAATTAGGCTTCAAGCTCTGGATACCATATTAGAATTAAATCTACTCTAACAGATAAAGGAAACAAGTGATGAATGAAGAAAGTTATTCTCATCTTTCTTTTCTACTTGATTGATTAGAATGTTCTCTTTATATAGAGAGAACCTAGAAGAGAAAAGGATTACGGTCCCTAGGACTGAGCTGTCAGAGTGGTTACAATAAAGGATATAAAGGCAAAACAAAATCTGAGTCAAAACAGAATTGTAAAATATAAATCTATATACACTAACACTAATAAACCCACTTAATCATCATTAATATTATCCTAGATCATCAATGATTAGATAAGTTCTACATTGCCTCTTAGCTTAAGTATTAAATAGATCACTTTCAAGTCTCAACCTAGTTCGAATTAACCACATATCCAAGCCACAAAAATACAGTACCCACCAAAAGCATCAAAAGCGGTAAAATAATATACCCATCAGAAAAATGGTAGGCTTTGCCAGGCTCTAAGTGACCCAATCCTACTCTTGGCAGACAAATATCAAGCAAATGTCCTGCTGAATGCAATCTGAGCAGAAAAAACAAGGAAAAAAAATTAGATTTATAGAAACAGAATTATAAATTTTCTTATGAGCAGTGCAGTAATCATAGATTCAAAACAGTGTTTCAAAACTGCTTAGCAGAAAATCCAGGCTAGAGTACAATCTCAAAAATGGTATTAATTAAAAAGTTGGTAATATCATATGATTCACTGGGGAGGACCGTGAATAAATTCAGCACAGATGGGATAGCATTTCCCTAGCTGCAAAAGAAAAATAAAAAGTGTGCTGCAGAAAAATAATTTAAATAAAAGAAATCAGATATGTGGGATATCTCAACTCAATCCAAAAGGAAAGAAAAAAAAAACACATAAACAGAAAAGTTTGAAGAATTTTCTTCCGCTGAAAAAAAAAAAAGTTAACCTGGAGTTCAGTTTTCGTCTAAGCTGATCAACAAACAGGGAAACCTCCTTCCCTTTCTCGAGCGTAGGCTCAAATTCCCCTCCCACATTCTCAAAGAAACCATAGTGAAAAACCTACTTCATCAAAAAAAAAAAAAAACAAGGATGTGTACAAAATAATTGATGGCCCCAGAGACAGGTACCAAAAAAAAAAAACTTTCGTTCTTGAGAACTTACAATTCCATCTTTGGATCGAACATCAGAAACCAGAAATTTGTTTTCTAAGCCATGAATGAGTACAAAGCCAGTATCCGCGGGTTGACCACCTCCTTGCGGATAGAATATTGTATGATCCAATATCAAAACATGTCTACCATCATCACCCTATTCAATTTATAACAATAACGAAGCAAATTGAGATTTCCTTCGTATAACTCTTCACCCTTTACCACCTGGTGAATAACTAACTAACAAAGAAGTAAAAGAAATGAACCTTGAAGTGAGATAATAGCGTGGCAGTACATTGGAGGCTCCACATGTCATCGTAGTAGTCCAGCTTCGTTGGATTCTTATACAAATCCATGGCCTCCACCGAATCCAGAATCTAGCGATTTGGGTTTTTTGTTTCCTATCACACTTGACCCCGTGAAGTTCTCCTACTCATACACGATTATTGAAAATTTTGTAACGTCAAACGATATTTTATGTTTTCTCTGAACTTCAAATTTTGTAAAGAAATATTACTACTACTCTAGGCTAAAATAATTATATAATGGGAGAGTTTCTCTAAACTCTATTTTACAAAAATAATGAAGTACTTTTATTTAATAAAATAAATAGATTTGTGTTTTCTTTGTTCAATTTTTTTCTATTTTTAAAAATAAATTGAAAAAATATTATTTAAATTTAAAATAAGTGTTTCTAAAATTACTTATTTAAAAAGATATAATTTATTTATTAAAATAAAGCAAACAATTACTTATAGTTAAAATAAATAAATTAGACAAATATATAAAAAAATTATGATGTGATATCAATTATTTATTTTTCAAATTTGTTTCAATTTATACTTTTTTTTTACAACACGGGATTTTAACGATCATTAATCTTTTAAAAGGTGTTTTCTTCATGGTTATATTTTAGATCTGATTCACCCTTTAATATTTTGAAATTATTCCATGCAAGGGCTTAGTTTAAATTGATTAGAGGAGTATAAGTGATTTTATAAGATGAAGTTTAATATTTATCTGGTTAAATAAAAAAATATAAATAAAAAATTCAAATATTTATAATTAATACAAAAACAACGTTTCTTTAAAAATTTTCTTTCTAGACTTTCTTACTTTTTTCTTATTTTTTTAATTCAAACATATTCTATATCCTAGTATTATTGAAGTGAAATAGATTAATTTTGTTTGATCAAAATTTTTAATATAGGGAATTTATCTTTTCCTTTATTTCTTGAAGTATTTTGTATGAAGTTTCAAAAATGTAGACCTAATACTATTGTATAATGGATTTCTTCAGAATAAAAAATCTCTAGTCTAAAAATATAACAATAATAAGTTTTTTTATGAGCAGTATTAAATTTCATGTAAAGTTTGGAGTTTTGAAATTTCAAAGACTTGAAATTTTGAAAATTTTATCTTAGAATAAGTTTATGGAAAAGGAACAAAAATTAGTTGATTTAAATAGCAAATTCTTCTTCCGAATCAAAAGATTTGAATGTTCGGAAAAAACAAATGATGACTTGAATTTTGAGTTGATAATTGGTACAATGATTTTGGAAATAATCATGTGTTGTATTATTCTATTGGACATGTATTGAATTGGTTTTCATTCTATATTTTGTCGTTTCTATTAATTTTATTGAATTTTTTTAAAATAGGTTATCTCACATGTGTATGCAGTTTGAGAAGTGATTCATGTAACATACTTAATTTCGCTAGCAGATTTAAGATAACGTTGAAATCGTTTAAATCCTTTTCATTACTTTTAAATTTATCTAGTGAATTTGGCTAGTTTTGAAAATCTAATTTTGTGTAAATTTCGGTTGAGCATAATCCATTTTTCATTTTAAAATCTGCTTAGTAAATTTGGAATTTGTTCAATGGAATGTATAAAAATAAATAAAATAAAAATTAAGATTTTGAAACTTACCCTTTTAATTAGATAAAGTTAATTGTGTATGTATATTTATGTTGAAAGTTAATATCTATCATCGTTATATTGTATCCAATTACGTGATATATATATATATATATATATATATATATATATATATATATATATATATATATATATATATATATTACAAGAAAATTTTGATATTATTTATTGTTCAAACATGTATATATTACCAAAAATTATACTTTTTTACAGATTTTCAACGTATAAAAATTATAGATAAAACGGTCATAGATATAATACTCTATTAATATTTATCAAATTTATATGAAGTGTTATTGGATCAAACGACAAAAATATTGAGAAAAAGATTATTTTTTTTATGAATTTTTAAATTCATGAGTAACAGTTAATTACGGATTTTTAAATCCATAAATAATAATTAATTATAAAATTTTAAATCATAAATAATAATTAGTTACAAATTTTAAAATTTGTAAATAATTTCATAGTAAAAAATATTTATATGAAAGATTATTTATGATATATCAATAATTAGACACAAATATATTTATAAATATCTATTGATATATTTCTAAGTACAAATATATTTATATCTAGCATTATATAGATATTAAATCATGTATTATATATATATATATATATATATATATATATATATATATTACATAAAAATATATATAATATCACAGGTAATGTTGAACCCAAATTTTGAACCTATGATATAATAATAAATTTTCAACACAAACTTATAACATAATTTAAAAAAATAGTTAATAAATCAATATAAAAATAAAAGTTGGACAAATTATTTTATTTTTTATCATTTTTATTTGTGTCTTGAACTTGTACTTGTACTTGTTCGTGTTGTTGGAAAATATTTTGTATAATAATCGTGATTGATGCTAGTAGGTATTAGAAGATTATACCAAAAAATTGTCTTAAATGACTGTAATTAAAAATTCATCTAACGAATAGTTTCTATAATTAGAGAGATTTTTTTATAAATACAGTGTTGTTTGTGAACATTGAAGAAAGAATTTACTGAAAGATATTCTAATTCTATTAATCAATAAAATTATATCCAACTAAAAAGTTAAAATTGAATTAATATTTTTTTAGACATGTATTCGTTATTAATATATAAATTATTAAAATTTATCTTATAAGAGATTGAATATAAGTATCATTTACGTTATATACATTTAGTAGCTTTTTCTGAGATTAAATTTAATGTCTAATATTTGTTAAGTGATAAATTATCATATTAATTTATTAACATGTAAAAATGATCCTAGATATTAAATTATGTTTTTATGAAAAATTCAATTGTAATAATTTAAATTGAATTATTATTTTACTTTATTCTTATTTTTGTTTTCATTTTTGTTTCAATTGTAATTTATATTGAGACGATAAATTATGAAAATATCTTATTTTTATTTCTTTTAAAATATATATAAAAATATATTTAAATAACCTACCAACGTAGATATTGCCTTACATTCTTTCAAGAAACAATAAACACAAATGTTAGAGTCCAATGAATTCTAAGTTAACATACAACCTTCAATTAATTAGAAATATAGATGATAAAAAAATCTGAAATTGAAAAAAAAAAAAAAAAAATATATATATATATATATATATATATATATATATATATATATATATATATATATATATATATATATATATATATACCTATATAAAAATACATGCTTAGGCATTGTGTGCATACTTTTTAGATGAAATTGAATATTTGTTAATGTATTATATTAGATAAAATGATGCAAACTTTAATATAATGAAAATAGCATTATTTATGTTATATTAATTATTTTTTATTTAAAAAATAATTTTAATAAAATATGTATTAAATTTTAAATCATTATTATTTAACAGATCATTCATCATTTTAAGTTTTGTCAACAGAATCAAAACAAAATAATATTAAAAATAAAATAAATAATATTTTTTATTAAAAATCAAAATATAAAATATAAAAATTTAGAAGAGTTTAAAATTAAAAATTATACATGTGCATGTATGATTTAATGGACTAATGTAGCTATCAACTGTAAAGATAAAATATTTTATTTAAATATCATACAAAAATATTATATAAATAAATTATTTAAACTGAATGAAGATTAGTTGATATTAAATATATGGGAAAACTAGTATGAAATAAATAATTACAAAAAATTATAGTATGATCAAATTTGTTAAAAAATATATAATGACAATAATTCAAAAAGTGTGATAGTTTAAATTATTTTATTATTTATTTATTTTATTTTATCTTTTACCTTGATTCATTTTATTTATTCTTTTTTAATATTTTTATCTATTATTATAAAAAAAGATCATTTATTTAATCAAATGCTATTATAAATTTTATGTAAAAATATTAAAAACATAAAAAACACAAAGTAATTAAGTTTAATAAAAAATGATTACAAAATCTACATTAATAGATTGGCTGTTTTAATTTTGTGTAACTTATGTTAATTTATAATTAATCTTTTACTGATTATAAGCTTTTAGATAATTATATATGTATAATATATCTTTATAAGTTTAGTTTTGTAGTAAAATATGATAAGAATCATCTCTTATAAATTTTATTTTTTACTTCAATATCATAAAAAGATTATAATAAAAATATGTTTAGAAATATTATTTCATTTTAAATGAATCTTATGTATTTTTTTAAGTAATTTATCTTTTATTTTACTAAGTTTATTTTAATAGGAAAATATTAAAAAAATTTACATTTTTATAATTTATATTTTATTTTTTAATAACTTAAACAAATAATTTAATTGCTAAAATATTTTATTATTGATAGGATGGATAGAAACATAATCCTAATGATATTATAAAAAAATTATCTATATAAATAATTTTAAAAATTATTTCGATAAAATAATTTCAACTATAATTTTTTTAATTTATAATAATTAAATCATATTTTAAATTTTGTTAACTATTTTTTTTTCAAGTGTTTCAGATGCAGTTTCACTTCTTTTATATTTTAAGTTTTTTAATTTATTATTATTATATTAATTATTATGAATAATAATAATAATTACAATTATAATTATAAATAATAATTTATTTTTTTATTTGTTTTTATAATAATAATATTATTATTAACAATAATACTTTTTATAATAATAATAATAATAATAATAATTATTATTATTATTATTATTATTCATTTTCATTGTTTTTTTGTATTATTATTATTATTATTCTTTAGAATGGTAAATGAAAATATCACTCTTCTTTTTAACATGACTTATTAATTTATATATATATATATTTTTAAATTCTCTAAAATGATAAATAAAAATTAGAAAGAGTATGTGTGAAAATCAAGAGAAAGAATATGAAATTTCAAATTTGTCACAAAAAATTTAATTAAAATGTACTAACACTTAAATTTATATCTTTAAATTTGATATAGTATGATAAATTTACACTTAAAAGGATTGAAAACTGAAATTTTATTGAATAATTTAATAAAAATAATTATTTCTCTTAATAAGTGTATATTTTTTACATTGCACATTTTATATTTGTAATTATATTAGTCTATTATTTTAAAGAACTAAAGATTATTTTCTACAAGCATCTCACACCACCCGTTTTTTATTTCAATATCTTACATAAGTGAATTAAATTTATAAATTATTATTTTGTCCGGCTTCATCTAATATATATATATATATTTTAATTATGATTGAGCGCGGGTTAAAAGTATTGTTCATACAGCGTTTATGTGTGATTCGATTGTGGTCCAATCTACTTAATTTTTGGAATAGGATAATTTATGTTACTTATAATAAATAAATATATATATATATTAAATAAAATTTTAATAAATTAAATAAAAAATACATGTCAAAATGATATAAAAATATAAAATTTTCTATTCAAAATTTGAATATTATGTGAATATGATTTATAATTTTCTTATATTTTTTATATGTAGAAATTTAACATTATAAAGAGATTTATAATAATTTATGCATCTTGCTTAACTAATTGAGATATATCTCTTCCACGTATTACTATTATACTATATCTATTTCTTTTAATGTAAGTCTATTTTTAAATAATTTTCAGGTATTACGATAAAGTTAATATATATTTATATATTATTATTATTATTAAGTTTTTTTACATTTATTATTATTTTTAATAATTAATCTGACTAAAAATATAATGAATGTATTTATTTAAAAAATAAAAATTTAAATTAGTAAAATAATAATAATAATAATAATAATATAAATTTAAAAGAATAAAGAATATTTTTTCATATATATCCTTAACTTTTACAAAATAAAAAGTATATTTATGTTTATTTTTTCATTAAAAAGACATTTTATATATTAGAATGACACAAAGAATGTAAAGATATTTGAATATATATAATTATTTTATATATTTGTAAAGTTAAAATAGAATCACATTAAAAATAGAAAATAAAAATTTACACCCCGTATTTAATCCTACCACATGAAATATGATCTTATATTAGTTTATTTTAAGAAAGAGAAACTTATTTTTGGTAATTTACTTAATAATATTTTCATTTTGGATAAAAATAACTCTAACAGATGGAAATAAAATACGGCTGTGCTAAATAATTGTAAAACGAATTTAACTTAATCAATGATATTTACAGTAAATATAAAATGTATAAGAAGAATTCTAGATTACTAAATAAAATATGATAAAGGGTATAAAAAAAGAATTACTCAAAAAAAAAAAAACTCTCACTCAAATTACGTTTTTATTTCCTAAAATAAACTAATAATTAAAATTATTCATATAAAAATATTATAATTAAATTATAAACTTGATATAAATGAACAAAGTTATTTGCATATCATTTATTCAAATTTTGAAAGTAATAAAAATATGTTTTAATTTATATAAATTTATTCATGGACATAATTTTTTCATTTCCCGTTTTTAGTTTTCTATCACACAATACTTGACAGTGGAAATTTAGGGTATATTATGATATGGTATAAAAATAATTTATTTTTGACAAAATTAAGAATAAAGATTAGAAGATATATATTTAGAATTGATTGTGATATGATATAAAATCAATTTATTTTTTAACAAGACTAAGATACTTGGCAGAATAAATTTAGCTAAAAAGGAAATATTATGATATAATATAAAAACATTATCTTTTTTTAACAAATTTAAAAAAACAAAGATAATGAAAGATATATTTAAAATTGATTATGATATATTATAGAAAACTAAATTATTTTTTAACAAGAATAAGACATGATTCCGATGATATATTAGTAATGTTTATTTATTTTTAAAAAATAAATTACGATGTAACAGGATTTTATCTATACGAGAAAATTAGATAATATACAATCATATATCTTGTGTGATAAGAATGTTACCCGATTTAAGGTTACGCATCTATATATAATGCATTCTTCTTGACAAATAGTCTTCAATCTAAACCTTTCTTTCTCTCTTCCTATTACAATCAAGTTTTAAACAATGGCTGATTTAAGAGTAAAGAAAGGAAGAAATAAGAAGAAACATGTCACCACCATTACCTCTCTTCCAAGGGACTTGCAAGTAGAGATTTTTGCCATGGTGGCCTCTCGCTCCGTCTCTGACCATTGCATGGTCAAATTATGCTGCAAAGAATTTCGTCACGCCGCAGAGGATGACTACGTCTACCGTCACTCCTCCATGGACAGATTTTCATTGCCAATGCCTTGGTTTACCAGCGATCATGAATCCTTGTTTCTAAAACGCTGTAAAGAGAGTGGTAACCCGGAGATTGCATTCCGTGAAGGAATGATTCAATATTTCACTTCTTCAAAAGTGGATTTGGGTCTCGAGCTTTTGAAAAAAGCAGCACTTGAAGGTCACCTTGAGGCTAAGTATGTTTACTGCATGCTTCTGATGTGTGATAAGGATGAAGGAGAAAGAAAACAAGGTTTTGATCTCTTTTGTTCCTTGAGAGCGTCCTCGTGTGTTACGAGATGCAGAGAGCGGGTAAAGTGTTTTGTTCGAAGCATGTGGGTCAATAATAAAGTAGCGGTTCGAAATCGCAAGTCATCTTTCTGCTATTCTAAGACATGTGACATGGAGGAGTTGATGAAACTTTCTGGGAATTGGACATCTTTTGAGGATAAAGATTTTGATAGCTTTGGTATTTCATGCCAATGTTGTGGTGCAGACTATGAACTTTGTGTTTTTTGCAACATATTTGGAGTCTAAGTTGAATTTCTCTTCTACCAATCAAAGAAGAACCAACCAAGGGAAAAACAATTCCAATTTTTTCTTTCTCTTTTGAAAATTTTTTCCCTCTTCTTTTATTTTGTAGGTTGAACGTCCTTGTGTAGTCTAGTATTCCAATTTGATTATAGAAGAAGCAAAGTATAAACAAAAATGTAATTACCTTTTAATGGTTAACTAAAAGTTATTTCTTTTCATTTGCAATCCTACAAAGAGTGAATGATGCTATAAAAATATTAAAATTATATATGCCTACATCAATCTTTTCTATGAATTATAAGAAAACTTAACATAAGGTAACCTGATATATAATCGATCTTTTATTTGATACTTTAGGTTGATACAGGATCAATCATCTCGATTATTTCTTAACAATTAATTCTTTTTTATTATTATCACCAGTTTTTTAAAAGATTTTTTATATTTTGTTTATCCGTAAATTTTTAATTTCTCGTAATATTAATTAGTTTTTATCTAATATATTTTTACTATTTATATGTAATTTATTACAATAATAAAAAAATCCAATAACTATTTCAATTGAAAATATTTACAACAAATAAAAAACATGTTATTATATAGATTAGAATGATACATTCTTGGTAAATTTAAAATTTTGAGTATATACGAAGGTTAATAATTATTTATAGTATATATATAATACTTTGGAGAGTAAATATAATAAAGATTTACATTAAAAATATAATAATGAAATTAATCACAAATTGAATCTTGGCAAGATTTCCTCTTTCTTTATATCCTTTTTACAATATTGGCTCCATAATTATTACATGGTCTTTTAATTATATTAACTATTTCGAACAATGTAATGAACACTAGGATCAAACACTTTATGTATAGCATGTTGATGTGCATGTCCAGCATATGTAGCATGTAATTTTTAGGTTACATCAAAGTATACGTGACATGCCGATGTGAATATCAACCATACATGTTATTTAGGTATTTGCATGGCATAGTGATGTTTGTATCTATGAAGTAGATTCATGTTGATAACGTATATTCATATTAAATAGTGATAGTTAGAGATGTTTACCCTGGTAGTGAAATTTAGAAATGTACAAATAATTGCATGTTATATATAAGATTGGACCTCACATGTTATTTTTAAATAATTAAATTTAAATTAAATCGGTACAAAATTAAGAAAATCAGATTAATTTTTCTCACACCGATCTTCACGAAAAAAAGTTAACATATTTCTAATATGATCTTTTTATAAAATATATATATATATATATATATATATATATATATAATCTTATATTATTTAAGTCAACTTTAAATAATATTTATTCAATTGTATTCTATATTTATAATTTTATTATAATATATATTAATTATAATAATAATTTATTATTATTATTATTATTTAATTATTATTAATCCGTTTATTATATATTTATTATATTATATAATTAAATTCGGTTAAACTTTTAAACTTTAAACATTCCAATTTTACTTTTAGATAGATTCTTTATTTTTTTTACATATAAAAGTCAATTATTTGCATACTTAATAATATAAACATGTATACAAATATATTTTTTCCTTTTTAAAAAGAAAAAACTTTCTATCTTCGACCTTACAAAACCAATTAATTATATTCTTAATATTATAAGTATATCTAGGAATCCTTTTTTTTTTTTTCCTTCGAATGATGTTCTAAATATGAAAACTAATTAATTTTATATTTAATATTATAAATATATATACTAATAATTTCTTTTTTGTCTTTTAAATAACTTCTATCTATCTCCAAAATATAAAAACCAATTAATTGTATATTTAATATTAGAAAATATATATAATTTCATTTTTTCCTCTTAAATAAATTCTTTCTATCTCCAAAATATATAAAATAAAAAAATTTATTACGTAGTTAAAATTATAAACATGTATAGAATTTCATTTTTTTTTCTTTTCAACAAATTCTTTCTATCTTCAAACTATAAAAAATCAATTAATGACAAATTAATATTATAAACACACACATATATATATATATATATATATATATATATATATATATATATTCAAAATATAAAACCAATTAGTTTTATAATTAATATTATAATCATTATAATTTCAATTTTTTTCCTTTTAAATAAATTCCTTGTATTTTCAAAAACATAAACACTAAATTATTTCTAACTTCAAAATACCAATTAATTTTATAGTTAGTATTATAAACATATACATAATTTCATTTTTTTCTTTAAAGAAAAATTTCTTTCTACTTTCAAAAGATATAAACACCAATATACTATATATTTAATATTATAACATGTTTACAACTCTATTTTTTGTTTAAATAAACTTTTTCAATATTTAAAATATAATTAATCACGTACTTAATATTAAAGTTCATGTTTTAAAATAAACTATTTCTACCTGTTAGTAGAAAATCGATAAAGGGATCGAAAGACGAAGGAAAGAAAAGTTGAGATCATATGATTGGTTAAAAAACTGATAAAGTGAAAAGATGGTTGGAAAACACTCGATGATCATGTAACAGTATGAACACATAAATCGAGAATCAGAATCGAGAATCGAAGGAGGGATATTTAATGTCTATGGTTGAAGAAAATCGAGGGAAAAGTTAACATGCACGACCATCGAAATTCTGGCTAAGTTAGAGAGAGAGGAACAGTTAACACGCACATAGAACATGGGAAGCGGTTTCTAAATCGTGGTAGAGATCGAAGGTCAAGAGGGCGGTTATCTCATGCATGGGAACGTGAAATACAGTTTTCAAACCGTGGAACTGATGGACGTGCATGATGAATCGTGGTGACAGTTTTGTTAACTGCTCTTGGGAGGTTACTTGGAAGGCACTCTATAAATAGAGCAAAAATGAAGGAGAAGGGGAAATTGGCAGAGAGAACAGAAATACTAGTGAAAAGTCTACCGGAGAACGACGAAATCATGAAGTTTCTGGCGATCTGGATTTCCATTTTCATTGATTGTCTTTACCACTTTCTTTACTTTCCCTGGTAATTTACGTTCATGCTATTTACTTTGATGCAGTTTATGTTCATGCAATTTAAGTTTCTGTATTTCCAATTTGCAATGTGAAACTCTGTACTTAAAATTTCCTGTTATTTAATGATTTCATGTAATTTCGATTTTCTGTCATTTATCATTTCTACAATTTCGATTTCCCGTTCTTTACTTTCTTGCTATTTGCATTTCTGCAATTTCGATTCCTTGCCGTTTACACTTAATGCAAAGTTGAGTTTTCCGTATTTTTTACATTCCTGCAATTTAACATTCTGCACCGCTTTTCGATTCAACAATTTTACTGCTTTCTTTACTTCGCGTTATTTAATAAAAAATACCAAAAACAACATTTTTCGATTGTTAATCTGCACATTAGGTTGCGTTGTCAGTATTTTTGGACACTATGATTTTCGATTCTCATACATATTTTGATTGAAAATCGTTTGCTAGCCTAAGTAAAAAGAATCTACGTGGTTGGAATTTGGTTAGAACAAAATCCCTTAAAAATCGAAATCGATCAAAATTCCACCTGAAACACTACCTTCAAAATATAGAAAGCAATTAATTGTGCACTTGATATTATAAACATATATACAAATCAATTCCATTTTTTTTCTTTTAAATATATTATTTCAAAAGTTTAATATTTTAAATTCTTTCTCATCTTTTTTTTATATATATATATATATATATATATATATATATATATATATATATATATATATAACGAAGAATCATTATAATTTGATGAAGTAAATAATAAGAAAAAGTAACATAAATATAATTACAAAATATTAATTAAAGAAGCCACGTGAGACGAACTTAAAATACCGATATCATGTACAAAGAAAAATCACCAATATCCAAAGCAAATGAACTTGTGCCACAAATTCACCTGGCCACTCGCTCTGTTTCTTACCATTAAAACTTTTGGGCCGGTGGGATTTTATTATAAGCCCAATTTAAAGCACCGGTCCTTTTTCTAAAATCAGGCCCACCTAGAACTGTCTGATTCAGCTTTCACTTAACATGACTAAAGGTGGTTAGTTGAAATGTAATTATTGTCGTCCCAGGTGTTTCTTCCAAATGATTAGACTAACTCTATATCTGTCATCACAAACATGGCATTCCATTTTAATACCAGCAAAATCAAAATCAAAGTCTTAACAACAATTGGAACACCTTTCATTATACTTCATATCCAATTAATCTTCCCTTCAATAATTTAAATTTCTCATTATTGATTTCACCTTTCGTCACTCTCACCAAAATATCGTTACTTTTAATTGTAAAAATTGAACACCGAGGTGTTATGCTGTGATTTATGCTAATGAGTGCGTGTGAAGGAACTAGGAATCACGTTAAAGTCAAGTGGCACCACTCGTAAATAATGCGCACATCTGAGGACATTTCGCGTAAACTATCGCATATAAGCTCAGAGAGGAGAGGTTCTTTGTTCTCTGTGTAATAGCCAGTTCATATCACCAACCATGGGAAGCTCCACAACCTTCTTCCTCATCTGTGCGATCCTCGCCGTCCACGTGGCTCAATCCTCCTCGTCCACCTTCGACTTCACCGGCGACCTCGACACCTTCTTCCTCCCTCTCAACTCCGCCTGCCGCGGATCGGTCGCCGAGTGTGGCCTCCTCGTCGCCGCCGATGACGACGCTGAGTTTCTAATGGACTCCGAGACCAGCCGCCGCATTCTAGCAGGAACAAGCTACATAAGCTATGGTGCGCTGAGGAGGAACACCGTCCCTTGCTCGCGACGCGGCGCTTCCTATTACAATTGCCGGCCCGGCGCTCAGGCCAACCCCTACAGGCGCGGATGCAGCGCTATCACCCGATGCAGGCGTTGAAAAATAAAAAACTATTGTTCTTCTCATTTTAATTTATTTTTTAATTTTAATTTTTGTAATTGATGAAGATCATTGTTGTCATAATTTCACGCTACTACATATATACAAGTAGAGAAGAGAAAGTGAAGTAGAGATGAATAAAATCTAATTGCCGCCGTTTGTATCTGTATTGTAATTTAATTTAATCTTAGCTACACATATTATTTATTATTATTTGGTTGTGTGAAAATTGCTATCATTATTCATGGTTTTTATCATTCTTGTCAATTTCGTCGGTGGTTTCTGTTTATGTGTCTGTGTTTCCTTCCTTTCGTGTCGGAAATGAAAGAGAAATTTAGGGATTATTGATGGCGGTGCTATGGATTTGATGCTCTACATGGCAGTGTTAGGTTTGGAAGGTAATGTGATTTGAAATGATATTTTTCCTTTTGAAGAAAAGGAAAAGGCATTTCATCCATTTAGTATTGTGATCCATCTTCATTATTAACTGTGTTTGTAATCTTCATTAGTAGAAAAGGAAGGGGATGAGTGGATTGAGAGTGAAGGAGGGTGGCATCTGTCTCCTGCGCTGGCCCTCCATGTTTCCCTTTTCTCTTTCCAGTACACGTTTTGCTGAAATTGAGGAAAAAAAATAGTAAGCCATTTTCTCACAGAAAATTTAAAACAAAGGTGATAGGTCGCTTTCTCTCTTTTCCCTTCAAAACAAGAAAAAAGAAAAAGGAAAATACACTGGATACCCATCTTTATTTGTCGGTTAAAGTACTCAAGATCGTTGCTGTTGTTACGTGAGAGTATTTGTTTGGGAGAGAAAAGTAACACACAATTTGTTATAGTAGAGCATAAAGCAAAATTTCAAGAATCTTCATCGTCGTAGTTATGCCATTGCAATTTCGAAAGGGTACTTGTTTTTCTTTTCCAATCCCCGTGCCGCAGATAGCGCAGGTATCTAATTTCAACAGTTTTATCTATATTTCGTAAACTTGACTTGGCATGAATAAATTGAGTAGTACCAATTACTACTTTGGTTGAGTTAGTTATCAAATTTATTGTGGTCTTTATCAACCTTGGTAAGAGGGTAGTCATTTCATAAACACACTTTCAATTTTGTTTCAAAAACCTGGTTTTGTTTTGGTTTTCATTGGAGGAGGAATGGTATTCTTATCCTGGATTAAAGGCAGCCTCACATGCTTTATTATTATTATGATCGGCATCAGTTGAAATGAGTGAACACGCTGGTATGATTATTATGATGGCATTGGCATCTTCTTTAGCTTTATTGTGTGACAACTAAAGTACACCTCACAAACCCTTGTCCCATTATCTTGTGTACAACTATAGTTTTGTCCCGGACCACCCATTTGAGAAAATGAGAGAGTCCGAACCCTAAAGCCAAAACCCTTCCACATTCAATCTTACATGTATCAGTATCTCTAGCATGCACTTCTGCTATCTCAACGTGATTTTGCACGCACCAATGCTCTGCTAAGCTGTCAAAGATCATTACTCTTATGATGCGACCACAATCCAAAACAAAAACTCTCAATGCGATGAGAGAGAAAATCCAGCAATTCTAGAGTCACACGAAATGAATACTTGCGAGTTTTGGACGATCTAGAAAGACGCGCAAATCATTCAAATTTCGGTGAGGATCCACGGAACAAATCTATGACGAGGGTTATGATACGTTTACAACTCATTTTTTTTAAATATTTATTTAATAATTTAGAAAAATTGAGTAAAACAAATCTTTTCCCTTGAAGTTATAACATCGGGAAAGTTCTACGAGAATACATTTTTATAAATAAGTTCATGGAGGTTAATAATTTTCTCTGTATAACTATTACATTTTTCACATGGTATTTTTTTTTAAGACAAATATTATAATTTTTCCTAATCTAATTTCTGAAAAGCTGACACAGTTTAAAACGAAAGAGTTTCTTGAACTAAATGCCATCAAATTAAAGAGAACTATTAATTATCTCACAAAATATATTTCTATTATTCATTCTCCACTGTACTTTCTTCCCCACTGCTATTAAAATTAAAAAAGAAAAAAAGTTGTTGAAGAGAACAAAATTATTTACCTCTTTGTAAGAACTACTCTGACGATATTTGTAGCCACATGGGGAGGAAGAAGTGAAAATTAAAGGCATCATTTATTTATTTTTAAATAAAAAACCTTCAAATATTTTTTTAAAAATAAATAAAAAAATTTAAGACCATGGATGGCCATGGCTCCGCCTCTGTTTATAGCTGATAAAAAATATCTTGATATATATATATATATATATATATATATATATATATATATATATATATATACATAAATTTAAGATTCTTATATTAACTACAAATTATCTTTTTTTCAAAATTATATGTTACTATTTTTTTTTCTTTTAAATATATAGAAGTTGTGTTTGTATTCATTTTTTTTGAGTTATAGACTTTGATTTATTATCATTATACTTTTTTAATTGTTTGAAAATTTATTAATTTTACTTTGTTATATATATATATATATATATTTAATAATAAATTAATAAAATACAAAAGAAATTAAATTTATGATAAAAACATTATTAAAATTAAGAAATTGTTGTCTTTAAGCTGAATAGGTAATATTGAGTGATTTTAATTATCCATTTCTAATATTTTCATATTTACTTAATTCTAATTACATCTATATCACAAGATTTAAATGTTAATATATTTTATTAATTTATTCTCTTAGTTTATATTAAAAACAAATCCAATAAAATTTCAAATTTATTACTAATAAAGAGATAAAATGAAGCCTACGACTTAAAAAAAAAAAAAAAAGACATGGATAGAAAATAACTTTCATGATTAAAAAAAGTCGTAAAAAAACTATCACTAAAAGCATAGTTTTTCTAAATTTTGAAAGCAAAAGTTAAAACAAAATCAATATAATGTGTGGAAAAAAATGCATCGAAGAAATGATGTTAATCCTATGCTATCTATAATGAGGCAGCAACAGATAAAATATGAACGAAAGATATATAAATATAAAAGAGAGCCTTTGTCTGTATTTTTTATTTTAATAAATTAAAGTTTAATATATATATATATATATATATATATATAAATATTTTTTTGAAATCATATATTCTTTGGAGACAAATAAGAATATAAAGAAATTTAAAGAAAATCGAGAGAATATGAGAATGTGTGATTGCGAGAATAAGAAAACAATCATAATTTTTTATTATTTCTATTGATTCAATTTTTTTTTGAGAAAGACTTGTAATGGAAAGATAAGATATAAGCAAAACACAATATTTATTATTATTATTTTTTTTAATGTATATTAAATTTAAAATATAAATTATTATTACTAAAATTATATATTGTTGAAGAGAAAATAATGTTGGAGAAAAAAAAGAACACATAAGTAAAAAATAAAAAAAAATGATAATTTTTTATTATTTATATCTAATCATTTATATTAAAAGAAAAATGTGATAAAAAAAGGGGATGAGAGTGAATAATTTTTAATTAATTTTATTTATATTCAATATGACTTAAAGATAACATTTGATGAAATAAATAATGGAGAGAAAAGATATACGACAAAGAATATATTAAACAATGACATCAGAGAATGTTAACAAATGATTTTTTTATGGAATATATAAACTGTTATGTCAACCTGTTTAGATTTTTAAATGATTTTTTTAATTTAATTTACTTAATATATATTACGTTTTATTTTTCTGTTTATATAAGTGTTACATTTTTGTTTCACTTTTTTTATATGTATCACATTATTTTTGTTTTTGTTTTTGTTTTAATTTTTCTCTATCTCTTATTTTTTTTATCAATAGTATATTATAAAAATAATTATAAATTACGACACAATAAAATAGTTTAAAAAAATCTCTTATATAATAACATGATATAGATTTTTTTTTATTTCTATCCAAATAATAAATTTTATGATAAAATATTTGATTTTGTTTTAAAAAATAATACCAAAAAACAATTTTCTTCAACTAAAGTTGTAAAATAAGTGCAATAATTAAACTAAACTTAGAAGAAGAAAAAAAATAAAGGCTATTAAGCCATTGTTTGGCTACTAGAAAATTATATTAGGAATAAAACTTTTTCTGTTTACTTAAAAAATAAGTACATGACATGACTTAACTCTCTAGAAGTTGTTTATCCTTTTGTCTAGAAGGTCACTCATTTTTTTGGTCATTACTACAATAAGTACATGACTTAACTCTTTATATACTGGACTTAGAAATTAATGAAAAATAAACTATCTTGACAGCGACATCCTTAACTTCCCCAATAATTAAGGTAGTTCTACTTAATCTTACCTTAAGTTTATAATGTTTAAATAATGGTTTTTCTTTAAATTTACTAGTGTGTGGTATTCTTCATTCCTTGTATCTTTCTGTCATTAGTATTGTCTCTTGATTTCTTTATTATTTTCCTTTACACTGTGTGTAAATTCATTGATTCTTTCCTTGGTTATTCTTCAATGTTATCATATCTATTTATATCTTCTTTATTAATACAATGGTACCTTGCGTTGTAGTTTCTCTAATTCAATGTTCTATTTTTTTTTAAGGATCTACATTATTAAAACACAGGTTACAATGGTCTATTTGTATAGTTGAAGAGAAGAATAAGAAAATTTGAACTCAACCAACTGGGTAAATTATTTGTGGGTTAAAACATGGAATTAGATAAGATTAATCACCAACAATAGATTGGAACACAAGGTAGGTAATTTACAGGCAAGGGAAATGTCCAAATACAGACAAATGACCCCAATGTGGCATGACAAACTCATGTTATAAATAGAAATTTGGGTTAGAATTTGTCAAGCTAAATATTCTGCATCACTGAATCAATCTGGACACATGAATTAGACGAATGTTGTTGTACTATTTCGGGTTCATCAAAATCCTGAGAATGAATATGTATATCCTGTCAAATAAGATCACGGTGAATATAAATAAAAAAATAAAGTATATTAAAATAAAAAAATTTCAGATTATGTTTTTTTAAATCCTTAATACAATTAATCCAACCACTAGTTGTCCTAGGGAACCACAAGGGCATGTAGCCAAGATTCCATATATTATTTTCTTTAGTTGACAAATTTTAAATTTGCACCATAAATTAATTGAATCAGTGCTAGTTACATATTATTGAACTACTGATACTATATTAAAAATTATCATTTTTCCTGTATTTTTTCCTAAATTTAATCTAATAATTTCTGCGGAGTGAAAAAAATCTAATCTAGTTTTAATTTGTTATCTGAATTTCAACTCTCAGAGTATAAGAAGAGATAGTAAATTCCATACCTGCGATGGTACAAATGGTTGACATTGTTGATCTTGAGCTAATGCATAAGCCTGTGGTTGAGACATTCTATAATAGGGTTCTTTCAGATCAAGTTTACATGAAGATGTTTGGAGAATTCCTCCTTGTTCAGAACCAGGACCCCACATTTTAACTAATGCAAATTAAATTTTTGTTCATTAACATGATGGTGCATATATAATAATATAAGGAAAAGAAAAGATACAATTACCAACCTGACAATGTTAAATATATTGTATAACTCTGTGCATTGTGGGCAATCAAGTGAAGCCTGCCAGTAATTTCTTGTCCAGCCATGACATATATTGGTTGTGAAAGAACACAACGTAACTGGTACCAATGGGTTGTTGGTGACCCAGGAGCAGTGGAAAGCCACCTTTGCACAGTACTGTTGATTTCAAATAATTATAGAAAATTCAACAGATAAGAACAGTGATCAAAACTTCTAAATAAAAATAAGGGCGAGACCTTATTAATACAGAGGAACATATATACCTCCCATTGAACAGCACATCAAACCAACATGCTAATCCATGCACTCTGGTGCCCACAGAGGCTATAAATCTCAGAGGAATATCAATTTCATATAGTTCTTCCTCCTACAGGGTAAACCGTGACAAAATTTCTTAATCAACTTTACTGCAAGAATTTAAAGAATATAATAAAAACAACAGAATGAACACAACTAGTCCCTCCACAACAGTATACTATTATAAAAAAAAAATGATTCACAACCAGAAAAATAAAGGCCTTTTTATTTAGTTTCAAAAAAATTTCTTCTTCCAGAAAATAACTCATGCAACAATTGCAAGAGATGACTGATACTTCTATTTATAATTGGTTTCAATATAAAAGTGTTTGCCTTTTAAAAAAAATTCAATTACATGAAAAACTGGATGCAATCAAAATAAATCACAGACTGTTTGACCAGAGAGATCAGATTTTCAGAACAACAGGACCCTAAAAAAATGAAACAGACTTTAAACAAAAGAAAGGTTATATTCTTACCTTTATTTTGGTGAAGTCTATCACATGAAAAATTGAAGGAGCTATTAACAGTCTTGGATCAAAAGCATCCACCACAGGCTTTATTGAAGAAAATAATGCAAAAATCTCATCATTAGTGACATCAAACTTTTATTAACAGACCAAATTTATGGTAACAAAACCAAAATACTGTACATTAGCAATACACAAAACTAAATATAAAAAGATACTATCACATTTAATCTTTCCCTGTTCAAGGAAGGATCCTCCTCAAACCAATCCGCATACCTGAGAAAAGTATCCTTGATATGCAGTTCCATGTAGGGGTGTTAAATCAACACCATAATAGTTTTGTTGCTGCCAAAACAGTGCCTGAAAAAACGATAGAGTTAAAAGGAAAATAAATGTACATAGAGCTGCAGAAAGGAACAATCAGAACCAATAAATTTTCATCGAACAATAATCTTTATGATACTTTATACCATGAAGTCATTCTAAACATAGCTGAATATCATTGAAACCCATTTTACTGGACGACTGAAGCAATGTGTGTGTGTGTGTGTGTGAGAGAGAGAGAACAATTATGCACTATTATGTCAAGAAACAAATACACACACTTCTTAGAAGTATGAGCTGCAGAACAAACACAGACAAACTCATCTGCAAATATAAACAAAGACAATTATTTACACACCTTATTAGCAATTTCCATAAACAAATATTCATCAGTGAAAGGTGCCATGTGAATCCTACACCAACAATAAATTCCAGATTAGGAGAAGACAATATAATAAAATGATTATAACCATTCAGCAGGAAAACTGAAACCTATAAATGGCCGTTTGTTTTTAAAGGAAAAATGTTCCTATTTTAACAAATGTTTAGATAATTTTGTGATAAATTTAAAACAATTTATATCATTGAAAGAAATTAGTTCTAAGTTAAAAAAAAATTATGCTCACTCATATGTTTCAAAGAACAGCTTACAAAAATAAAGTTCATTCACAAAAATGCTTTTAAAAAGTTAATCCTATATCATTAAAAATTGAATATATCATCATTCAGAACAAGTAAGCACGTAGATCTTAAAAATTCATATTGGCTCAAGCATAAAAAAATGTAGGAATAAGAAACTCCAAGAAAGACAGAGAAGGGTTCTAATTTACCTTCCAAGAGCTGGAAACATTTTCCCAGTAGGAGCAAGAAACCTATCTCTGGCAATGACATAAGACTCCAGCATTCTTTCATTGACTAACAAGGTACCTGCACACACAAAAAAAAAAAAAAAAAATTCAATCAATAAACGAGTGGAATTTCATCATGCCATGCTACAACTTAACTCTCCCCTATAGACAGCAAAAACAAAACATATTTGAAAAACAGCATTATTGTCGAGTTTTCTGGAAGGAAGTAGATTATTAGCTTACCCATGGGCTCAGATATCAGAATATCTGCTTTCTCTGGCAATTCAACATCCTCAACTTTGCCTTTGATCACCTATATATAAACAATTCCATGATTAAAAAGTACATACTAAATAACTATTATAGCAAAACACTAGGAAATCGATCTCACTGTAATTCGCTGAGCCAGCATTGGATTTCCAGCTACAAGTTTCCGTGCATACTCTGCCATGTCAGATGCTTCGACGGCATATACATGTTTTGCACCAGCCTAAAAATGAATGTTGGAATGACAAAAGTTTAGCATATTGCAATTTTACTAAATTAAAAGCTATCACACTTATCATATGTTACAAATAGACTTAGACCCAATTAATGTGATGAACTTACCTGAGCAGCAAATAATGATAAAATACCACTACCAGCACCCACATCAACTACAACACGACCAATGAAATCAGATCGGTTCTCAATAACAGCAGCATGATAGGTCCCTGTAAACAATAATTATTAGTTTGTCATATAAGTGAAATTCAAACAAATGGACACCACAGAAATATAAAAATGTACAACCTGTCCGGATGTAGTCCTGTAACATATTTTGCTGATGCAGTAGTTGTCCATAATAATGAAAATACATTTTTGCAGATGATGACTCAATCTTTTCATCAAATTTGCTTTTAGAAGTTGTCAGAGTTCCATTTGGCCCATTTTCTCCTATTTAAAAAAAATGTATAAAATTAAACAGAGAAAGAAAAAAGTAAGATAAAAGGACATTTATGATCATGATCATGTTTAAAATAAAAATATACACAATCAACAGAAATAACCAGAATATCCACACAAATTTTCAAAGCTGCACCTTGAGGATTGACTTCCTTCTTCCATTGTTGGACTACACAGTGGAAGGCTGCACTGTCCTCCTCATTTCTAAACTGGATAGTGACTCCCCTGGAATACAATGTCTATTTCAAACATAACACGGTTAAAATGCATGAGCAATTGCAAACAAACCAACAAATTACTTAAGAGCATTATCAAACAAGGTTTTAAACATGAGAGTTTATGATAACTTGTGGAGCATTCATAAACTCCACTCATAGAGTTGCCTAGTAAACTTGTTTGTAGTATAAAAAATAATATTAAAAAATTATTAATGACATATATGTTAAACAAAATATTCTTAACACAACCATATTTCAACATTCTAATTGCAAAATAAAAAAAATAGCAAATAAATCACATTAATAAAGTGAATACCTATCAAACAAGAGTTGTTTTCTTCTAATCATTTGAGCCCTATTAAAACTGTCATTATGGCTCAGTGCAGGGTAAAAAATACATTAAATTTTAAATTGTCGACTAGCTTCTCAATTCAAGAGTTTATGCAAGTTTACCAAAAAAAAAACTGATAATTAGTTAACTTTATTTGTCAACCCAGAATTGTCGGAGTCTAAAACTTAACATGAGAATTTGACAATCATGGCATGTTGGGGTATATATATATATATATATATATATATATATATATAGTAAAACAGAAATATATAAATATTATTTTTTTTATAAACCAAAAGATAAAATTTATTCTTTAACAAATATTTTCAAAAAGTATTGAGATTGATACTATTATTCCTATATGCAAATAATAAAAAATAGAAAATATTTTATAATGACAATGATTTATATTTTTTCATTTTTACATTATTTAAAAAATGTGATTTGAAATTTGGATTTAAGTGATTGTAGTTTTATATTTATTATATTTTTATCAATTCTGATACATTTTTAAATTCGTATCTTATGTGTTCTTTTTCTTTCTTAGAATAAGTATTTGTTTTTTGTCAAGAATAAATATATATCCTAGACTCGTATCACATCCATACACTAAAACCTTTTAACATTAATTATTTATGCACAAACAACAACCGAGGAATAATTAATTTTCCAATCTCCTAGTCTAAGACAATGATTCTGCTGGTACCTTTTTACAGACATCAGATCCTTCCACCACGCAAACGGATTGAACAGGACTCAGCTTGTATAACTGTGAGGTTAAACCACAAATTAACTAGATCCTAGACTGTCATTTCATTCACTGAAGGATTCGCTGTTAGTTCATTCAGTGAATAAAGAAAGCAAAATATAATTCCAAGAAAACAACAAGTACCAGAAAAATTCAATATTAACCCTGCCCGCCGTATAAAGATAAAAAGCACGGCATAGTATTACAGTTAAAAAAATCTTTTTTTATTTCTTTTACTTTTGCATTAACTAAGCCAAGAAGCATAGAAGAAAAGAACCTGAACAGTTCGAGGATCGACACTGAATGGAATCTGGTGAGATTGCTGATAAATTTTGAGACCGTCGGTGTCGAATCGAGCGATTCCCGGCGACGGAGAAGGGAGAGCCACAGATAGGTCGGAAACTGATGCCAAATCGAACTGTCGCTGCTTCCATTTTTGTCCTAAACAATCCTCCATTATTTATTTTTTTCTCTTCCTTTCTGCACCAAGCCACAACCACCCTCTCTTACTTGGTTTCTTTGAAACAAAAAGAAAACAAATGCATGAATAAGACTACGCGTGAAACTGTTTTAGAGTGTAATTATTTAAACATTAACTCGAAACGGAACTAGGGTTTGGGGTTCGAAAATTTGAGAGCCGCCAAAGAAAGTGAGGGTTTGTTTGTTGAATGCTGGGAAGAGTTACTATGTCAGAAATATGAGGTTTTATTCTGAGTTATTATTTATTTTATTTTTATTACATTAATTATGACTTATTTATATTATTATTTATTCTTAATTAATTTGTTAGACTGTTATTCATGTTTATACAGTGAAAGATAACACTTCATTTAAAGTAAGCCATGGTGTACTTTTTACTTTATTATCTTTGGTTGAAATTATTTTTGATATTTTGTTTGAAAGTAATTTCAAATTAATAATCTTAAATAATAGTATTATAGTAAATAAATTACAAATATTAATAATATGTTTCTTTCTCTATTCTCTTTGTGTGTTTGGTTTGATTCTGGTGGGGCTATCAACACTGTAGACAGAATTGTCCAGGACCCTCTGGTTTGAATCTACAATTTTTCTATTTAATAACAAAATTAAAAACATATTAAAGTTTAACACGTTTAGAAAGTTGAATAGAATTATTTTTTTATATTGTTTTTCTATTTCATTTGTTTGTTTTTTAAGTTATTAAAAAATATTCATTTGAATATAATTATATTTGTTTAATCTTTTAAAAAATAATTAAAAAAATAATGTTGGTTCTTGTCCACACTGTTAATATTGTTATTATGAATCATATGTCAATTTTTTTTATAAATTTTATTAAACTTAAAATTGTCAAAAAAATGCTTACATGCTTGTTATATAAAAGAAAAAAAATATATGAAATTGATTGGCAGAATCATGGGTTTATTCTAAATAATAAATTTGGTTTGGATTTTTTTAATATAACTACTAAAATAATTATATTTTTTACATATTTTTTATAAATATTTTTTAAAAAGGTAAAAAATAATTATATCAAATTATATTTAATTCCTTAACGTATTATCTATTACTTATGTGAATAAAAGATAATTTTAATTTTCTTCCACAGTTTCTAATGAGAAAAAAAAAGGCATGACGATGAATAAGGTATAGAATTGGACATAATATTATAGTATCATATTTTTTTACATATATTCTAAAAAACATTCAATTGAATTTATACATATGTTAATAATTATATTCTTATATTAGATATGTAAAGAGCCATATTTGTACTTATTATCCACATTTTAATTAATTTTTAAATATTGATTAAAATATATAATTTAAATGAATTACCACTTAAAAAGAATGTTTTGAAACAGGTTAAAAACATTTTATTTAATGTTATAAATAAACACAATTATATACATACAATATATTATATTTCTGGCATGACAAATTTATAAATTCTAAGTCCGATACAACCGTGTCTTCCGTTGATGCATTGTCTACCAAATAACTTATATTTCGAGTAATCATTACAAAAAATGTTAGGATTTGAGTGTAATAAAAGAAAATAAGTGTTTTTGTGTATTATATATATATACTACCAAAATAGCTTTAATACAAAATATATGAAGCGTGAACTAAAATCCATCTCATAAATTTAAGGAATAAAGAGAAATTTTAGAAATCTAAACCATTTTTTCTAAAAATCAAGTTTTCTCATAAAGTATACGGATTTATTTTATTCATATTGTTTTAATTATAACTAGTAATAAAATAAATATTAATAAATATGTTTATATTTATTGATATAATTAATAATAAGAAAATAATAATATTATTATCTTATTATTTAATTATTATTTAATAATAATTAATATTATTATTATTATTATTATTAATTATTGTATTATATTATTATCATTATAATTAATGATAAAATAAATTATAATAAAACTATTTATATTACTAATATAATTATTAATATAATAATAAACTGTATTATCTAATACGATCTTTTTTCTAAATCTAAAAATAAATAAATCAAAACTATGTTATAAATACGATTTCTTCATTTTTAAGTCGAGTTTTTGCTATTTGTCAAATTTTAAAATGAATTGCATTATTTCATTAAAAATAACTATATACAAGGAAAAACCTATATTTAACTTGTATAAATCTTTTTTTTTTTTATGAAAATATTACTTCTTGCATTTAATATAAGAAATACAATATCATATTTAGTAAAATTAAATATAAGCAATATTTCCATCGTTTAGAATACATTTAGGATTAGCAATGATAACGACATCAAAGATTCTAAAAAAAAATCCAAACAAAAATCACGTATGTCAAAATTAATTTTAACCATAGTTATAGATAATCACGATCTAAAATCAATTATATCAACATAATCATAATTTTTTGGGCTATTTCCTCTTTATGGACTTAAACACACCCAAATGTAAATAAATAGATACAAAATTAAATGGAACGTCTATAGTTGGGCTCGGTGGGTGACAGTGACATACAAAAATTATTTATTCCAGATCTGTAGTGAACAAAAAATGAAATTAATTTGGAATAAATAACCCAAGCATTCAAGAATTACTTGTTCAATACATATAGCAGGGAAGTCGTGAACAAAAAAATGGCATTTTGGAATGCAGACTACTTTGCTTCTAAATCTTAACTGACTGCTGCTACTTGAGGAGGCATCTGAAGAGCAACAACATCGTAGCAGCGACTGCAGAGAGTAGGGTGGCCCAAAAATGAACCAACCTGCTGTGAATAATTCCAGCATCTTTCACACTTGGAACCCTCAGCACGAGATATACCGATCCAAACTTTATTCTTCCCTTGAATTAGGCATTCACCACTGTATGGTATATTTACAGTATGTTCATCGTCCAATGAGGGAAGAATCTCAGCCTGCACATTGTCAATCAAATTACAAGATTATTAAATTTATTCTATTGTGCCTCAATCCTCGATTTGTAAGGATTGCAATGTCAAAACATGAATCGTAATACGATACGCCCTGTGCAAGATTTTATTAGTTCCAACATGCTAATCTTCAAGTCAACCAGTTACTGATAGGGAAATCACTATAGATACACTTACACATACCTGAGATGTTATGAATAGACGGTGCAATGTATCGGCATCATTTTTGGTTGCACATAGTTCGCGTAATTGGGATGCCAGGTTGTCTTCAGATGTGTAGATATGAACCTTTGCATCTAAACTGGCCCCAATTAGTTTACCTGTTCGAGCAACTTCCAAAACTCTATTAACTTCTGTTCTCAGCTGGCAAAATAAGTGTAGATTTAGAAACAAGCACCAACATCAAATATCTGATGTGATTGATTTCATCCTTGTATAACTTAGCAAAGATAAAGAAAATGACACTGATGGTAACTAATCAAGGAGTACAGCGAGTAATCAGGGGAGTCACATGTTTAGCACGAAGAACCAAATCATATGAACTTCCGAAATTTCACACTTTAAGACAGTATAATCGTATTCTTTCACTGTCTGTCCATCTTCTTCATATCCTTGTACATGAGATTGAAATTTTGGAAAACCAACCTTAAAAAAAAGTGAAAAGAGTACTAAAACTGGACTCCGTGTTTAAGAAGAAAGAATCGGTCATCAGTAATTTTCAGACTTCATAATTACTATAGGATCAAGGAAATTTCTGATGCAATTCATTGATTTATACATCAAAGAGTATATTATCTGAGATTATATAATGGATAACATATTGACATCGTACATTTATATTCTAATGTATAAAACAAAGACAATGTCGATAGTTATTTTAATATTTTGATCATTTTGAGGTGGTTATGTACCCATGCTCTATTTATCATCTTTAATGATCTAACATATTATCCTTTTCATGTATCCTATTGTTCTGTCATGAACGAAGTTGAAACATTGATTCAGATTGACATCAGCTTATCTTGAAATCTGAGATAAAGGTTACCTCAAGAATGTTTTCCCAAAAATTAATTTCTTCCGTAGGGAGGGCAAGCCATCTTTCGTTTGAGGTGGGCCATCTTGATTCAAATACATATTCAGAAATAGAACCATCTTGAGTTATATACTGAAAAGGCAGATTCTGCCACACATCCTCAGCTAAATGGGGCAAAATTGGTGCTATGATTCTCACAATGGAAAGAAGATGAGCTGCAAGAACTGTTTGGCAGCTTTTCCTCGTATAACTTGTTGATCCACTGCAGATTTTAAGCTTATTGACATGAGTAATGAAATTATTCAGAAACAATTAAGTGCAAAACTGGCATCTATTTCTTGACGCCATAAACGAAGTGCATGTTAAATATGACGTTAAGCAGAGAACCTTACCCAACATAAAGTCGATCCTTGGCAACATCAAAATAGAAATTTGACAGGTCAACAATCACAAACCTCTGCAAAATCTGAGACAATGGAGGGGGGAAATGTGAATTTTGAAAATTAACTAATTTCAATTAGAAAAATATTGTCAAAATGATATGCATATATTTCTATGGTTATGGCTCTGGACTCCTACAATTATATTTCCTTTTTTCCCTCTTTAAGGGATGAACCCTATCCATAAACAAACATTACATATATGGAGAATGTTTCATGAGGATATAAAAAATTACCTGAAATATTTTAAAAAACTGGTAATTTTCATAATTTCCTTGAATGTTTTTTACAACATTTTCAAGCTGAAAAAGTGCATGTTGATCAATCCTCGGAAGCTCATGGTATTGAACAGTGTATTCCGTCTGTCAATGAGACATAAACAGATGACATAGCGGAAAAAAATACATAAGAACAGAGATAAGCAAAGATAAATGTGACAGTATCATAACATAACAAGAGGCAATAGGCAGTAACTACAGACAAAGACAAGGAGAAGCCGTCCATCAAGCAATAGGCTTTAACACCAACAATAGCATTCAAACTTACTTTCCAATCATGAAGATTTGCCAAGAGGTATCTCAAAGTTCCTCGCAACTTTCTGTAAACCTCGGACATTTGACGAAGAATCTGAGGGCCAATCATCACGTCACTTGTATAATCTACACTAGAAACCCAGAGTCGGAGGACATCAGCTCCATATGCAGGTGCTTCCTGTGAATAAGGCAGGAAAAAAACCCTTGAGGAGCTTTAAGAAAAGGAAAACTATAGTTTGATACAATTGCAAGACAAATTTATTTGCCGAACATCAACATAACTAACCTTTTGATTTTTACCTCCTTCAATCACAAAACGTGGATCCACAACATTACCCAAAGACTTGCTCATTTTTAAGCCTTTCTCATCCAATACAAATCCATGTGTTAAAACACTTGAATATGGAGCCTTCCCTGTATCAGACAAGAATGAAAATTTTATAGTATCTATGATAGACGCTAGTTGATAAACTCATAAAATACAATACTGAACACAGAAAACCATACATAATACAACAACACACTTGTTATGTCAGAGACAAAAGTCTTCTATAGACAGTATTCTCTGCCACCACAAATCACACATAGTTGCCATCAGTTATTTTCTACATAATGCCATCAGGCAGTTTCTAAAACAGAAATAAAGCAGAATTACTAATAGAAGATATTTTGTATCACGTATAAATGCATAGATGGATTCTTCTTAACCCTAGTGGATCTTGGCTCCCATCATTTTTGCCAGTTGATAAATAATTCTTGTCCCCAATGCTGAACATAGGAAAAAGATTCTTCCTTACTATCTTCACTGCCATCAACAGCAATTACTTCTTTATTTAGAGCTTCATTATCTCCCAAAATCACCAATCATAACTGTTTCTCCTAGCATTGGTGTAAAGGGTGGATTTCTCTCCATGCTGAAAACATAAACCTCTGGTTTTTCTATCCATATGTTCTTCATTAGTTAAATGTCATAGCACCATACATTCTTCCACAAAATTCCTTTGATCTCCACCCCTTCATTCTTCCTCCCAGTTGACATTGAAGAGAAGGTAAGGTCTCCTTTTGTGAAAAACCTGAATCAACTGTAAACCAGAGTTGACGGCATTTCTTACATTCCAACTGGGCAACTACTATTCGGCATGCCTGCAGTTGTTACAGAAATTTGCTCCTATTCTGCCTCCCTGCCCAAATCTGTGATGGCCGTGATGCAGGTTTTTCTGTAGCTAACTCTCAAATTTCCAAGTCTTCTGTTTCAATATCTAGCCAATTGCATAGCTTGAAGGTAGAACTTAGGGTTGAAATTATGGACGCTGCACTTGATATTTGGTTTAAGTCCACCCATAAAATTAACTGAATATTGCACCCCAGGGCAACCTTTTTACTTCTGATGAGAGGAGTACAAATTTCTAAATATGGGTTCTCGAACCTTCTTCCTCCCAACTTTGCAATTAGAGCCCTTCTTAATTTCCCGCAAGTATTTTGTTTCTCTCAAAATATTGAAACCAATTGATGGTTATTCCCTCTATAATAACCAATTTTATCTTCACTTCTTCTAAAGTATTTTGCACTTCAAAGTATATTTCCTGCCTAGTGATCCATTCCACAGGCTCTTCCCAGTAAAGTCTGGCAGTTCAAACTATCTTAATTGACATACAGTACTTATCCAAACCTTAGAAATTCAAATTCGACACCTGGTTGAAAGGATTTTCTTACTTATGATTGGAACTCTCATTTTCCTCCACTGTTCTCTTCCCTAATAACCTTTACATCTCAAAGAGATGGCTCTCTTCCATGTGTCCCTCTAATCCATTTGCACCGCATTACCTTGATATTCTTCTGATTGTTCCACCAATAAATCTACACAATCAAAACTCCAGCCCAAGATCAACTTGCAGGCCTCAGATTTTCCTTCCCACTGATTCGACAGATCAGACCAAAAATTGATAACACCAATTAAGAAAAATTAATAAACTAAAACACTGAACACAGAACTAACACATAATACAACAGTACACTGGCTGTCCCAGGAACATGTCTCTATAAAGTGTATTCTCTGCTCACAAATTACAAATAGCATCACACTAGCCTAATTACACTCTATTATTAGATACAATCCTAATACACTGTCCACAGCTATTTTCTATGCATAATTAATTGCCATCATGTAGTTTCTAATACAGAACTAATGCAGAATTACCAATAAAAGAAAAGTTAATTTATATCACATATATCCCTAATAATAACTCAATTCCCAACTCACTTAGATCTCAGTTCCAATTAATGTATAAAGACGTTCTCAACCACACATCCCAACACAAGAAAGCATGCATGTTTATCTGCATGAATTATGCAGTTGAATTATATAATGTGAACAGACAAACACATAAGCCAATCTGCTAATGTTGTTGCGCATGTAATCTTCACTGTTACTTAACATAGAAAGGAAAGTGGGATGGATTTGAAAACAGAACCAACCACTCAACAAAATATCAATCTGAAAAAAAAAAAATTGCCTCACTAATGTGAGATAAAGTACATTGCTTCTGATAAAACCAAAAAACGGATAAACTAGTTAAAAGCTAATCAATGTAATAAAAAATGTCCAGTAGAGTATTATACCTTTTGTAGCAACACTTGTTAACAAAGAACTTTGAAACCACCCTCGATGCTGATCTGTTCCTTCAAGATACAAGTCTGCAGGAAAACTAAGGGAATCTCTTTTTCCCAAGACTGCAGCCCAGGAGGAACCTGAGGTTAGAAGTAAACAGCCAAAGCAAATCATCAGCATTAGCTCAGGTAGCTGATGGTTGGGAGCAAGGGATTAACGTCCTAGGTTCAAATGACTACGGTCAAAAGAGTAATAAGAAAAAAAAAAAATCAACAAACAACTGGATGATTCAGTTATGTATGGGCATGCATGGATCTCACTAAAATTTCAATTAGTTTAACATGTGTAATAGAAATCACTGACAAATTAACAGGTAGTACCATGTAGAACAGTCCCTGAACACAAAAGTGGAAAAGGGAGTGGTTGAGGAACTCACGGAACCATGCATTTGTGGAAAATAACTATTTGACACCATAATATTATACCTGAATCAAACCACACGTCCATTGTGTCAGTTCCCTTTTCATATTCTGCTGCCTTATCACGATATTTAGTTGGGAGAAGATCCTCCATTGTCATGTACCACCATGCATCACCACCTTTTTGGGCTACGATAGCTGAAAAAGCATCAAATTAAAACAAAAGATAAATTTCACTATCTAATTATCTCCACAGAACAAGCTTTTTTACACAAGTATAAGCCATTAAGAAATTTTAGATATTTAGCACTACATTACTGCGTAGAATAAATCATTGTTTTTGTCCATTATCATTCTAGATGGTAATTGTACCAAAAAAATACTAAGCTGATAGTTTATATTCTAAGAAAGAAGAAAACAGAAATTTACAAAATTTTCGGCTCTTACACTTTATATGATCAATTATCTCTTCATTCATAAGAGGTTCTCTAGATTGAAGATGATAAAATACTGGAATGGGGACACCCCATGTCCTTTGTCGTGATATGCACCAGTCTGAGCGACAAGAAGTCATTGTAGAGATTCTATTTTCTGCCTAAGTAATTCATGCATATCAGCAAAAGACAGCACCAAATATGACAAGTGGCACATCTCTAAGAGAATAAATTTTACAAATAAATGATATAATATATCAACAGAAACTTGAAAAATAAAATAGTATACCTGAGGTGGAACCCATTTTACGTGGTTAATGGCATCCATAGCTGCATGGCGAAATCCCTCCACAGATGCAAACCATTGCTCTGTTGCTCTAAATATTGTTGGTTTTTTTGTTCGCCAATCATAGGGATACTTGTGTTCTGTATCAGAGAAAAAGGTTAATGATGATGATTTAGTCAATGGCTATAGGCAGAATTCTTTTGATTACTGACACAGAGAGCTTACCATATGATTCTTCCATGATGAGTGAGAGATGTTCATCCAAGTATTTTACAACAGCACTGTTTCCTTCACCAAGAACATCAAGCCCACCAAATTGCCCAGCCTCTTCAGTGAACTTTCCATCATCATCTACTGGAGAAAATATGGGTAGTCCATACTTCTGGCCAGTCACGTAGTCCTCCTGACCATGTCCAGGAGCTGTGTGGACCAGTCCCGTTCCTGTTTCTGTTGTAATATAATCTCCACCAACTACAACAGGACATTCCCTGTCATCTATTGGATGGATATACCTGAGACAACAACCTATACCCTCAGCGTAAAGTTTTCTTCCCCCAATATTGTAAAATGTAAAACAATTATTATCATAAAAATTATGGAAACAGCAAAATAAAAAGAAGTAAAAGAAAGTAATTATTCATTTGAGTACTTCCAACAACCTGTAGTTTTCCAACTCTGAACCCAATTGTTTTGTCTTGACATCAAGCTTCACACCCCATTTTGCCTCTAAACTTGGCACAAGCTCTGAAGCCACAATAAGAAATGGCTTCCTCTCATCCTCCAAAACAAGCCCCAGCCCTTTCTTCTTTTTTCCACCAGATGAAGGGTCAGGCTCCGCTAATGACTTTATTTCAACAACAGCATATTCAAGCTTAGGATTCACTGCAACAGCTGAGTGTAGAATAGTAGAAAGAAGGTAAAGAAGAGAAAGAGTGACATAAGATGATTAAATTTAAAACATTTAAGAACAAAAAAGAAGCATTTTTTTTGTATAATTCGTAATTTTTGTGGTATAAATAATACACTATATTTTTACGTGCCAAATAGTTAACAAAAATTAATCATATACAAAATACTAGCAAAAGGACAACCTGCATTGACTATAGCACGTTAAGTAGTCTGCCAAACTATTATATAAAAATAAAATGATTCAGTTTAAACATGATAAAAAACTATGGATACATAAATAAAGAAAAATATGTAATTCTGTTTACCACTGAGGCTGTGTGAACGGAATAAGTATAAGATGGGGAAATTAAAAAAACTAAGATCTTAGGCACTGTAAAAGATACCCAGAAATAATAAGCTAAAATGGAAAATACAACAAAATATGAAACATACCTGCATTGGCAGGAATAGTCCAGGGAGTTGTCGTCCAAACAGCCAAGCACAAATTTGGAAATTCTTGTAATAGGGAACTTGGTGTTAAAGGAGCACTCACAACTCTAAAAATGGCATATATGCTTCTTGAAACATGCTTTTCAGGATACTACGTAGAAATCAAACAAGTAGAAATGTAAATACTCTAAGTTCCATCGTATCAGATTTTAGAGAGAAACTGCATGCATGTATGTGCATGGACATACAAAGAACTATATAAGATCTTTGTAAGTATATGTATATAAAGTTATGCAAGTTCCAGCCACACTATACACCACATTGGCTACATTAGTATTTAGGATTTATGGTTCATGGTAAGAGAAATAGCACAATGGTGTATTATTATACCTCCAACTCAGCCTCAGCAAGTGCTGTCCGTGAAGAAGGACTCCAGTGAACAGGTTTTCTGCCTCTGTATATATAGCCTTTCAAGGCCATCTGGCCGAACACTTCAATCTAGAAAGTTATAAGAAAAAATTATGAGGGTTGCATAACAATAATCAGCCCTACAGTCTGAAGTCAAGCACCAGAGAAAGTTAAAAACTGAAGAAAAAACAGAATTATTGTTCAATAGTAATTATTTGGTTTGGTTTGCATGACCATTGATAAGCATTATGTTAGAGTTGATCACACAGCATTCCTAACTTAATGTAAAGTCATAATAAACCTTCACAACTATATTATATAACGATACAGGACATTGAAGTGCTGCAATCATGTTTGATTAACACACATGTAAAGGTAAATGAGAAAGGCTGTACCAGCTACCTGGGCTGCTTCATATTCTGGGTCTAGAGTAAGATAGGGATCATTCCAGTCTGCCCATACTCCATAGCGCTGCAAACATTTAGTAACATGATTAAGGTACAAAATTTCCCCACTAGTTGAAATGAAAAATCAATGTGAAATTGTTAATTGTGTATAATAAAACAAAAATCACTAGAATATAAAGAAGACAAAAAGCAAAGAGAGAACTGGAAAACAAAGAAGGGACCTTAAAAGATGACATCTGTTTTTTAACAGTTTCTTTAGCAAATTTAGCAGCCTTTGCTCTCAACTTTAATGGTGTGAGGTCATTTCTAGCCTTTTCATCCAGTGACTGCAAAACTGAAATAATTCAAAACAACGATGAAGTATTTTGATTTCAACATAATTTGTAACTACGAAAATAATGTTTGACCCAAAAAAAAAAAACATTTTTAATATAAGTGCAATCTTTTATCCTATTACTTATTTTCTAGTAGATAGGGATAAGAGAGGTGTGCAGAGAGAGAGATATGTGCAAGAGGGATTAAGCCCTCATACCTCTCATTTTAAAGTGTCATGCAGTGGGCCATATTTCTGACACTAAAACTTGTCCAAAATGGATCAGAATCTCCTCTTTAGGTGTCCAATTAAAGAATTAATACTCAAACACTCAAATTAACACATCTATATGGATGTGTATACATTAAAATTATTAAAAAATATTCATTTGATAACTTTAAGAAAATTAAACATAAAATACAATATAGTATAATTAAAATAAATGGCTTGCAGTTTTAAGTGTCATTATCATAAAAACAAATGTAAACTTAGCTAGTTCGAGGAGGTGAATGCACCTTTCTTAAAGATATAATTTCATTTCTTAATATTCTTTTGTAAGACTGATCATCATAGGGAATGATTAATATGCAAGAATATAGAAATATTGATTATCAATTTAGATCTTTTGGGAGAATTTCAAATCAAGTGAGATGGGAGGAACTAGGATTGTTAAAATGAATAGCCCAACCTAACCCTATGGACCAAGTAAAAAAATTGATGGCTTAATCTGACCTATATTTTAAAACAAACCGTAATTTTTGGCCTAGGCCGACCTTATATTAGATGAACAGGCTAACGCGTCAATTTTGGCTTGATTGAAAATTGATAAAAAAAATTAATAAGGTATCTGTACCAAAACAATTAATTAAAAAAAAATTAAATAAAATAAAAATATAATTTTAAAATTTAAATTATATTAATGAAATTAGTTTTTAATTCAAATATAATGATTTAATCTATAAATTACAAGAAAACGGGTCCATCTAGTATTCATCTAAACCATTAAATATTGGAATAAATAAATGTTAGATACTTACTCTAATATTTAGTCTTCGAATAAATAAATCCTTTATTAAATTAATTTATAATACATATACATTTTTTTAGTAAAATAACATTTTTCTTATTTTTATTTAAAAATAATTATTATTCTATAAGATGGATTAACTCATAAACTTATAGGTTAACCTAACCTAAATTCATATAGGTCATGGTTTAAACGGCCGGACCAAAATTCACATTGCTTGATACACTCCCTATATATAGAGAGAAAAAACATATCTAGTGGGAGGACTTTTATTATGTGAAAGTGCGAGGAATACATACTGGCCATTAGATTTTACTGTGTAAAAACTAGGTCATGTGAAACTTTTAAAAAATTCACATTTTTCTAAAGTGGTCATATGAAATATTGATCGTTCATCTATGGTTGTGCAGTATATATGTGTGTGTGTGTGTGTGTGTGTGTGTGCAAAAAATCTTAGACAATAGGTGTGTCCGTGTTTGAGTTTGTGCTTCATATGAGATAGATGCAGAAGAAAGAGAGGAAATTAAAAGTGAAATAGAAACAAGGAAAAAAAGAAGTGTAGACGACATAGATAAAAGTTGTGTGAGTGCATGTGAGAGATGGAGAGAGAGAAAGATGTGGGGAGGAAAGTGTGATGCAAGCATGCACCAAAGTTTCAAGTGAGAGTTGACAATGGGATAATGGAAGAAAGAAAGAATTACCAATTATTTCATTTGAGATGATGTTGTTTGAAATAATTTCATTATTATAATTGAAAAAAATAATCCTAGAACACTCTCATCAATTAAAAAAAAATTCTACAGATCAGATATTTAAATGAAGCATTTTAATATTCTAAACTCACTTAAGAATTTAATTTCCTCTTTAAACACGCCTCATGCAAACACACTCGAAAACATATCTGTTCACTACAAAATAAGTGTACGTTTGGATGCTAGTTGGGAGAACTTTCACACTCAAAGCAAAATAAAATCTTTCTTCTTCATGGTGTCTTGGAATTTGGTAATGTGCATTGAAATTTCCAAAACCATGTTGCCAACTTTCATCTAAACAGCCTAAATCATGCAATTTATTTCTAAGCAAAAATTTATTTTATATTCCAAATATGCTAGAAATGTAGGGAGCAAGTAATTTGAATTCCTAAAAACAAGGTCTTGCGTAATCAAGATCATGAAACTCAAACAAATATACATTGAATTCTAGCACTCCTACATGTCATATATTAGATGGCAAAGTTCATGTCATAATGAATAAACCATAATGCCAGAGAAACATAATAACAATATTGTTCCCTGCTTTACACCATGTAGCATCTGCACATAACTCATAGACTTCACCAATACATTTACAATAAAAGGGCTAGCTGCTGCCTGCATGAGTATAAGCCAGAGCGAAATTGCCCTTATTTCCAGAACAAAACACAGGGATCAAAAGGGAGATGAAAACTTTCCCAACCTAAAATTTTAATTGCTAATAAAAATTTGAGCTATTTAAAATAAATAAATAAATATATATAATGCAAGAATCAAATAGTGTAAAAAGGTAACTTCTACAACAAAAGGGGTTCACTTCACTAACATGAACAGTTTATTGACATTTGCAACTACTCCAAATGCATTTATTGATAAAAACACATGACAGAAAATCATTGAAATATAAGAACTATCTCCATGCTTCAAACTTCAACATTGACATGTGCCATATATAAAAAAAGGATCAAGACAAGACATTCTTGAATACAACATAGTATCAGAACTAGCCACGTCTGGTTGTAAAAACATTAATACTTGCCTTTTAATTCAATTGGTAGGCCATGACAATCCCATCCAGGTATAAAATTAACTTTATAATTTTGAAGAACCTGCAGACAAATAAAAGTAAAATATTCTCAAATTATCAGTCCCTAGTGCCTACTTGAGACTATATCAACAATTTAGCATAATATATATATATATATATATATATATATATATATATATATATATATATTGTTGCACGTGTCAGATATAATGAAAATAAAATGTGCTTCAAATGTTACATTACAGTAGCAAAAACATACCTTATAACGATTTATAATATCCTTCAAAATTTTGTTTAAGGCATGCCCTATGTGAAGATCACCATTGGCATATGGAGGACCATCATGAAGAATAAAATTTGCCTGACAAAGTAATTTAAAGTAGGTTAATACGTTCATATAACTAGGAATTAAAAAGCTGAGAGAACAGTCCAAAACTTACTCCACTATTTTTCTCAACAACTTTCTTGAAGACTTGATTCTCTTCCCAAATTTTCTGAATTTCAGGCTCCCTTACTGAAGAATTAGCTCTCATACCAAATGTTGTCTTAGGAAGATCAACAGTGTGCTTGTATTTTCCATCTTCTTGCTTGATTCCTTAAGAAATTAACCGGATAAACAACAACAGATTAAAAAAAAAGGGACTACAAAACAATGTGAAATAGCAAATAACCTTCAGAAGCTTTCTTTCCTGCCATCACTGGCCCTCGTGATCTTCGCTTTGAAGAACATATATTGTCCCTTGAATATGAACAGTAGTACGTTACGTTTGAGAGAGATACCACTTTAACTGATGAGATCCCTTGGGAATAAAACAAGTCAATAGAGTTAGCTTTCCTGGAGGAGGAACAAGCTGTTCGTAATAGCACCTGAGAAAATTAAAAAGCATGTCAAACCGATGTATCACAGGTTACTACAGCAGAGGGAGATTAATCAAACCATCAGATATAAAGAATTAGTTGGTTTTTACAATCCAACACAAGACTCAACAGTCAAGGAAGGAATCTGTAGCCAAATACACAGACTTAAACATTTATTCCACCACAACAATTTCAAAAACTTGCAAAAAAAACATTTCAACATCAATTCTTGGGAACATCAATTATTTCAGGCCATATTTGTATATTGTTGCAATTGTGAGACGAACTACGTTACCAGAGGAAGCATATTCCGCAATTTTCCGGAGAAGTTAAAACAACGAATGGAGAATTTCGCAAAAACTTCACTTTCGTAAAAGCAAACAACCGTTTCAATTCTCACTTGGACAATTCATCGAGCACATGGTCTATCTCAAGCTAAAAGGATAAAAAGCCCACCGTACCCATCCAATGCGTGCATAACAGGAGCAATTTGATTTTATTGGCAAAACGAAAGGAATAGAAGACTATCAATCCATTGTGGCAGAGTGTGAGTTGAAAAAAGTAGTAAGCAGAAGCTCAAATTTAATTGTGCTATTTATGAAGCGCGCCACAGATGATTAAAAAATGTTGGTTAGCGTTGAGGAAGAAGTAATAAATAGTAGATACCGTACCCTGTAAGGAGAGGAATGCGTCATGGTGGATTGTGTTGGTTTGAAATTGAAAGCGGAGGAATTTGAAGTGAGGGATTTGAGAAGAGACATGGTTGAAAGCACTCAACTCAAAACCAAGATTCATCCATTCATTTGGATAACTCAAGTCTCCAACCTAAGCCACACTCACCACCATTTCTTTCTTGCGCTCGTGTTTTCGCCAACAACTACTGCCTATTGCTGCTCCTCATCACGAGTAGATAACTTGTTTTAAATTGGACAATCATCATTCATTATACAACCTATTTTTGTGAACGTATTATCACTCTTTTAAATTTATTCTCTCAAAATTAAAATGTTAATTTCATAACAAATTTACAGAAAAGAATGTGATAAATTATAGGCTTAACTATATGAAAAATATTTTTTTAAAAGAAAAAATAAATCTTCCATTACAAAACATGAAAATATAGAGAGAGAGTTTTTATGTTAAAGCCAAATTACAATGATTTTCTAAATTTATTGAAATTAATTTATGCCTTTTAAAAAAATTGTAATAAATAAAAATCATTAAATTAATACTGAGTATGACTTTATGATCATCCCTAAATCACATGGTAGTTTAAACTGTCACAAAAGTGTATGTAAATATGTCAATATTGCAACATCAGTTTTGTTGGAAGATTGATGTTCTATTTTTGAAAATATCAAAGAACTGAAGGTTATAAATATAAAAAAATGAAATTGAATTTATAAGTAAAAAAGAGAAAAAAATAATGTAAGTGAAACCCCTATTTTAGTTCTTAGAAAAGTTAATGTTAAAGAATATTAAATGAAACAAACAATTCAAGTAGCCCGGTTATAATCACATTGAAAAGTAATTTGATCTGATAATCTGCTTAATTCTAGTATGCAACAATATCTTAGTGTAAAGTGTTAATAAATGTTATTTCATCAAATATGGTGACAGTTTTGTGTAGTTTGAGTTATAGTTACTAGAAAATGTTAGACGCACTGTGTTGAAAATCAGATTCCCTGGTTTATCTTCTCTAATGGATAATTGATTTAAAAAACGATTGGTTATTTTTAAATAATAAAATTTTAATTCAATTAATATAAAATTAATTAATTTCTAATCTTTAGTAGATAAAAAATTAAAAATCAAATTTTTAATATAATTATTTTATAAAATTTTAATATATTTATCTTTTATATTAATTATAGCAATTTTAAATAATAATTATTTTTTATTTTAATTATTATCTATCTTTCAAATATTTTATATTTATAATTTTTATTCTATTGAAATTTATTATGATAATAATAATTATTATTATATTATTATTATTATTTTTTAATATTATCAATGAATTTTTTATATATTTATTATATTTTAAACAAATATTATTTTATAAATTAAGTTAAATTCTAATTAAATCTTTAAATACTGAATTTGTGTTTTCATCAATTTAAGTCTGATTTTAAAAATATTAATTAAACTCCATTCAGTAATTTCAGATAATCATATTTATGGATGAAACTGAGAAATAAATATAAATTTATTCCAATTTTAATGTATACTATGTCTAATATTGTGAAGTAGTGTATGCTTAATGTAAATTAAAATTTCAGTATTAATTAAAATAATATAAAAAACCTCGTTTATTTGAATAATTGATAGAAGGTTGGCAATATTTTATTTTATTTAAAACTCATAAAACATATGTAAACGTAACGAAAATAAATATAATTACATAAAGATAATAATATAAATAAAAAAGTTATTATTTCATTCTTAAGAATGGAAACTTTAATGAATGTATAATTTTGAGATATATTATTTTCTAGTTTTTTTTAATCTTATTTGCATGTTAAAAATAGTGCGATTAGAATATGGTGATTTATTTTTTGAGTGTTATCAAATTAAATTAAAAATGATAATCGCTATAATTTAAACGCTCGAATCCATCAACAAATACGATGATATTTTGAGTAAGAACGAACAAAAGAAGAATAAATTAAAAATAAGGTCTTATCCATCCATAAAGAAAACTGAGACATTGTTTAATCATAACAACAGAACTATTAAACCAAGATACTAAAGGGATTTTCCCAGAAAAAATAGATTATGCTAAAACTACCGTACAAAAAGAAGAAACCCCCTGTAGCTTGGTATGTGGCTTAGCATTTCACCTCCTTCAAAGCATATGCGAAGTAAAGAAACGTGGGATCAGTGGCACCATCCTTATAATAGGCAAACACCACGCTACCATCATCATGCATACTCTCACCAACAAAGCTGCAAATAAAAACTCAGTCAACATGGTTTTAACAATTAATGAGAATTAAAGCAAAAAAAATAATGTATACATGCTAATTAAGCCAGATAAATCAATGATTTATCATGTCAGAAAATATACAACTGGTGGCACTTACAACTGAAGATCCTTAATCTTGGAGAGCAGGAACTTAGTTGCTCCTTCAATGTGTTTTTTAAACAGATTTTGTTTCTCACAGTCAAGTTTTTGCATCAGCAACTTGATATACTTCTTCATGAAGACAACAAACTGCTTCTTGTCAAAAGCAGGTTGCTCCTGCAAAAATTGTATAGAAGAACAATTATTCTACAATCTTAATCCATGAAAATACTAAAATCCAACCAATAATTAGGGGAATACAAACCTGAAGTCTGAATGTGTCAACAATGTCAACAACTTTGATAGCTTGGTCGTCAACACCCTCATCTTCCCCACCTTCAGCAGAGGGGTTTGCACCAATGTCGACATCAATAGCTCCCTGAACAACCCACTGCAAACCCAAAAATAAAATGTCTTACATCTACTCACACATACAAACCCTGAACAACTAAAAAAAATGAAACTAAAAACTTTACAGTTGATTTACAAGAATAATATTTAAACATATAAACAAAATAATCCAGATATGCCAAACATTCAACTGACCTTTCCAGCAACTTCCCACAACATTCCATTCTCAATTTCCTTGAAGGGGAAGGAGTCCGAGAGAAGCTCATCGCCTACACAACACAACGAGATACACTAATTACTACACGCATTCAACCAATACAATGTAAAAATAGATCGAATCGTCAATTTTATTTACATGATAGTAATTTATGAGGTGTTTACGCTACAAATTCTAAATCTGAATTTCATGCAAATCCTATGACAGTGATCCAAGTTCAAAACCATATTAAATAAACGAGAGATGTAACAAATGAAAATGCTGATTTTTTTCTATTAGAGAATTGAAAAGGCAAAAATATAGATACCTGTGAGGATGTCTTGGTAAACCAGCATATTTGCAAAGGTTCTTTCTGAGATAGTTTGGAAAAGAAGGTTTCTGTTCTGAAGGACGAGAATGCTTAGAGTTTGTTTGAATACTCTGATGAAGGCACAAATACGTATTTATAGGGGAAATTCGAAGGAACACGCAAAAATTTTCGACTTCGAAATTCTCCAAAGTTTGATATAAATATTATACAATATGATCTAATGTCCATGTGTTTTAAATCTTTTAGGAATTATATCTTAAAGATTATTCTCTTATGCTAAATGATAAGTTAGACTGCAATATAAATTAGAATATATTACATAAATATTTTCACATAATATTTTTTGTGCAAAAATAATTTTTATTTTGATTATCTTAAATTATATTTTTCTATATTTTGTTGTGTACTTAATTTAATTTTCTGCCAGTTTTTCAATTTATTATCTTCTATCCATGTCTTTAAATAAAATTAACTTTATATATTAAAAAAATAATATAATGGAGTCTAATTATATAAAAAAGTTATGGTATGCAATACTAATAATGATTTATAAATCTTGAAATAATAAATAACTAGTATTTTAATTTATTAATTATATTTTATACAGTTAAATTTTATAGTAAATAAATATCTTTAAATATAAACTATATTTTAAATTGTCAATGATCTATTTAATTGTACTACACACTTATCTTTTAAGTATGGAGTTTTTTTTTCAAATTATCAAAATTTAACTTAGGGATAAAGATAAAAAGAAGTACATTAAAAGAATAACTAGTTAAGAAAATAAAATATGCAGATAAAAAATATAATAATAGAATAGCTCGAGATAATTCGAAGATAATTTTTTTATACTAATTAGATATTGTGAGATTTTCACTCTGTGTTCTAATTTATAATATAGAAATAAATCTAATTAAAAAATAATTTAAATTATCTAATATTATTTAATTTTCTGGGCCTGCAACATTTTGTCCAATTAAACCATATTTTACCTTCGTATGGTTTTCATTCTCTATGATTCCTGTCAAATATTTTGGAAGATTAATCGTGATGGTATCGATTAAAGATAAGATTAATATTGATATATTCAAGTATTAAATGGATCCAAGCCAAATAAAAATGGTATCATTGAGAATAAAAATAGTTAATTTGTAACTGACAACTCTATTATTTACTTAAGATTGATTAATTTACTTTGATAACTTATTTGATTAAATTTTAATTTATAGTTGATTAAAACAATTCTTAAATTAGATTATCAAATTTTATTCCAAAAAATAATTTTTTTAATTAATTATAAAAACTGTTTTTAAAAATTGAAAGATAACACTGAATCAAATAACTGTTAATTTTTTTATTAATTTAACTTTTAAAAAAATATTAGAACTCCTAATTTAGTTTTATAATGTAAAATAAATAAATAAAACCAACAATTAAAGTATCCTTTGAAAATTCCATTGACAAGAAAACCTGGCTGATCTTAAGTCAAGAGTAAAATTTAGAATAATTAAATACCACTCATTAATTTCAAATAATCATATTCATGAATGAATTAAAATATGAAAAAAAATATTTATGCTAATTTTAATGTCCCCTATGTCTAATGTATTGTGAAGTAGTGTATGCTTAATGTTGATTAAAAGTTTAGTATTAATTAAAATTATATATATATATATATATATATATATATATATATATATATATATATATATATATATATATATCAACTCATTTACTTGAATAAATGATAGAAGATTGGCAATATTTTATTTCACTTAAAACTCATAAAACATATGTAACGTAGCGAAAATAAATATAATTATAAAGATAACAATAATGAATCTACAATTTTGAGATATACTATTTTTTATAGATAATTTATCACATACAAATTTAATTCCCAAACATTTCGTGTACAATACTTTTTCAACGTGCAATCCTTCCAATACAGCTTTTTTTCTTTTCGAACATAATTTATATTATTAATAAAGGAATTTCTATTTTTTGTGTCTACAGTTATTTTGACAAGTTTGTTCTTTCATTACTTTTAAAACTATCAAACACTGGCGTTTTGAGTATTACTTTCTTTTTCCACTCATTTTACTGTCCAACATTTATCTTCTCTTTTTTTTTTTCTCTTTATACTAATTTTTTAAATATATAAATTATAATAACTATTTTTTTTATAAATCATAATCCATTATATCCATAATACCTATTTTTCTCTGGATTTGGTTATATATAAAAAAACACCTCTATATAATATAAATTATTATTATTATTATAATATATATTCTCATTCATTATAGTTTTTTAATTACTTCTCATGACTTTTAGACATGAAATGCCATTTTTTTTTTTTTTAACTTAGTTTGTCTTGCATAATATCTTCACAGGTCATGATTACAAAAACACAATTAGACGCTTCACAATCATCAAAATCAACATTGAAGATGTAGGAATATCTACTTCTAATTTTGAAAAGAAGTATAATCGTGGAAGTGTCACCTTGCCATTTTCTAACAGCCATGACATCCAAATCCACTTACAATGCCATGATACTAATGTTTCTTACCCCTTAAGTCCCCTCTAAAAATGCATACTTTCAGTAGCTATGGTTTGAAACAGAAAATTCAGCAACAAAGCTACTAATGCTAACATTCTGACCCAGAAGATCATGATTTCGGTGGTGACATGGCTACCGAGAATTGACATCAAAGAAAAGCTGAGACATGAATTCAGCTATCGTATCTCATATTCATTAAAATCACTTGCCAAGTGAACGTGTAAGTCAATTCCAATTGGCAGAAAATTTTAGATGAGCAGGAGACTGCAACAACGAAGAAATTACATGGCACAGAGGCTGGGAATGGTCCTGGAAGAAGAAATGCTTCCAATGATCGAAGAGCGTTTGAGGTCTTGAAACAGAGGATACTTCAGACAGGATCTTCAGAGAGAAACACAAAGCCAATAATTGGCTTCTCCATCTAAGTCCATTGGGAAGCACACAGTCCCCTGACATATTCTTTTCACATAATGTCTGGTTTTCAACAAGAGCCACTGGACACATGAAACTTGGACTCAATTGACACAGATTACGTACAGCTTGAGTAATTGACTGTTGAACAAGAAAGGATTTTTGAGCAACAAATACTTCATAGCTCAAAGGGGATCCTGATGGTCCATCAAAAGGAACAGAAGCAGCATGTGTCAGAGCAAGAATTGCATGTTGCCATATTGAGGGACTGAGCGAACTTGTGATGGACCTCAATATAGGTAAATCATTTAGGTCTCTGGTTTGGGCATCTACTCGATCAACATAAAGAGTGACATCTGGAGGAAACTTTTTAATATACCTCTCTATAGACGACAATATCTTTCTGTTGTAAGCTTGCTCCTTCATAGAGGACTTCAGACCAGGTGTGTCAAAGATTCTGATCTTGATTCCATCGATAGTTCCACAAACCTCTTTTATAGAAGTTGTGGCAGATTCAAATGCATTTGTCACGACCTTCATTTCACCAAAAATAGAATTTATGGTTGCACTCTTTCCCACCCCACTTTTCCCAAGAAGTAGAATGTTCAAAGAGAAGTCTAAATCATGCAGACAATTTTCTTCAAGCTTCCTCGCTAATGTTTTTGCTGATCTTATGACAAATTCCTGATTCAAGCGCCTTTCAATATCTGCAACTAACCTGCACAAAACTTTAGAAACAAAAGAATCTTCAAGAGATATATTTACTCGCTGGACAAGCCTCAAGAATTTTACACTTATGGTTTGCATTTTCTGTATTTTTTCCTTTTCTTTCTCAGTTATGTTGTGTTGGAAAGCAGCTCGAGCATTGTTATAAGGTAAGGAGCTGAAACTATCCGGAACTTCGAGAAAGATAACACTGGATTCATCGGCGGAGGTGACTGTACCTGAGCTGCCATCCGATTCAGCATCACCATCGGCATAGTTTGATCGGACTTTTGCATCATCCTTTGGTAAGTTCATCATTCCATGTGAACTCCTGATGACCCGTATTTCTCGAGAATCCTTACCAGAACCTTTTGAACCCAAAAGAATAGAGAGAGCTGAAATTTGTTCCTTGAACTGCTCAAGGCCATCTGACATAATCCCTTCCGCATCTCCATCTGAAGCACAACTTTCACTTTCTGATTCTTGACATGCCGAGTTTAACTCAAGGGTACCCTCTTCTTTTGGAGGGTATCCCAGGTCAAGTTTTTCCACATTTTCATGTGAATGGTAACCACAAAGCAGCTCATCTTCTGTACTAACCCCTAACATGGTTTTAGACAAATCCTTTTCCAAATAACATTGTGAAATAAGTGTGGGATCAAAAAGTTCAGAAGATTCAACACCACGAATTTTGTTACCTCCGTACACACCATAATTGGATTGAAAAGTAGCAGAAGAATCATGAAATTCAGCATTTGAGTTTACCACAGTTGTAGTTATACTTACCAGATTCTCAAATTCACTCCCTTGATCAGCATCTCCACCTCCATCCGCATTAGCTTCCGTGGTTTGAGTTGGTGTACTATACTCAACATTTTCCGCAAAAGCTTCAGATACAGGTTCACCAGCCATGCAATGTACTTGGGAAGTAAGTTCTGGTAGATCATTGAAATTTATATCCTGTTCTTGCATTATGCTGTTGTTATAATCTTCACAATCCTCAACACTGGACTTCAATAAGCTGTTGTCACCAACCCCAATCGAAGTTCCTTCCCGCAACTCCCCTTGCATTATAGTATCCGCCTCAGCCTCAGCCCCAATCAACTTAACATTCTCCAATTCATCGAACACCACTCTTGCCATGCCAAATTGCTCGTCTTGTGAATGCTGCGACATAACATCTGAATGCGTTGCACTAGAGACCGAGTGTTCATCACAAGCGACCCTAATTCCAAGAACTTGGTCCCGATCATGCTCATCATCCACATACAGTTCCTCGTCACTACCACTGAAAGATTCGAAATCATTTGCAAGCAATGATTGACTTACCGGTAACGAGTTTGCAAAAGTAGAAGGCTCTTGGTTTTCTTCTTCTTCTTCTTCTTCGTCGTCGTCGTCATTGAAAGTAGACAAATGAGCAACGGGAGTAACACGCAAAGGCGCAGCGTGCATGGGAGATAGCTCCACACACTCATCATCTTCAACACACTCTTCTTCTTCTTCTTCTCGTTCTTGTTCTTCTTGGGAGGTGTAACCAGATTGAGAAAGAGTAGCATTACTTGAAACATCGGCTTCAGAATCATCGACTTCGAGCGTAAGAGGAGCTCGAATTGGAGGAGGGTCAGAGTTCGCGAAGAAGAAGAAGCCCTTCGAGTCCGAAGAAGCCATCCTGTGCGGGATTGAGACTTGGGCACGCAAATTTCAAAATTCGGATTTCTACAACCTATCCTTTCGAGCGTATTTGAAGTCAAAAAATCAGTTGGGCCAAAAGCGAACGACGCGGGTAATAAGTTGGGTCAAAAATGGCCCAGGCCCAGGAACGATTATTACGGTGAATTCTTCAACGGTGTGGAGTGTGTGTCTGTGACTGTGCTCGAGCTTTGCTCCTTCTTCTCACGCTTCTTATGGAGGAGGAAACTGACCTAAGCAACAAGCATCCTCACTGAGGTTTCGAATCTTGCAGAGCTTCCACTTTCCTCAAGCCAATGGCGAGTGCGCAATACGCACTCTCCTCTCTTCTCGCGTCTCAAGCTAACGGACGAACCCCTCGTCGTATTCCACTTTCTTCGAAGCGGCACAGGAAAAACTATTTGCGACCCAAAATTCTGAAAACCGTAACCAAACCCTACCCGCTCCCTCTCCCTCTTCTACCTTCACCTCCGCCGCCAAATCCTGTCGTCATCCCGCAAGAAAACAACAACCTCAGTGTTGAGATTCCCTCCGACGAGACGCTCGCCGCAGTCATCGCCGGGGAATCTGAAAATTTGGGAGAGTTACAGGTTTCTGTGGTTACCGCGAAGGAGAACGGTGTTTTTGATAACGTTTCCGCAAAAGATATCTTCAAATACGGAGCTATGTATTTTCTGGGGTTTTTTGTGTTGCAAACTATTTACGCCGTTTGGGCTGTATGGAATTACAAACTCAGCCAGAAAGATGAGGATTTGGTGATTGATGGAAGGAGAAATGGGGATGGGAAAACTGTGTCATTACCGGCTAATGTTGTTTCTGAGGAACAACTTTTAATGGAGAGGAAAATCGAGGAAATTAGGCTAATGGCGAGGGAAGCACGGCGAATTGAATGGGAGAAGAAAGGGGAAGACGAGGAGGAGGCGGCGGCGGAGGAGGAGGAGGAGGATTTTGAAATTGAAGATGATGAAGGTGCTGTTTCTAGTCATAGAGTTGATATTGAGAAAGAGATTGGTAAGCGATTGTCAAACTTGCAGAATAGGATAAATAGAACAAATGCTAGGGCTAAGGAAATCTCCGAAGCGTTACAGATGAATGCACATGAGATTTCTGCTGCCGGAGTGGATAGGGGTGTCAATGTGAATAAGGGAGACGAGGCATTGGTGTTCAAGAAAAAAATTAAATTTAGAAGCCCTTCTACTAAAGCTACAAAAACTCCCAAGGGATTTCCAGGGACCCGCAATCGGAAAGCTTCTGATGCAAAAAAGAGGAATTCAGCTGGTGAGGAAACAGCTCAAGATTGCGGAAGTGGTGTTTCGGATCAAGCACAAATGTTACATGAAGATAAACAAGTCAAACATCAGGATGCTGCAACGCAGAAGAGTGTTTCTAGTGTTCCTTTGGAAGAAAGGCCTTCATTCGTTGATGACGAGTTCAAAGTGATTCAAAATCATGCGAAGAATTTGAAAGAGAAGACGGCGACATCAAATATGAAGACAGGCATTGGAAATAACACTAGAAGGACTAACAATGGTAATGTGTTCAATTCATAACTTCTTTCTAAATGGTTTTTCATATCTATGGTTTATCTGAATATTTAAACTCTACATTCGGTTATTCTTGCAATTTTTGATGGAACAACACATTTTGAAATACATTTTCTTTTCCCGAGTTATGGCTATGCAGTTTTTCTTTTTTGCGCCATTGCTCAAATTTCACTATGCATGACTTAAGGCATTAGAACTTTTGTATGATTTCGCATTTTATATAAATAGAACAAAAAATATACAGATTTATCTTTTGAGGTTTTGACAGTGAAATGTAGGTTAGTTTAGGATAAATGTAGCACAATTTGTGTTAACTTTTATATTTTTAGGTGGTGTCCAGGAGACTGATTCTGGGATGTCTTCGATGGAAGTAATTCAGTCAAAAAAATCAAAAGACTTGAGTACACAAAACAGTAAGGGTTTTGTGGAAGAAAACCAGGACACAGACCCAAGTTTCAAAGAGGATGGTGTGCACAGTACAAATGGCAATTCAAGACATGGATTAACTAAAAAAGACTCAGCAGCTGACAGAGTCAAACTCGAAGATAAGCAAGCAAATACTAAGACTGATTTGTGGTGGCTGAACCTCCGTTATGTGTTTGTAAGTACAAGAAAAATTCGTCTTGTTTACTTGTTTTTAAATTGCATAATATGTCTACCCAATGTTGGAAAATATTATTATGTTTGTAATTTAAAATTTAAAATAATATATTTGTTTGTTCTAATAAGTTTTTCAAATAAGTTTTGTTAACGTCATCATGCTGCACATTGTGATATGTTGGTTGTTGGTTTTCTTATAAATTGGTCCTTGAGGGTGGAAAAACATATGCTAAAAATGTGTTGAGTATGTGCAGTTCATGAGATAAGACTCAATGGGCAGAACAAATTCTTTTAATGTTATCGTCATCATGCCGCGCATTGTGATATGTTGGTTGTTTTTTTTTTTTCTTTTCTTATAAATAGATCCTTGAGGGTGGAAAAATATATTTACTAAAAATAAATAAAATTCATGCATATTTATATTGAAATGTGTTGGAGTATTTGTGGTTTTCATGAGATAATACTCAATGGGGTTGGCGTATCCTGGGAGAGTATCGTATTGTTCTAAAACAACAATGCACTGGAGGCGTTTCCCTTTTGCATGCATCAATCCAGAATATTCTAAATCTTATTTTCTATTATAATTTATCATTTATGCTTATTATTGTAAACATTATTTGTGTTTTTGATGGGGTGTTTGTAGCTGTTCTAATATTTTTACATTATTGTTTCTTTATCTAACACCCAATAATACATCATCATTATGAATTTTCAAAACATCACTATGTTAAATCTGTGAAACCTGAAAATTTTTCTCTTTATATCAACTAGTATATATGAGTTAATCCTTAAAAACTTTGACAAAGCCTTTTTCATGCATGTTGTCGGACACAAATACTGAAGAGCTCTTTTTGTACTGATATAAGTTTGCTTGAACTATCATTTAGTTATTATTCATGTCATTGTGTGAATCCAGTTGCATCTAATTATAAAGTCACTATCTATGTCTGTGAAGGTCATTCTCATGCGAAGAGATTCCAAGGAAGGATCAGAAGGTTTCTATAGCTTGAAGTTCACATCTAAGGAACAGGACCGGAGTGATGATTCCTTTACTATTGCTTTTGAGGATCATGCTGATGCCAACAACTTCTGTTTTGTATTGGAGTCCTTTTTCGAAGATTTGGAGTCTTTTAGTGCTGATGCAATTCCAATGTCAATTCAAGTAAGAATCTCATATGCCCTAACACATAACTGAAATGTCTAATTACTACCCACGAACCAGGCATATGAAAATTGGGAATTGATCATTTAGTGGCCAATTATATGAACCTATAGTAAGCTGTAGAGTGTACAATCATGTTTGATACATACCTTGTCCTAAAGTGCACTTCTAATATTTTGCAGGACCTGAATGAAGAAATATTGTCTCATGCCAATAAAATGGTAGTTGTGAAAAAGAGGCAGCTTCAACTCTATGCTGGGCAGCCGCTTGCTGATGCTGAAATGGCCTTGCGTTCTATAATAGAGCAATATCAAAATGCATCATCGCATTGATATGACTGTTACTTTATAAAGCCCCACAAGAAATGTCCATAATTCTTGAAGAAACGGCAACTCTAGCACAATTGGTGGTCATGGTATATGTGGACACTTGGTGAAAGTTCAGCGTTTCACCTACATTAGATCTAAAGTTTGACTTGATGGAGCTGAGTTCTGGTAAAGAGATGAAGTATGCTTTTTATTGACTGAATCTCGGTGGTCTACCCTTTGGAAATTCTTCCTGGTATTTTAGTTTCAATACCCACCCATGTGCCTTCGAAAAGGAAGTGCGTGCTAGAGCCACTAGATACTGTCAAGAAGTCTTATGTTTATTGGAAGTAGGTAAGAGGTCGGATATGTGAGGAGATTCACACTATAGTTGTAATGCAAATCTGAAATTTTTGAAAATAAATTCAGATTGCAAGAATAATAAACTCTATTCCAGCATTACTCCCACTCTGAATCAGGAATTTTTGCTTTTACACATTCAAATTTCTGAACTCTGCTTAAAGCATGACTATTGGTTGGGGGTGCGTAAGCTGCTTGTGCAGGAATGAGCGTTTTTGGATTTTGCACATAAAGGGTCACGCTTCCTTCTTCTGCTCGTCATCTTCCATAAGTGCCTCATGCATTGAAGATGAAGAAATACTTTGTGCTACATTTCTGGCCTCAGACAGTCTATTTGTTTGTTTGGAGTATATTCCATTTTTTCATAATCATTTCCAAATCTACGTTGAAAGGCAGCTCCAAATAACCGTTTTCACTTTCTTGACCATTATCTTGGGAAAGAATCAATTTGGTGGTTATCCAAGCACATTATATATTATTCAGAACATCGGCTGACACTTAATCCCCCGAGTAAGGGGGTTTAAGTAGTTATTGAGCATGATTCCCAGTCTGCTTCTTCACAGTTCACTCAGTTTTATCTTGGGAAGCTTTCAGCAGCAGCAGCAGTAGCTATTGAAGTTTGAACAAAAAGTCAAATCCAGGTTACTTCTCATAGAGTCACCAACACACAGCAATCCTAGGATTTTTCATTATCTTGCCTACCTTCAACACAACTTTTCCCCTCTTCCCTTTTATTTGGTCCAGACCTCCATAATATGTTTGAAGGTGAAGGTAGATAGAAAGTACCCGATAATGACTTTTTTATTGTTTGGCTGGTCTAAGTGTAATAAACAAGTTTTATAAATATATATATATATATATATATATATATATATATATATATATATATATAATGTTTTTACTTTTTCTTTAACTTGATAACTCGATCACAGTTGTATACCATGATTATTGAAAGGATGCAACACCTATAGGGGATGAAGCACAAAAAAAGGACAAGTCCAGTGATAGAAAATTGAAATATATGTAGAGAAAAGGATGAAGATGAAAGCATTAGCAAGAATAAAAAAAATGTTTATTCATGAAACAAAATCCAAAATGTGTGTTACAAAAGCAAGGAACAGCAAAGGAATATAAAGAGGGAGAAAAAACAAAAAAATCAAAAGAACAAAAAACATTAAGCGGTAAGTATCTGTACATGAACAACTTAAGAAGAAACAAAAAAACATTAAACGGTAAGAATATGTGCATGAGCGACTTAATAAGAAACATAAGTTTTATCAGTCCCTCATGTGGGAGTAGATATTTGTCATTTTCAACTTGGGATAAAGCTTATTAAAGACAACAAACTGTAAAGACTTAGTGGAGAAGTTTCAACATACTTTGTTTATTTTCTCTTGGAAAATTTGTTTATTTTCTCTTGGAAAATGTGATAATTGATTTCAATGTGTTAAGTACTTTTGTGGAAAATTTGGTTGGAAGTTATTTGTACGAAGGATTGATTGTCATATTAAGTGATAGCTGATTAAGTGATGAGTATGTATAGATCATCAAGAATGTAGGTTAGTCATTAAAGCTCACAAGTGGTGGAGCCTAAGGTGCGAGATGTGTTTTTGAAAAATTGTGTGAAACAATTTGTTGTTTATTAGATTTTTATGAAATGATAAAATTATTGAAATAGATGGAGAAATTAATAATGGACTTCTAAATTCAAAACAAGTGGTCCAGTCATAGTCACTATAGGTTGTGACCTCATTAATGTTGTTGTTAAGAAAGATCATCTTGCTAAGAGTGCTCTTAGGATGCGATAAAAGGCTTGTTAGCTATAGTGGTTGGAGAAAAGACAATTTGATTGATATTATTAATTGAAAAGACAATGTTAGAACTAATATTAGTGAGGTAAATTAAGTGGTTGATGAACCTTCGATAAGAAGAAGCATCTTCATAACCAAGAAGATCTCCATCATTGGTCAAATGTGAGGAATGTGCCATTAGGGTGGGCATAGGAGCAGAATTCATCATTTCAATTTCTTGCAGAAGATCAATAGTATATTTGTACTGACTAAGATGGATGTGGAGCTGTTGTGAGCAACTTTAAATCCAAGAAAATATGTAAGATCTCCCAAATTTTTTATGTGGAAATGTTTATCTAAAAGAGTGGTGATTTGTTGTAACTCCTCAACATCATTACCCGTGAGTATAATGTCATTCACATAGATCAAAACATGAGTTGTATGGTGTGCATCATGTTTCAAAAAAGAGAATAATCAACCAATGAATGTGTAAAATTGTTTGATGAAAGAAAAGTGAAAAGTTTTGTATATCATTGTCGTCTAACCTGTTTAAGTTTGTAGATAAACTATTGAAGCTTGTAGACTTAAGTTGTTTTGTTGGTAGGAAGCCTAAGTGAGACTTTCATGTATACTTATTCTTGAAGATCTCCATATAGAAATACGTTGTTCAAGTCAGATTATTTCAAGACCCATTTATTTAAAACAACAACTAGGAGGAGACGCAAAGTGGTGAGGTTGGCAGCGAGGCAAAAGTTTCTAAGTAGTCCAACCCTTTAAGTTGGGTATAACCTTTAGCTACTAAACATGTTTATTTGAGTCTGTCAATGGACTCTTCTGATTTGTGTTTGATCTTGTATATCCATCTACAACCAACAACAATTTTTCCTGAGGGAATATCTGTGAGAATCCATGTGTCGTTTTCCTCCAAGACTTTGAGCTAGTCCTTCATGGCTTGAATCCATTATGGAGATTTTGATGCTTCTTTGTAGATGTGACGCTCAGGTAAAGAAGATATGATAAAAATATTTCCAAAAACCCCTGTCTTGTATTGAATATGATAGCACAATATATACATGAAATACAGAAACATTCTAGGCTATAATTACGCTAACCATTATAGTCGGTATCCTAAATTTGTCTATTAACAGATATGACATTAATGTGCATCACTGTGCATCGCTGTCATGCCAAGCTAAATATGGAAAAAATTAATCATGTAGAATCATGGCATGATACGGTATTTGTAATCGTATATTCTATGTTTATCACCCTCCCTCAAGATGGAGTATGAAGGTTGTGAATGCCCAACTTGCCTAAAAAAGAACCAAGTCCAGGCAATGCTTCCTCGACAATGCCAACATCAACAGTAGGCAATCCTACCTCTGAATGTCTACTGTGGGCAAGAGAGGCAAACGGGAATTCATGTTCTACAAACTTAACATCTCTCGAAGTCCAGAAGACTTCTCTTTCCAGATCAAACAATTTCCAGCCCTTTTTTTCGATTGAATATCCAACAAATACATTCTTGCGACTTCTACTTGCAAATTTGTCACCTTTCCTATCTTGGTTATGTGCATAACACAAGCATCCAAATACCCGTAGATGGTCATAAGTGGGTGGCTTCCCATTCAATATTTCATATGGAGTTTTTCCATGGAGAACGGTTGAGGGTGTACGATTGATCAAGTATCCTGCGGTCAAAATGCATTCTCCCCAGAATTGAAGTGGAAGTTCTCCTTGAAATCGTAGAGCACGAGCTACATTTAGGATGTGTCGATGTTTTCGTTCGGCTCTCCCATTTTGCTGAGGTGTTCCGAGTGCATGAGGTTTGATGGAGTATCCCATGTTGCTGAAAATATCGTTGAAGACACATAAACTCGGTTCCATTGTCACTTCGTAATATTTTGACTTGTTTCTCGTATTGTCGTTCTATTAAGGCGATGAAATGCATTAAGGTTTGTGACACATCTTTCTTATTATTCAAGAGATATATCCACACAGCTCGAGAACGAGTCATCAACCAAAGTGAGAAAGTAAGATGCACCACAAGACGAGGGAGTTCTATATGGACCCCATACATCACAATGTATTAAATCAAATATATTGGATGCTTGAAAATCACTTAAAGGAAATGTGTTTCGTATTGCTTTGATCTCTCACACACTTCACACACACGAGTTGTATCCGTATTTCTATTCACGCCGTTCGAATGCGGAATTTTTCTAACAATCTGGTAGGCGAGATGTCCCATTCGCTTGTGCCAAATCTCTAGTTGATTTTCCGCATTGGTCCGATACGCCTTTATGCCACTCACACCACGATACCAATAGAGTCCCTCTTTTCGTTCACCCGCACCAATCGGCATCCTCGAAGTGTGATCCTGCATTGCACAAAATCTATCGAGTAAAATGTACTCGTACATTTTACTTCATTCAATCAATTGTGATACTGAAATCAAATTGCAATTCAATTTCGGAACATATAGAACATGTTTAAGTTTCAGTCCTCCATCAAGGAAAACCGATCCTTCTTTGTTTGCCGAGCACCAATTCACCATTTGGTAGTCCCATTGAGCACCCTTCCAAGGCTCGACTCTCCCTCAAGTTTTCTAGTGTTCCTGTCATATGATTAGAGGCGCCACTATCAATAATCCACAAGTCACATGCTTTCTTACCGAGTCATCTTTTTAGTTTCATTTGTCTTGCGAGAATTCAACATTGCTGTCAAGATGCTGCCATTGCTCATTACTCGGTCCTGCGACTTCGGTTTTTCGGTTGAACCAACATTATTCGCACCAGTGTGCGCCATATTGACGCGAGCCGTTCCTCCTTTTCCTCGGAAGGTTCCTGTTCTTTGTTGATTTTTTTCATCGTTTTTATCGGTTCGTGGTCTCTCTCCCCACCATTCTGGGTAACCAATGATCTTGAAGCAATTGCCTTTGTCATGTCCCTTCCTTCCACACCTGCATGCAAACAAGCTGATTTTTCTTTCGCTTCATTGCGCAACTTGTTCCTGGTTTCCGCTCGCATAGCCATTCCCACGATCATTCCTCGCTCTTCTTTAGACCTGGTGATTGTTCTCACCCTTTCTTCTTGCACCATGGTGCCATACACCCGATTCAACGAGGGTAATGGATCCGTTGCCAAAACATTTGACCGTGCAGTTCCATAGCCCTCATCATCTAGCCCCATCAAGAACTGATGAATTTTTTCTTCTTCTCTTCGTTTCTCAAGTTGCGTCATAATATTACACTTGCATCCCCCACATCTACACTGTGGGATTTGCTCATAATTTGCCAGTTCATCCCACAACGTTTTCAACTTCCCATAATAGGAAACCATAGTCATTCCTTGTTGTTTGCATTCTGCCAACTCTGACTTTAGCTGCGGGATTCTTGGTCCGTTCACGATCGAGAATCGTTCCTTGATGTCATCCCATAGGTCCTTTGCGTTTTCCATGAATGCAACAGTGGAACGCAAACTAGGTTCTATAGTGTTTAGTATCCAAGATACAAGCATCGATTGAATTGTCCACCAATCTTCTATCTCAGATGTGTCTTCTTCAGGTTCCTTATGAGTTCCATCTATGAAACCCCATTTCCTTCGAGCCCGCAGAGATATCTTCACGGCCCTTGCCCATTCCTCGTAATTCTCTCCTCGTAATTGTACCTGTGTAATCACATTTCTAGGATTATCACTGGCACTCAGATCGTATGGCGATGGTGTTTTCTTCACCGTCTCTCCTCTCTCTGCCATTTTAGAAGTACGACTGTGTTCTCGGGCTGTTGGATATCAGAGTTTGGTTCGCTCTGATACCATGATAAAAATATTTCCAAAAACCCCTGTCTTGTATTGAATATGATAGCACAATATATACATGAAATACAGAAACATTCTAGGCTATAATTACGCTAACCATTATAGTCGGTATCCTAAATTTGTCTATTAACAGATATGACATTAATGTGCATCACTGTGCATCGCTGTCATGCCAAGCTAAATATGGAAAAAATTAATCATGTAGAATCATGGCATGATACGGTATTTGTAATCGTATATTCTATGTTTATCAAGATATAAAAAGAATTGTGTATTTAAAAGTATGAAATAACTTATTATATGAGATTAAATTAGTCATTGGGTATCTAATAATATTGTGAGTTTAAAAATGAACAAGATAAGTATGAGATTTTCTAGGACGTGTGGATAAATGAGGTTAAATAATATCATCATCTAAAGCATCAATAGAATGACTAATATCAGAAGAAATAATATTAGTAACTCATTATTATCTGTAAAAATAGTATCAATTATAGTTTTGGTATCAATATTAGGATGTAAATTGACATTGTTACTGGGAAAAATTATATCAACATATTGTCTATTATAATTGTGAGGATCTAGAAGAGATAAACGGTTAAGATCTTGATTATTACACGAACCCTAGATGTTAATATGTATGAGATAAAAAAATTTAGTGGTGTGTGAATTGCTAGAACAAAAGGGAAGATTTCTTTGTTTAGTAGGTGACAAGTATCACAAACATAAGAGCAATCATTAAGAGTATTTGGTTTTAAAAATGTTCAACCAGTTATCATGAGGGTGTTCTAATCTTAAGTGTCATAAATTAGTATCTTTTACAGTATTGTTCTATTTGAAAGAATGGAAGTAATGTTGGTCATAGTTTTAGCAAAGTAAAAAACATACAAATCATCTTTTAGCTTAACTAAATCAACATTCTCGTTGGTTTGAATGTCCTGAATAACACAAGTATGGAAAGAAAATATTAATTCACAATTTAGAGAAGCAATAGTTTTAGATATAGTGATAAGATTAAATGAAAATTGTGGAACATATAAGATATTAGTAAGACAAAATTTGTGATTAAAATGCACAATTCTAGAATATTAAGAAAAAACAGCTTTACCATTTGGTAAAACAATATGGATGGGTTTGATATGGTTATAAGAAGAAAAATCATTTAGAGAAAACATATTACATATGTGATTAATAGCTCCAATATCAAGGATCCATATATTTTTAAAAGTTGTTAAGGTGAGAGTAGGATAGATATTACCTATAGGAGAAGATTAGCCGAAACATAACCAACTTGGTTAATCTGTGTTGGAGGTGAAAAGCTATTGTATTTGAAGAGGTATGCTAAAACTTGAAATTGTTGAGGGGTGATGTGGATGTCTCAAGGATCAATATGTTTTTTTATTTATTTATTTCCATATTCATCTTAAGTAGGAGTACCGTATAACCATGTTTTTTTATAACATATATCAATAGTATGGTCACTTGTGTTGCAATAAGTGCAAAACTTCTTAATATATGTATAAGATGACAAGCCAGTCTGCCCTACTTGGTAAAAGCAAGATAAGATAGATTAACCTGTCATAATCAAGATGAGTTATAGATTCTAGTCCACCTCGTCAAAGGATAGGTTGACGGGTTAGTGGACCAATCCATCAATAAGTTTTTTATATAAAATCTTTTTATGTGTTTTTTTAAATACACATTTAATTATATGAATAATTTATAAGTTTTTATTTATTAATTAATATTTTTATTATATAAATTAAAAATATTATATTTATGTATTAAAACAACTAATTATAATCAATAATTTAAACTTAATTAGTTAATATTTATAATTTAAATTATAATATTATAGTATATTTTCATCTTTCAATAACATTACAAAAACTATAATATTTTTAACTATAATTTTTTTATTTTAATATATATATATATATATATATATATATATATATATATATATATATTAAAACGGTCAACTCATTGAGTTGACGAGTTAGGCGGGATGAGTCAAAATAGGTTAATAAACTAAAACTATTAACCTTATGTTGAGACGAGCTAGCGGGTCGATCCACCAGGTTTAACCCGTTTTATCATCATTTATGTGTGTTCTTGAAGTTTTTTAGTCATTCTTCCTATAGCGAAGAGATTCGTTATGTCCATATCTGCTATAATAGGTGGAAGAGATATAAGCAGTGACAACATTGTTGTTATTAATTTTCATAGCAACGATTATATGTTCACTAGAAAATTGTCTTTCTTGTTGTGCGGCGAGGGAAAACACTTTGGTTATATCTGGAATTGGTCATTCAACCCACACAAAAATAACATAACTTGATGATCTTTCTTTGACTTATAGTTTCTAAAACAAGCTAGTTGTAGTTGGGTTTACAAATGCATAAAATGGGTATAAAATTATCAATTTCATCCCAACGAACTCATAATTTGGTGAGTTACTCCAAAATACGCAAAAGGTTTCCTTGAGAGAATTTGATCTTCATGTCAGTCTATATATTAAAGGCTTCATCCATCCAAATGATACTTTGTCTGATGGAACAAAAACTAAATAGACTAACCATAAAACAAGCATGTTATTTCGAGTAGAGTAATTTGATTTATCTTTCTTAGATTGTCAAGTAGTATCAATAATAAACTTTGCGCTAAGAACAATAAACATAGAATAACTCCAAAAATGATAATTTGTGGTGTCAAGAATAGGTGAAACAAGAGTGGTGGTAAGATTTTCGTTGCAATATAGGTAAATGTAGCTTTATGTTGGATTCTCTTCTTAGGCACGAAAGCACAAAGGGAAACCAAAGAAACAAAAGGTAGAAAAAAGAAAAAGAAAAAAAAGAAGAAGAATCAAAGTAACACAATAAGACTCTTTAAAAGAAAAACTTGTATTGCATAACACGATCACAATTATATTTCATAGTTATTAAAATGGATGTAAAACTTATAATAGATAAATCATGGAAAAAATAAGTACATTGATAGAAAGCTAAAAAATATATATAAAAAAAGATAAAGATGAAAATAATAACAAAAATAAAAAAATAACATTTATTCATGAAATAAAATCCAAAATCTATATTAAAAGCAAAGAGTAACAAAGAAATATAAAGAATGAGAAAAAAACATAAAAATCCTAAAAAACAAAAAAGTCAGCAATATAATTTAAAATGGTTAAACTATAAGATAAGAATAAGAATGTAAGTTTGAGCAACTAAATAAAAAACATAAGTTTTATAACTTGAAATTTTATTTTTTTTCTTCAATCATATCAAACAAATAATTTGTTGTCAAAATTTGTTACTCTTAATCGAGGTGGATAAGAAAACAAAATTACCACGCCTTTATATGACATTTACATTTACAAAATCAAAACATTTGTGTAATTTGTTAGCCTACCTTTCTCATATGTTATTCTCAATATTTTTTCTTTCTTATTCTTTTAATCTATTTTTCACATATTTTTTATAACTATTTTAATTCATATTTTACTTAAATTACATATTAATTTTATATTTTTCTAAATAATCACTATATTTTTAAAATTTATGTAAGCTTTATATATTTATGAAATGCATTAAACAAGCCAAAGCGTATTCAAGAACACACATAAGTGAAATAAATAAATAATGAACCCATATACATTCAATTCAAGACCATTTTTTTCTCAACTTTTTGAACGATGGCTGAATTGACTTAATCATGTATTAATTTAAATAAACTTTTTTAAACTTACAGAAATAAATTTTATTTCTCATAATAAATTGACCTAAGATATATATATACGACATTTTATTATTTTAATCTAACTGAGTATGTAAAAATTATAGCTAAATGGGGATAAATTATCTTCTATTTTTGATGATTAACACAATTTTCCCCTGTTGAAATAAATGAAATTTGTTAGTCTTCAGTCATTTTATATATTCTTAAAATGTTCTGGTGTAGAGAAAAAATATTTGTATTTTTAAAATACAAATGTTCTGTTTAACCAACAAATATATAAATATTCACAATTTTCTTTCGTTATAACAAATCATATATCGTGCTGATCGATTATTCTTCAGCAACATAGTCTAAATTTATTAATAATTAATAAAATGAAGATGCAAATATAAAAAAAATCATAAAAAATAAAATAAGAAAAAATAATACATAAATATTTGTCAACTTTTTTAAGGAAAAAAATGTCAATAAATTTATTATTATTTTTTACTTGCTAAAGAAAGGTATGAGAGAATTGGATATGGGATAGTGATAAACTTTTATTAAATACTTATGTAATAATAACTTTAAATTGAAAATAAATCCATCAAAATGGTTACATTTTTAGTCCTTTAAATACTTTTTTTAAGTTATGAATTTGAAAAAAAATCTCTTAATGCTAACAATGTTATACTTCTTGGGGATAAGGTTAATAATATCACTATTATGTCATATGTTTGATAAAAATAATAATGTAATTTTTTTAATTCTTTAAGTTAAGTTTTACTTTAATTTCTTAAATATAAAAGAATTTTTTAATTATTTTTAAATTCTAAATTATTTTGTTAGTCCCTCGCACTTAAAGTTTTTTTCCCTTCGTTTTTTAACAGGACGAATTAAGGTCTTTAGCTTTTTTTTTTAACGAGACGAATTAAGCTCTTTAGCTTATTTTAATTATGATGTTTTAGTTTATTCTATTCTAATTTTTTACAATAAACAAAATAAAAATTTCTGATCATCTTTATTACCGAAAGAAAAAGAAAAAAATTATGAAATATATATATATATATATATATATATATATATATAAATATATAAATATAAAGGTCAACTTATAAAAATTATCCGACAATCAAATTAATAATAATATAAAAAAGATATAAATATATAAAAATTAATAATAATATAAAAAAATATAAATATATAAAAATAAGAGTGAAATAAGACTCTCTCACACTCACAAAATTATTTTAGACAATAAATAAATTATATTAGTTAATTGAACGTCCTAATTTATTATTAAATAATCAAATTTATTTTAATTTATATAAAGATATTGAATATCCGTTAAATTAACAATTTATTGTGATAAGTACCGTTTGAATTTGGTGCTCCATACCGTGCAAATTGAGATAAGTATTTATTTTTTTTAATTTAGTACGTGAAAATGATCCATAACACTTTTTTATTAAAATTTATTTGGCAAAATTCTTCCTATTTTCATAATCCAACAAATTTGAAAAAAATATTCATTTTCTATGTATTTAGTCTCCTCTGGTGTTATTTTTAATTTGATCCTGTATTGGAAAGTAAAGTAAGTTGCAAAAAGATCCAGTGTTTATTTCGGACAGGGGAAAAAGAAAAACATCATTGAGTGATCCACGAAACAAGGTTCGATCACACCGGAGCATTGCACTGAAAACACCCAAACACTATGTATGAATTGAATTGAAAGAGATTCGCAAGTCACTGAAACCAGAACACGAAGTAAAGAGGTTATTATTATTATTATTATTTTTATTATTATTAGAGAAGGGATCGATCGATCGACGCTGTGATCGAGAATGAGAGTGTTGGTTTGATGTGCAGTTCAGCATGGAGGAGCCTCAGTACCGCGAACATCCCAAAACCAAAATCGCCACCATTCCGCCGCCGCAGCCGCCGCACTCCGACGGCGCCACCCCCGAATTGCGCGGCGTGGATTGCAACCTTGCTTCCCTCTGCGAGCATGTCCAAATCGAAGGCTTCAATTCGGGTTCCTTCTCCGATATCGTCGTCAATGCCATGGGTTCCACTTATCACCTTCATCGGCTTATCCTCTCTCGCAGTTCGTATTTCAGGTAACCGATTACCACAATTAACTCAATCATTTTAATTGTAATTTCTCTACACCCGTCAACTTTAACATTCTCTTCAATAATCTGTTTGGGATGGTTTTAGAGGAATTGAAACGAGGGCTACGATGGTTGGTAAATGATCCTCTATGTCTCTTTTACTCTCTTCTGTTTCACTTGTCGTGCTTCTTCTCCTTGTAGAGATAATCATGGTTCGTTGTTTCTCTCTTTCTTAGTTGCCGATGGAAACTGTCAAATTACTGACGGTCACGTGTGTAGTATTTTGCCTCTTACCAATTTTGAACAAGTTTAAAAAGAATTTTACAATATTTGTCGTACTTAATTTATTCTTTGGAAACCTAAACTTTATGCTTTATTTTCCCTAGCACATGACTTTATATTGTAGGTTTATTGCCATTGTTGTGTGAATTATGGACCTACACGCTGTATAATAACCTGTAGTAGTTTTTATTCCAGAGTTAGCAAATAGTTTTTTACACCGTCATAGACGGTCTTATGTTGTGAGTATATTGGAATTTATAATAACTATATTAAAAGTCATACTACGGATGATGATTTCTGATTGATTGAGAATGTAAAAGCTTTTGCATTGACTATGCCTATTAAACTCTTTATTTTGTTGGTCTGAGAACATTACTGTTATTTATTTGCATGATTCATGTGTGTTAGGAACATGCTTCACGGGCCTTGGAAAGAAGCCAGTGCTCCTGTTGTGACTCTGCATGTTGATGATAAGAATGTTAATGATGAGGCAATTGCAATGTCTTTGGCATATCTATATGGGCAACACCCTAAGCTTAACGATAATAATGCATTCCGGGTTCTTGCTGCTGCTTCCTTCCTTGACCTTCAGGTATGATGTTTAACTTGATGACCTCGTAACTGTTCATATTTATTCTTTTAGTTATTGCTTATTAAATTTTGCAATATTTTTCATTTGGTGTATTATACATCTGTGCAGGACTTATGTGGAATTTGTACAGATTTCATTATATCTGAGCTCTGGACTTCAAACTTCTTGGCTTATCAGGTTCAAGGATCCAGTTGATTGTATAGCCTCATTGTGAAATTTAAATGATACCGTAAAAAGGTTTGGTTAGTTATTGGTGGTGTATAATTGATTGTAATCTAGGTATTTGCGGAGAACCAAGACTATGGCATTCATGGGGAGCGTGTTAGAACTGCTTGCTGGGGCTACCTTTGTCAAAGTGGTGGCATGGAATTGAGAGAGGTAACGAGGGACATTGAATAGCTTGCATCTTGTGATTTGGACAGCTCTGGTGAACTAAAAATATTTGCTTGTTGCAGGTGCTTCCTAAACTTTCATCGCAAACATTACATGCATTGCTGACTTCTAATGATCTGTGGATACCCAATGAAGAGACTCGGTAAGTGGTTCCCAAATCTTTATTTGGGATGTGGTTAACAGATTGTGTTTTGTGAGCTGTGTTAACACTTCTCTAAATGCTATGAAAAGGTTTGAATTGGCTTTGCACACATTCCTGGCAAAAGGTGCTCATTGCAAGGTTGAACATCCCGTGCATGGAATTTCTGGTTCTGAGTCTGCTACTGGTATTCATTCTGATTTTATTAATGGCAAGGGAAAAAGTGTAATAGATAGCTGCACTGCTAAGAGGTTGGAAACTGACGTGGGGAAAATGAGTCTTAAAAGTGATCTAAAGGATCCTAGCACTCCAAGTCTTCTAGTTGAGCTTGCAGATCCAGTGGCAGACTTCAATGATGGGGTTTCGGTTTCCAATGAACGGGTTCAACAATCTTCGTATGTCAGTTCACCAAACTTGAATCCAAGATATACGTGTGACATGGAAGGACCATCATTGGGAAATTCGTTGCCTGATACAGATGGGATGAGAACACCGTGTTATGTCGAGATGCCTCTTGGTACTGGAGCAACTGCTATGGGAGCCCCTGGAGTCGGTATTGAAGGGCCATCTGAAGAAGGACCTTGTTACCATTTGGAGAACAACAGTTGGTTAGTTAGGGATCAATCAAGACATTGCTTTTCATCAAATTCTTGTAATGAGCTCACATCCAGTGATTGGGGAAGATATGGAGCACCTTTTATATCTTGGAATGGCCAAGTTGTTGGCAGAAAGCTTAACGCTCACCCCAGAGGAAACTTCAGAGGCCATGGAGATGAATATGATGCATTTTTCAATATATTTGAAGGGGGTTCCCTTTTATATTGCAATATGTCTTTTGATGCTCTTCTAAATGTCAGAAAGCAACTTGAAGAATTAGGTTTCCCTTGCAAAGCTGTCAATGATGGTCTTTGGCTGCAGGTTGGACTGATATTAATTTGTCTCTTAAAATTAGTATTGCATCTTCCATCTTAAAAAATGCTATCTAGTTTCAAGTTACAGTTTTCATTATCCTCTAAAGAAAGCAACCAAGGTTGTATAGTAACAGCGAGTTATTATTTTTGTTTTGCCTCTTAAACAAACTCGATCTACCACCAAAATCTTCTGTCCCTGAAAAATATTTAAATATGTTACTGTGTAATGTTTGCAGATCAATCATTCAATGTATAGGTCATTGAACTTGGTATAGAAATTGCTATTCTTGGTACATAAATTATTGGTTGTGAAATTTTTTTGACATTATTGTTTTGGTGTTTTAAACTTTATCCCTTTTGTAGATGCTTCTTAGTCAGAGGGTACAGGAAATTGCTGCTGATACATGCAAAGTTTGCTCCCTTATGAATTGCACTTGTCAGAAGCAATTTACGTTTTCACATGGAGCTTCTACAACTGGATCTTACATGCAAGAACATAATCAGAACATTATGCCTGGAAGTGCGGGAAACATATATGTTGCTGAATCTTCTGCGGGTGAAAGAAATGGCACTTTTAGACCTGTACGAGTACATGTTAGAGGTGCTATTGATGGACTTGCAGGTATTGGCCGTGGAACTACTTTTGTTCCAGCATCAGCTTCGGCTCCTACACGTGTTGTCTTTTCTCGTGTACCATTTGGTGTTGGCAACAGAAACTATCCTCAGTCTGCAGCAAATGATGATTCTGAGACACGTGCTGACCCCAATGGAGACCTGTCTGGAGATGGGTTGACAGCTTTAGTCGGGTTAAGCCTGGGAGGGAGTAATGGAACAAATGTACATACAGACCTAACACAAAGGGGATATGAAATGGGCATGCAAAGCAGCATGTCTGGAAGTACTTCTGGAGGTGCAAGTACTGGTGGCATTCCCATGCAGATGTTAGAGACACCAGAAAATACAATTGGTATAGATTGGGACAATGTCAACAGTACTTCTATATCACTGGATATGAAAACACCTTTAAGCCATTTCCCCCCTTTCCGCTTTGGGTAAGTTAACCAATTTGCAACTATTGTCAATTTTTAACTTACATTGATAGTTGTCATATGGGCTGCTTTTATGCCCAGTTTGCATATTCACCCTCCCATGAGCTTGTGGTGGGTCAATTAGATCTGATAATCGTCCCCAGATGTTGTTTTTCCTTGGGATGGTTTTCTTCTGATACTTTCATTACCAGAACCTGGTTTGTTGATGCTATTTTGCAGGACTTCCTAAGAATTTTTTAAACCTCATATGCACAAAATCTTCAAATACATGTATCATTTGTGCGTCATCTTCCTATACATTTCTTCCCTTCTCGTTTCTTATCAATTTTCTTTTTAATTTTTTTGTGTAACTTTTTTCCCTTCTTATTGAAGTTGAGTTGTCTGCTTTCATGAGGGGAATTTGTACACCCTTGGATGGTGGTTCTTTCTTGGCATTCTCAGATAAATGATTCTTTTAAAGTGGATTTTGATGTATCAAATATATTATGATAAATGCTATTTCCTGAATCCATGGAAGGTGTCTTGCAATCTGGTTTTAGGGGGACCTCTTGCAGTTTCTATTATTTCTTAAAGTTTTTTCAGATGTTTTGTCATATAACTCATACACATACATGTTTTCTTGCTTCTGATGCTTCACGTTCGTGTTTTCCGAACTTGAAGGCTCCCAAATTCTTGGGCACCAAGCTTCATGTTCAGTAAATTTCTACTGTTTTTTGCAGAGTACGTTTTGAGGATGTGCATAGGCTTGGTGATGGCCAGGTCAAGCATTCTCCAGAAGTTTTCTATGCTGGTTCTTTGTGGAAGGTACAGGACATCACTTCATGATCATATTCATTAAGATGATTTTGTATGTCCTGGTACGAATAAAAATTGTTTGTTTGAATCATCAGGTCAGTGTACAAGCTTTTAATGATGAAGACCTCCAGGGGCGGCGAACCCTTGGTAATGTTATGTGAATTAATATTAAATAAAGAAAATCTTGTCTGTCTGGAAGCTTATTTTCAATGCCAATGCAGGGTTGTTTCTTCATCGTCGGAAAGCAGAGATAACTGATATACATAGGAAGGTTAGCTGAACGTTTTTTTCTTGTGTATTTAAATGAGTTGGAGCTAAAATTACTCTGGAATTAGAGTATGCTGTTGAGTTTGAAATGCTTTATTTTATTAATATTAATATAGAGTAATGCCTTTAGCAGTAGTACAATGCCTTATTATTTCATTTATTTTTAGACTGCTGATTATATGGACAGGCATGTATACTTGCTAAGCTGATTTCCACGTTGCTTTAATAGTAGATCTTCAATTAGACGCTCGATCTGACTTGTATATCTTTGAAATGTATTACCAGGTGCACATGTATGTTGACTCACGTGAAAAGGTGACTGCACGCTACCAGGTAATATCAACGATGGATTACAACATTAATATTTTGGTGCTTCATGATTCTCTATCATTTGATAAATAATTATGGGGTTGTTCTGTTTTTCATATTCAGTTGACTGTTCCATCCAAGAGGGAAATGATGGTGTTTGGAAGCTTTAAACAAACAGGCACACTTCTACCTAAAGCTCCCAAGGGATGGGGTTGGCGAACTGCTCTGCTATTTGATGAGCTTGCTGATCTTCTCCAAAACGGTGCCCTAAGGGTCATTGCTGTAGTGCAGCTTGTATGAATTATTAAATAGTTAAAACATAAAGTTCTTGCACTCCATAGCTGAACATGCAAATGGTTGTTTGTTGTGAAAGGAAAAATACTAGTCAGCCTTTTCTTTCGTAAAACATTTACTTTTTTTTCTCCAGTCCTAGGAGATGGAAGATGGTGAAAGCTTCATTGTACATGATAAAAATTAAGAATTATGAACATGCCATGCCGTTGTATGAGTAGCATGGGATCGTTGTATTATACACCACCATTTACCCTTGCTTTCTCTTACATAGTATAAGCAAGCCAGGCGTCATGATGTATGCAACAGTGTCCTTTTTGCTGTCTAAAGAACAGATGTTATGTTTTTTTTTTTGTTTTTAACGGCTATTTATTTTATCTCCGGACTAAGCATCCTCTAGTATCTACTGACTGTGATCAGAGGGATGAATGAGAAGAGTGGACGTTGAGATCCTCGAAAATCACTTCGCTCCTCCTTCAGTTTTTATTTTGTAAATAATCCAAGTGTAAAATAGTTGTTTAAATATACATATTTGACTTCTGTGCAATATTTTTTAGATTTAATTTTTATTTGAAAATCCCTAAACCCAAAAGGTTTATATGTAAATAGGGTCAATAACCTCCAAATAATTTTTAGTTTGTTTATTGCTTCTTCTTTATTAACTATAATTATTCAAATTTATTTTATGAAAATTGAAGAATTTTTTACATAAATAATATTATTTTTAGAAAAAAAATTACTCAAATACATCTTTTATCAAATTATTTTACTTATTAAAACTGGGTATTTTTCTTATGCACAAATTTCTAATATTAAGAACAAAATTTCTTTATATTTTTTACTTTTGACATCGGAAAAAACAGAAACGAGATCCAAGCTGTGTTTTTTTTTACATGCTATTTTGAAAAAAATCATTTCACCAATTAATTGTTCATTTAAATACGTCTTTCTCACTTTTTGATTTTTCCTCTCCCCTCTCACTAAAAAAAATTATGGATGCAACGTTTTCTAATTTCCTCACATTATATAAATAAATTTCAATATAGTTTGTGGTATAGTTGATAATAATTTTAAAAAAATACTAAAAAATGTTTTATTATAAAAGGATTATATGAACCAAACAATCTCGGATGAGTCATATTGGATGAACTTATTTAAAATTTAGAATAATGAACAAATTAAGTTATTATTTAAACATTAAAATTAATATAACATTGTAGATTGTAAAATATTAAAAATTCACTTAATCTAAATAAACAAAACAATAACAAGTAATTTGTTGAGATATCTAGGATGGAAACCAGTCTATAATACATATAAATACAAAACAATTTAACTATGAATATATTAAAATATTAATATGGATTTTTCATTAATAGGTGTAATGAATTTTTTAAGTGAAAAACAAATAAACGAAATGTTTTTTTTGTCTAGTATTTGTTGTCAAGATGATGATTTAATAATTGAATTTTATATTTAAATACTAAATTTTTGCTAGATTTAGGGAATATAAAACAAGGAAGAAAAATGAAAAATAATTTAATTTGAATTAAGATAAAAAAAATCATACTTGATAATATTATAATTTATAAAAAAATAGAATAAATAAAAAAGAAAATAATAAAATATAAACATATTTAAATGGAGAGAAATAGTAACAAGTGTACAAATTAAAATTGAAATATTTTTTAATAAATTATTTATTTATTTATTATTATTATAATTGAAAAACAATTTTTTTAAAAACTAGAGACGTATTATCAACCGTCATAATCAAATATATTTTCCAGAAGTAGAACATGAAAAAGTGTTTTTTTTTATTGGATATAAAAATCAATTTAAAACTGTACTCATACTAAATTTTCTCCATCATACTAGATATAAGAATTGATTTTGATACACCATTTAATAAATATATGTGTTAACAATTTAAAAAATAGTGTTTCATTGAATCACAATTTTTTAACCATATCAATGTGTTGTACTGTGAAGGTTGCTAAGAAGTTTGTTTTAATATTTTTTGGTAGATTAAAGTTAACTCAATTTAAAAATACAGTGGATAAATGTTAATTTAAGGTAGAAAAAGAGATATTTTTGGAAACAAGGATAGTTGTTTTTTGTGCCGGGAAAGAGAGGAGAAGGAAGAAAGCAAAGCATAATAAAGGGCAAAGGTCATCCTCAACGGAACAGGTGCAGAGGTTAATCAACAAATCAACGACAGATCCACACAACCTTTCACTCCCTCACTCCAATTTCTCCTCTCTTCACCATTTTCATCTTTCAATTTCTCTCTCAATCTCTTCCACCCAATTCTTTTTCCCTCATTTTTCAAATCCACCTTCTTCTCCTTCCACCTTCTCACTCTCTCGTGTTCCGCTCCTCATAAACCCTAATGTAAAGTTTCTCTTCACTCCCCTTTCTCTTAAGGGTTTCGCCTTATCCCAATTTTCGCAATCTCCATTGGACATGCTCGGTCTCCAATGGCCGTCGTAACTAGCAACGGGAAGCGCCGCCATCATTTGCTCTCCGCGAATCACCTCTCTCCATCTCCCAATTCCAAAAGGCTCAGAGTTTCAACAACGTCCCAAAATCACGTGCAGTCCTTGTTATCCTCGAATAGTATCGTTTCCAGAATTTCTAAGTATCCTGAAGTCAAGCCACCCCTGCGAAGGGAGGTTCATGCCCCGTGTAGACCTCCTAAGTTTGCTTTTCCGACCTTTAATAGAATGGAATCGAGCTTCAATGCTAGTAGTAGTTATTATAATAGAAAGGAAGAGGTTGTTAACAACACGGGCAACATGCTAAATGAAAAGTATCAAAGGGCGAGAAGTTCTGCGTTGGATAGCCTTTTGTTTAGGGAAAAGACGTTGTATAGCATTAGGTTTGGGGAAAAGGGTAAGGAGGTGATAGAAGTGGATGATGATAGTCCCAAGGGTATGGTTTCCGAAGATTCGGGTGTGGAGGAGGTTCGTTTTGGGGAAGATGGACGAGAAGCGCGGTCTGTAGTGACGGAGAACCAGTGGCAAAGAGTGACGGAGAACAAGTGGCAAGAGAGTGCTTTGGTTGTGACTGAGGTCAAGGATTTGGACACTAAGGATGTGCGTGGTGGCCCTCAGCAGCAGTCAACTTCATCTGTGATTTCTGAGTTGACTAACGGAGATTTGAATGTTGTGAATGCTGTGAAGATGTTGGATACTCTGTCCTTAACTCCGGAGCATGATCTTTCTAGTGTTCATGCCTACAAGAAGTTGCTTGAGGCTGTTGAGAAGCGCTCGGATACCATTAAGAGGCTGTCGGCTGAAATTAAGCTTAGTGAGAAGCGGAGGTTCACATTTGAACTGTTGCGCCCCAAGAAGGAACTAGTAGAGGTAAACACTTGTTAACTGCCCATGTTTCTATATTTTGTCTGATTAAGCTGTAACTATCGCTTAGGCATGTATTTTTCTTTTTTTGTTCAACCTTTATGAACGATGCATTGCAATGTGTCACTGTGTTGTTATTAAACCATAGGAAACCCTGTAAATGTTATTGCAGTTAACAAAATTTTAATATGGCTTTCAGGAAGTACCATTGGAACCTTTTATTCCTCTTACTGAAGAGGAAGAAGTTGAGGTTGCACGTGCCTTTACTGTCAACAGGTATGTTTTGAAAGTTTGGCCATATGCAATTGACAAAAGCTTAAGATGTACCATATCTGATTGAGGGCCTGCTTCTACAGGAGAAAGATCTTGGTTGCCCATGAGAAATCTTGCATTGAGGTGTCAGGAGAAAAATTTCAATGCCTTAGACCTGGTGCATGGTTAAATGATGAGGTTACCCAGTTTGCTTATTGTTTGTTTAAACTTTTTGTTGAATTGCTGAGGAACAGAAGAAGTTAATATCTAGCTATAATCATGATTTGCGATTGTTGCACTGTGAAATTCAGTGATCCTAACCTTACCTTTGCAGGTAATAAATTTGTACCTTGAGTTGCTAAAAGAGAGGGAGAGAAGAGAGCCACAAAAGTTTCTGAACTGTCACTTTTTCAATACCTTTTTCTATAAGAAGGTAGCATCCTTTTACTATCCATATAAACTGAATAGTGCTTGCAAACACATGCATCTTTCCACTGTTCTTTATTTTGATCTTCCGGGCATGTTTTGTAGATTTATTTTAGGGTTCATTTCTTTCATGGAAAGTAACTATAATGGAAATGTTTTCTAAGAAACATGACTTTTAAATGTTTTGCATTGGAAACATGGTAGTTCAATGGGGATACAAATTGTGAATCAGTCTTCCGAATCCTGATTCATGATCCATGATAAAAATACATAACATAGATACATATAGCACTCGAAGACACAAATTTACTATCAATAACTATAAAATATAACTCTAAGAGCACTTTAAGATAAATATAAACTGGAGTTTTTTAATTTTTACCATTTTTAGGAGGGGGGGGGGTTGAATTTATATGTTTGTTATAAACCAATATCAATATTGTCAACAACAAGACACCCCAATCCATACCATAAGTAGTAGAAATAGAAACATCACATGTTATGTGCTTTGTCCTATCTATACTTGCCCTGCAATTTACTCATATTGATCTGTCATTGATGCTTTTATTGGTGAATTCTACTTACCAGTTAATATGTGGCAAGAGTGGTTATGATTTCAAATCTGTGAGGAGATGGACCAGCCAAAAGAAATTGGGATATGGCCTGCATGAATGTGATAAAGTAATTATGTTGAAGAACTTTTCAAATTTTGCTTTTCTTTTAACCATCCAATTCGTTTTTATGCTAACCTTTTACCTTATTTGTTTTTTCTCAGATATTTATACCTATCCATAAAGAGATCCATTGGTGCTTAGCTGTTATCAATAAGAAAGATAAGAAATTTCAGTATTTGGACTCACTTAGAGGAACAGATAACCAAGTGATGAAAGTTCTGGTAATGTTTTTGATCTGTTTAGTTTGACTGTAAGTTTCATATTCGTACCTGCACATGCTTGTAAAACAATATTGGAAGTAATGACATTGAGTTGGGGATAATCAGAACAAAAAAATTGGTTTCCATCATGAATCATCAACATTTTAATAATAGTTCAATATCCCCCTATTTTCTTAACCTAATTTTGTATCTTTTCTTTTTTAATATCGTATGATCTGTGATTTGGGTAATCGGATTCCATCCAATTATTTTATTTCCTTTTGAATATCAAATAAGTGGTAGACTAGTTTTATGTTTTCAATCTCTCAAGGATGAAGCCTTGCTTAAACTTGTTAACAATTAAAATTCTATTCCTGCTTTAATTTTGATACTGCCTTTTAGTTTTCTTTTTGATCTTTGAGAACCTCCTGCTCTTCACATAAGGATAAGCTGATTTATATCACATTAGCAGGTCAATATGGTTAAAGTTATGTTGAATTTAAAAACTAACCAAACTTGGATCACAAGCTGGTTGTTTAATAAAACTTAGGTCTGATGCGGAGAATTCAATTTGATGGGTTGAACAATTTGTTTGTCCAGGCCATCTGGTGATGTCCAAATATTTAATGGGAACAAGTCTGCATTTCCCACAGGACTTGATTTGATGGGAACTCAGGAAACCTATACAGATTTCTTCACATTTGCCTCTGGCAATTTCTGATGCTTATCATTGATGTCTCTACCAGGCTAGGTATATTGTAGATGAAGTAAAGGACAAGTCTGGAAAAGATATTGATGTAAGTTCTTGGGAAAAAGAATTTGTTGAAGATCTTCCTGAGCAGCAGAATGGGTTTGTTTTCTTATCTTCTACAATTCACTTAATGTATCATCATTAGTTTAGCGTTTTCCCCTGATATTTAAAAATGAAGAAAAATCTTCTGTGATAAAAGATAATCAGTGGTGATTCCCACTGCTGATGAATATATATCTTATTGGCTCAGACAACTTTCCTTATATAATATATTCTTCTTGCAATTTCTAAATTCAAAATGAATTATCATTTTATAGACATTCAATTTTAAAACAGGGAATCACTCGATAAATGGAAGGGAGAAATGTTTCTCATTGATTTGTTACAAAGGAAACTGTCCCCGTAATGGATTTTATGCATTGACCAATGACCATATTTTGGATAGGAAGCTCTATTTTTTTACTCTGTTAATTAATTTGTTGATTATTTATCATCAAGACGTTGTTTGGATTAATTAGTCATTGGGGCTCACTACAGGGAAGTTTAGTTTTCCATCTTTTCTGAAGGTAGTCATGGTGGTCATTTGTTGTAGTTCCTATTAATGCATGACTTTTGTTCACCAGAGCTTGATGGTATGTCAAATGCCAAATATAAATTTTGATCTTAGGTATTGATTTTTTTAAGAAATTGATGTTTGCTTGGCGTTGGATAAAGACTTTCTGAATAGTCTAACAGATATTCTAACTTCTACTACGCACTTGGAAAGAATTTATATAACGGCGAGCTTGTTAGGATAGGACTGAAAGTACGAGATGTTTTCAGACATCAGTACTTTCCGAATACAATTTCAAATTTCATTCTTTCTGTTTTTTTCTTTTACGAACAGTATTTTCAGTAGTTTTTGGGCGAATTGTTTTCTTAATGCAACTCAATATTTAAACAGGTATGATTGCGGGGTGTTTATGATCAAATACGCTGACTTCTATAGCAGAAACTTGGGACTGTGTTTCAACCAGGTTGGATATTATAATGTTCCATTTCTCAAAGAAAATCATACCTTTGTTTTCTGTTCTTTCATTATTTTTCTTCCGAAACTATTAACTTTGGAAGTCATGTCATTCACCTGTTTGATAAGGAATACTTTCTTATTACCTAAATAGATAGCGTTGCTGCCAATAGTTTTGAATAATAGACATTTTTAACTTTCAAATCTTATACATTGCTTTATTTTTTTCTTTTTTTAAGATGTAAACATCGTATCTTGTGTATGGTGTGACTAATAGCTGTTATAATACCAAAGTTTCCTTGCCCAACGAAACATTCTAAAATGATCCAATGGATCACATTTTAAGCCTAGCCTAATTGGCTGAGCAAGGCAAATTTTTTGTGACTATTTTTTTCTTATGGTGTCTGAATTGAATTCCTCTTTCCATAATTTCATTTGTAGGAACACATGTCTTATTTTCGACGCAGAACAGCTAAGGAAATCTTGAGATTAAGAGCTAACTAAGCTAAAGAATATTTCATCTGTATTTCCACATTGAATTTTGGTCATCAGAAAATTGAAACAATCATTATGTCGAATCATTGGAGCATTTTTTGATGAAGGATCCTTCACTGTCACTATCTTGACCATAACCATTCAAAAGTTCTGACATTTGTTAGATTGTGGACTGGACTGATTATACACGTCGTCCTGATATCCAGGTACACCGTGTTGGTAGTGTAATATGAAGTAGGTTGTATATGCTACGCAAAAGTGAATCATAGATGAGGCATAAGGTCCTGGTTTTAATTATGTAATGGTAACTGTGTTCCCTCACCATTTTTGGTGTCCGGTTACAATTTGGGGCCTTTTCTACTGAATTTTGAACTTGTTTGTGCGGTGTTGCAGAGCCCTCGTATCAGGAGAATTGAGAGCAGTGAAGAGAACGGGGTATTAATGTGGCTTTTATTATTACTTCGATTTTATGTGAAGCAATGTTATGCAGCATTTTAGCATAGGTTTAGAACATCTAATTTTAGGAATTATACTTTATCTATAAATATATATTTTCAGAAATGTTTAAAATAAATATTGATTCAATTTTAAAATCTTCAGTATAGTGGATTTAATTTCAATTTAAGAATTAATTGTCTAAATTGATGATTTTATCCCTATTTTCTTCTGAGTTGTTTAGAAAGAAAGAAAATTGTTTAAATAGAATGGATATTTTTCAATTTTAAAGTCTTCTATAGAGAGGAAAATATAGGGGCCTCAAGAGATTTTAAAGAGGTATTTTTCATCGTAATATTGTTTTAATATAGTGATCAGGAAATAATTCTTTTTTTTATCTTTAATTTAGGAAAAAGTGAAAGTATTGATTATAATTAACTTTTAGAATAATTTGATCTCTTCTTTCTTTAAATATATATATACACACGTGAAGAAAGATTTTATTGTTCTTCTGGTCTTTTTGTTTTGGGATTAATCCATCAAATAATTTGAGAACTAAAAAAAATTATTTAAAATTTGTTCGACCAAAAATAAATTTATTTTAAATTTGAGAGATTATAAATCTATTTAAACTTATTTAATTTATATTTTTTTCATAACCTACTTTATTTTTTTCATTGTTAATAGGTATTTATGTATTCTACTAAAATTTAAACTTAAGTAATATGATATATTTGCTTTATATCTAAATTTAAATTTTATTTGTGAAACCATTTATTTTTGCTATAGGGAGGCTGAAAAGGGGTCGATTGGTTGAAAAAAAAGTCTTAGTACTTGAAAATTATAATTACTGATAATTATGACTTTTATGAAAACAATTGTTTTATTAATAAAATACATTTTCAAAAACTTTTAGATAAATTTACTAAAATTCAAATAGTAATATATTACTGAAATCTTGAATTTATTAAAATATTAAATGTTTTAATAGTATTCTTTGTTATAAAAAAAATCTCACATCTATATAAAAATATTCTTGTGTAAAATATTAAAAAAAATATATTTAATATATATATATATATATTGTATCTGTATTTTTATTATATATTTTTTAATTTATTAAAGTTTAATGTATATTGATTTTAAAATATTAATATTTATTTTTGAAATTATAAATTATTGGAGATAAATAAACGTGAAATAAAATTTTAAAAGAACATATAATTGAAAAAATATATATATATATATATATATATATATATATATTGTTTATTATTTTATATTGAAAAAAATAAAAAATATGTATAATTAAAAGAGATAAAATATAAAATAAGATATAACATAAATATAAATGATATTTTTCTCTTCCTAATTATAAAAAAATATTGTAACAAAAATTTATTTATTTATTTATATATAAATATATAATTATTAAATATTTTTATTTTTAATCATGTAAATACAATTAAGAATCTTAAACTTATAAAGTGGATATTTTCCTTTAGGAATTCACATGGATTATTTTTCAATATAAATGATTAATTATTTGTTATATCATTTATAATTGACTTTGTTTCAGAAAAAAAAATAGTAAAAAAATTTAAATAATTTATTTTATCTATTTATTTATTTTTGTAAGTTTTCTAGTAAAATAACTAACAATTTTTTTAAAACAATTTAACATATTACTTGATATTTCTCCCAGTTATTTCAAATTAATAATCCTCTACTTAAATACTTTAAAAATCAACTATCATTAAAAATAATCACATTTATTCCATATTCAAAATAATATCAACACTAAATTACATACTAAGAATACTATTATTTAAAAGAATAACATAAATAATCATTCAAGCAATTTTTGTAGTTTTTAAAAATTGAAAATCTAAAAAGTATTTTTAAAAAAATAGCAAGTGAATAAGTTATTAAAATATCATGAATAATTTAAACATCTTTAAATTAACAATAAATATATTCAATGTAACATCTAAAACAAAATGCTTACTATATATATATATATATATATATATATATATATATTTATATTTATATTTACAGAGAGAATTTACATTTTTGAATTTATTTATTTTTTATGTATTTTTTTATATATGGTATTTTTAATTATATATATATATATATATATATATATATATATATATATATACACTTAAAAAAAAGTAAAAAAAACATAAATTTATAGTACTCTTAGTTTCAAACTTAGAGTGTTGAGATCGATCACATGTAAAATTTGTTCCTGTATAAATATATGATTATCATAGTTCAAAATAACATACAAAACAAATATTGTAAGTTAATAATTTAATTTAAGTATGCAAAATTTAAATATGAGATAAAATAATATAATTTAACTTCAAGGTTTCATATATCACATTACACGTTCATACATGCCCATATTCACGTCCCACAAACACTAAATAACTTTCGAATTACTAGATATTGAAATAGACATCAAATATCTGCATATGTCATACCACAACTCCCCATGTGCATAACACAAATGTGCTCAGTTTTCACATGTGATCAAGATAAATTTTTAAATGACTTATTAAGACATAGTTCTTTTTCGTACAACAGACTAAGTCATTAGAAGTTACTTTCATCTCTCATTACCTGATCCTTTCTTCCATGTGATTACAGTCATAAGTAGAGTAAAAATATGTTCTTGAGTCCCAAATTAATATTCATACATACAACACTACACATATGAGGATAATCCTTGATAAATCTCATATCACAACATAATACTTTTCAAGATATATAGTAACATTCAACACACCTCATTTCATGTATTTTAATGGCATAACATACATACATGTCATTTCTCACATTATAACAAAATATAATGTTTTTGTCTGAATTGATCTCTGCCCACTCTATTGACCATAACTTTTTATAGGCATTCTTTTTAACTAATTTTTATTTTATTGGATTTCTTATTTTTGGAGCTTTGATTTACATATATGAAACATTTAATTTAAAGTTTAAAATTATTTTTTATGATTTTTCAAAAATAGTTAAAGGAAATTTGAAAGCGTTGAACGAATTGAAAAACACTAATATACTCTCCTCCAGGAGTACTCGGATGTTCTTGAATATAAAAAAATAAAAAAATTAGAGAGGGAGTAAGAAATTTAGAGAGAAGGTAGAGAAAAAGAGAATTGTAGAAAGATGATGATTTTGTGATAATGAAATCAGAATGATTAAACTTTTTATCTATAATTTGTTTTAGTTTAATCAGTAAAACTTTAAACTTACCCTTATTATACCACTTATACTCTTAATTTACTTAGGTTATCATTTTCAACATCAAATTAACTTTTTTCTTTTTGAACTTTTGCATCCTTTTATTTGAGTTAAATATTAACCATTATTAATCTTATTGTCAATCAATTACATCATGATTAATCTTCCAATTTGTTCCACATGATTTGCATATGAAGATAACATATGGTTTAATGGGAGAAAGTGGAGCCAACACAAGAACTTCAATTGATAGCACATTTTAAATAATATCAATTGTGATTTCTAATTAGTTAATAGTAAAATTTAAATTTAAATAAGTTTTGAATTTTTTACAAATTAAGTTTTTTACATCTGAGTATTTAATAAAAGAAATTATTGATATTAAGTACTTAAGTAAATACTAAAATGCCTTTTAAATTGATGATATACGATAAAGACCGAGTTTAAGTGAATTAAGAGTAAAAGTGATATAGTAAGAATAAGTTTGAAGTTTTACCGTTTAAGCTAAAAATGATTATAAATAGAAAAGTTTAAACATTCAAATTTCATTCTCACAAAATCACCATTTCTTTACAACTCTTTTTTTTTCTACCTTCTCTCTAAATCTCTTCCTCCATCTCTCATATTTTTTTAGATCCCAGCACACCTTAATGTTCTTGGAGGAGAAGATATCCATTCTACCCAATCAAAATTTTGAATAAAGTAAGTTTTTCCTTTCCTAATTTTAGACCATTTTGCATGTTTTAGGTTTGTATGTGGGTCATAGGGGCTTACATGTAGACTTTGTTGTGAAAAGATAAATTTTAACTAGTTTAGGAGTATTGTAATATGTTCAATTTGCTAATTTAAGTTTTTTGTGAACAGGATTTATCTTCTTAAAAATTTAGGAGTTTTTGGGTTCTTTAACTTAGAGGAATTATGTTAAGGTAAGAGAAATTAGTTATTCTTCAATTTTCATAGTACTCTAGGCTAGAAGATCTAGATTATGAGGGTAACTTTGTCACTTGGTTTGAGTTTTAGGAATTTGGATTGTGTAATTATGTATGTGTTGATTTGTAATTATTGTATTGAATCTAAATGTATAAGTGACCTATATGAGATTGAGTAAGATAATCTTTTCTATGAATGTATTGTTCTTGGATTGAATTTAATGAATTAATTATAATAAGGAGTGTAAGATTTAAAATTAATTTGATTTTGAACATTAAAAATAAGGTATTTAGTAGATTATGCAGTCTCTACTATCACGAATTCGTCTAGCGGATTTAAATTCACTCAACAAATTTAATACAGTGTTAAAAGAGCTTGAAATCCGCTCAATGCTTTCAAAATCGCCCAGCGAATTTTGGACAATGATGGAGGTTCCATTTTGTCAAAATTTTGCTCAACGCTTTCAGGTTTGTTCAGCAGTTTTTGAAAAATCATAAAAAAAAAGCTTTGAACTCCAAATTTAATGTTCTATATATGAAAAATCAAAACCCCAAAAATAAGGAATTCAATAAAATAAAAATTAGTTAAAAAGGATGTCTAATGAAAAATTAATATTCAAAAGAATAGGTAGAGGTCAAATTAGAAAAAAATTTCTGGCCTACCTTATTCAAGGATGCTCACAACTCTGTTCAACAATGTAATAATTGTTAGAGAACATGGGGAATATTAAGAAGACAGGAAATGCCCTTGAATATCATGCTGGAAGTTGAGATATTTGACTACTAGAGAATTGATTTTGCAGGTCCTTTTCCGTCCTCATTTTCCAATGAGTACATCTTGGTAGCAGTTGACTATGTGTCTAAGTA